AACCAGGCAGTCTCTGCGCCGTTTCTGGGCTTGGTCATCAACCTCAACGTCTCAACTGCGGCTCACAGGGATAGCAAGGATGACAGCATGTGCTTAGTCCTCGCGATCGGTGATTTTGAAGGCGGAGAACTAGTCCTCTATGAACCTGGTTTGACCATTCCTTTGCGTAACGGCGACTTTGTCGTATTCCCTTCTTGTGATCTGACTCACTTCAACCTACACTTCAAGGGTCGTAGAGCCTCTATTGTACTCCATACTGACCGGGAAATGGCCAAATGGCACAATGGGCGCAACGGATGGTCTAGTAACCGTAATTTTATTTGACGTACTCTCCGACCTATTTTCCCTACAATTGTTCTTCTGTAACCCTACTGGTCCATTCATGATGTTCGCAGCAGTCGTCACAAGCTGAAATAACACGTTCAGGAAGCTGATAATCGCTTGGACTTGCTCAACGGCCTCGATGGGACTTTGCTGATTAAGCTGCGCGTGTCCCAAGTTGCTTCTATCACTGCGAAGAGGGAGGCCGCGGAACTTCGATAAGCTCGGCGGCCTTCGGGTTCAACACATCTCCGCCCTCCTAGCGTACGCTTGGCACACTCTCAGTCTTGTACACCCATCTGCCCTGCGTTGTTGCTGTTGAAAATGGCCTCACGCACCCGCTCAGCCGCTCGCCAGGAGGCCCCTGGCACCAGTAACAGCGCTCGCGCGAACACAGGCGCCACGCAGATGAACCGTGCGAATGCTGCGGAGGACAGGGGAGCTCCCTCCGACAGTGATGTTCCCGATGAGGACCTCTCTGACGCTGCCTTACACAAGAGAATCGCTGAGCTGACCAAGATGGCCGAGTTGAAGCGCAAGAGGAAGGCAACGACAAAAGCCTCGCTGGCCAAAGAACAGCGCGTGGAAAGTAAGTCGTGTATTTGTTGCAATCGAGGACTCTGATAATGTTGCATGATAGAGATCCGTAAGAGGAAGTTAGAGGCCATGGACGCTGAGCAGCGTGACACCAGCGAAGAGCCCCCCAAGCCCAAGAAGAAGAAGAAGGCTAAAAAAGCTGAAGACGACGACGTGCTTGAAGGTACGAAGAACAATGAAGGCCGATCTGACGAGGGGAGTGGCCGTGACGATGTCCAGGAGCCGATGGACGTGGAGGTCGTTGAAGAGGAGGAGGACACGACTGTCCTATCTAAGGAGAGGAGCAGAGGAAAGAAGAGCACTACGTCGGCTGTAGAGCCGTCCCAGCGTGCGTGCTACATACGCGTTCAGGAACTGACACTGAGTGCGTTCTGTAGCTCAACCCAAGCCCAAGCCCAAGCCCAAGCCCGCCTTCAAAGGGCGAAAGCAGAACTTGGATCAGGACGAAGCCGCTTTTGTCCAGATGCTCGGTGAGGGGATAGCCTTATGTATCCGTAAATGCCAATGGCATATTGTGATCCTTACAACGGTGTAGGGCACGACACTGCGCCGAAGGGCAAAGGGCAGGTCAAGACCAAGGCTGTTCAGTTGACTGAGGAACATAGCGACGACACAGGTGCGCAGCCTGCTCAGAAAACAAAGAAGAATTCGCAGCCCGCTTCTTCAAGTTCGGCGGACGCGACCAAGAAACCGGTGTCCACTGTGTCGACTCGGACAACATCTTCACCTCCCAAGGTACGGTTAGAGCCCTATGTGTTGATACCTCCATGGGTACTGTCATACACCGTTTGTTGCAGCCCATTCTCACATTGCCCTCTGTGTAGCCTCGACCTACCACGAGCACGTCTCCAGTCTCCAAGAAGGCTCAAGACAAGGATGCTGGGAAGGTGAAAGCTTCGGTGACCACGGCCAAGAAGGACATGCGTCCTAGCGGCAGCAGCAACAAGAAGCGCGACACCGAAGACTCTGACGGTACGGAAAGCGGTGAAGACGATGATGGAAGCAACGGCGACGATGAGGACGAGGAAGAGGGAGAGGAAGATGACGAGGACGAGGACGAGGACAAGGACGAGGACGAGGACGAGGACGGGGACGAGGACAAGGATGGTGACGAGTTTGTTGATGACGGAGTAGAGGTACGTGGTTTATCCTTTCGAACGCTGTCCCCACTGACTGTGTAGACCGTGGCGGAGTCGAAGAGCACTGGGAAGCAACGGGCGAAGAGGCGTAGGCGCCAGACACGCGCCAAGGTGACACAGCTCCCCAGGGACATCAAGGCCCTCGTCTCTGCGGCGCAGAACTGCCTCCGTCTGCGCATTGCTCTCAAGAACGCTTGGACGTCTGAGCCATCAGTCAGCAGCGGCCGTCTTCCTGAGAGGGACGACCTCATCAAGAGCAGTCTGCAGGACGCCTATGAACTGGGCAGGGCAGGGGGGCTTGACAAGTCCATAAGGACCGCCTTCCAAGTGCTGAAGGGGAACAAGGGGAACAAGGACACTAAGGAGACTGACAAGCTGCGCAAGAATGTCTACACAGTGGTGAGCGTTTGTTTCTGTCTGTCATGAAGAGTCGCGAGTGCCTGACTTCCATTAGGTCTGGGCGGCCGCAGCGCAGTTCCGAAACGAGCTGAAGAGGAAGGCCAAAACTGTTACCTCTCAGATGTACGAGCTCGACAGCCTGTCTTCTCAGCAGAAGAGGAACCTGGCGACATGGTTGATCACCACTCACCCGACGACCGTCGTTGGTGGCTTGCGTAACATCCCTAACTTTGTCTTCGGTGGCATGACGATTGCCTTAGATGCGCGCAAGCATTTTGATGCCGAGGTGAGAGTGCGAGTTCATTGCAGAGTACACCTTAATGATCTGGGTGACAGAAGAGCGACTTTAAGCGCGGGGAGGTGTTCCTCCACCCGGCTATTTCAGAGCTGATTTACCAGCACTGGGGCCTTGGAGCTCGAGCGGACGCGAACCTGCATGCGGCCACGGAAGAGTTCAGCGAGGTGCCGAACAACCTGATCGCTGTGGTGTGCAACGCTGTGAGTCCAGACCGTCATTCGCATGGCTATCAGAGCTCAATCCACAATGGGGTCTCACGGATTCGTGACGCACAGATCGAGTCCGCCCTCATGGAGTTTGCCAAGCCAGGTGCAAAGAACTTCTTCACGAACAAGCAGTATGCTGCCAAGTACGTTCATCACATATGTCAGAACATCGAGGCTTATCTTCTTACAGATGGGACGGCATCATGGCAATCTTGGAGTTCATGGAGGCTCAGTACAATCCGTCCTACATGAATATGAAGCGTATCGTGTGGAAGTCCATCATGTAAGCTGTGTGCAGTTGCTTTGCAATCAATCCCTCAATGCACTGACTATCTCAGATCGCGGCTCGAAGACACGGACGATGTGGACGAGGTGGGCGTGAATCCCGGTTTCCTCGACGCGGCCCTTGAGGAGCAAGATATCGTGGTTTTGGGAGGGAGCAATGCAACGCCGCATGGCTCGCCTGCTGGAAAGCCTTCGAGCGCAAGGAAGGCTCCTACTGCCTCGGCAACCAAGCCATCCAGTTCGTCGAGCCCTGAGAAAGGCGGTCAGGAGGGCGACGACAACGTCATCAGTAGAGAGGGCCCTTCTGTGCGCAGCAGCCACAATTCCCAGGCAGATGATGACGTGGCTGCAGAGGACGTCAGCGAGAAGGACGGAAGTGGGGAAGATGAGATCGAGCACGACGAGGTAGACGAGAGGGAGGACAGAGCCGGGGATGCTAAGGAACGTGAAGGTACGCATGTCCGTCATCTCATCACAGAGGATGATCCATAATCTAGTGTCAAATTTCATCATGACAAGGCGCGGCTCGTGAGGACCAAACAGGGTCAGTCTGATAGAGGACTCCTGGCTACGTTGTCATGGTCTATGCTTCAAGGTAAGTTGAGCAAGGACTTGATTGTAACCGGTGGTCTGAGCTCAGTTATGGTCTGCCCCATCTAGATACCCATACCGGCCATGACGTTGCTGAGTCGCTGAACTCTGGGGAAGAATCGTGTGTTGCGCATGTTCGATGTACGATAGTGTGCCGTCTCTCGCTCTCCATCTCGCTCTGTCTCCTGCTCTCCTTCGCCATTGTCTCTGAAGTCACGTCACACATATTAACATCGTCTACGGTTGTCGGTCTACGGTTGTCGGGCGGCAGAGCTGCTTCATTGCTATGCGTTTCCAGTCGTGTATTATCAATAGTATGAATGGACGGCAGTTTATTGTGCATGATGCTGAAGAGCACCAAGGAAGCCAAAGACACCACGCATTGAAGTGCAATTAAGAGAAAAAAGAACACAATGTTTGAGTGCTTAATTAGAAGGAACGAAGTAGCAATAGTGAAAGGGGGCAGAACAATAAGGGTACTTTTTTGTTCTCATTTAAGTAAACGTGTACTTAAGTAAGACAAAATAAGAAATCGACTTACCTTAAGGCTCTTGTGGCACATAGTGACACATAATGTCACTTTTGGCTCTCCACAAGACCACTGAAGACACGAACGTTTTTCCTGATGAGGAATGGTTGAGCCGAGGATGACGTTTGCTGGGGTGGAAGGGCAGAAATTGTTCGATGTTAGTGAGTTGTCCTTCTGTCCTTCTGCACTTTTGTGGTGCCAAGCCCCGCTCAGTCCCGTCGGAGTCATAGCATACTTGTTCGCAATCTTGAATGTAGCAATACACCATGTTGAGACGTTCAAACCCAACCTTGATATGTGAAACACTAATGACACGACCTTGTGTCCAACGCCAGCGCCGGCAGGAGGTCCAGCTGCTAAGCCGATACAATTGTGTTCTTTCATGACTATCATACACAGTCCCATGTATGTGCTCATATTCCACGCTTATGTACTTACCAGAATACATCACACAGCGTACATGATGTTTTGTGAGTGTGACAAGATTCAAAGAAGCTGGCATCCTCACCACCAGTATCATCGCCTGCCAAACTGACCATTGACAAACTGGGTTGTGTATACTGTCTCAAGCTTTCCCTATAAATACATACCGCGATCTAGTCGCCGTACAGTCTACTCCAGTATCCCAACACGCGATGTCTGCGGGTGTTCGCCGACACGTCTGGAGGTCTTGCAAGGTGCTCACTGTCGATATGGCCTTCCCGAGACCTTCCCTGAGGTGATTTTGACGCGTATATTCCGAAAACGAGGTCGTCACAGCCATAGAACGAGTACTGAGCGAGGCATCGAGCGTTGTGTGAAGGCGACATCGCGAGACGCGAGGTGGCTGAGGCGTGTGGCGCGCAGGTGGCGCGAGACCTTTATCCACGGACTAGCGGGTAACGGTACCGGATATTCCACGGCGCTGTCTAGCTCAATTCTTGCGCAATTGGTTCATAAGGCCCCTCTATTCGTTCCAGGCATCAACACCAGCATAGTGAAGATGTCACCGAGGCGATACACACACAAGAACGCGCGCGAGGCCAATTTCCAGAGTCGGAGGCCGTAAGCGCTCGTGCCAGCTGGCGGCGGCGTTCGATGCTTCCAACAGAGTACATTTCATGGACACGGTTTGGCAATGTGCTCTCAAATTTTGGGGACTCTTGTCGTGGGTACAGTACTCAGTACAGTAGGCAGCCCGTGCTTCTATAACATTTTATTAGTAGGATATGGAATATATTTTGTTCGGTGACAACACCCGCAGCCAAAGTGGTATTAGTACTAGTAGTGGACAGAAGAGAAGGCACGCATCGAGCTAAATTGAGGCCACACTTTTCATTGTGTACATACCCTACTACGGATGCCCTACTGGTAAGTACCACCTCTTCCAACTTCCCTAGGTCCGGTAGCTTCTGTGATGATCTACAAAGGCACTGGCATGCAGTACAGTCTCGTAGGCCAAGCCCAATCTTGATATCACCCCGCTCACCTCTACCACCACCGCAGCAGACCACAGCTCGTAACATCCAAATGTTCCACCAGGATCGCCTCAAACTCCCAATACACGTCTCGTTCGAACGCCGTGTGCCGCGCCGCGCCGCCGCCAGCTGGCACGAGCGCTTACGGCCTCCGACTCTGGAATTGGCCTCGCGCGCGTTCTTGTGTGTGTATCGCCTCGGTGACATCTTCACTATGCTGGTGTTGATGCCTGGAACAAATTAAGGGGCCTTATGAACCAATTGCGCAAGAATTGAGCTAGACAGCGCCGTGGAATATCCGGAGACGCGATGTGGCTGAGGCGCGTGGCGCGAGACCTTCATCCTCGGACTAGCGGGTAACGGTACAGGTGGCTGTCTGGATGCTGCATGAACGGCGGAATTTGGACGTAGATACCCGACCTGCGTCAAGTGTATTTTAGTATCGAGGAGCGGACGGTGCCGGGACGGGCTGGGGTGTGATGCCTAGCGATGAGTGAGTGGTGATGGTCGACGATGCTGTGAGTCCGCTTTTGTATGTGCGTGGCGTCTGCAGTACTTTACGCGTGCCCGCCCTCTCTCCTCTTCCTTGCCCGATACACCGCGAACTCTGGAGATGTTGGCCAGCATGACTACTGGAGCGTCGCGTCTGAGCTCTGCTCACTCTATCACTCGTAGCTCGTAACGCGGAAGGTACTGCGCATGTGTACTCAACTGAGAAGAACCCCGCCGTACAAGGCTTGCGAGGAACCAGAACGGCCCTCTTGATCTCCGGGCTGTTGCGGTCGCCGCCATCTCACTCGCTGTAGCCTCTCGTCTCATAGGACTCGGACGCGCTTCCTCAATACGCAACCTACCCACCTCACTCGGCGGCCAAGACCGCTCCCCTACACCCCAGCGACCCGATCCCCACGCAAACCCAGACCTTCGTTCAGAACTCGCTCAAGAACGTCCGCACGACCTACCTCCACAGCTTCCTTCTGCACTCCTCACTCTCGCGCCTGATTCATAATGCCGCCGCGTGGCGCGCGATCGTTGAGCTTCAATATTCCGACACAGTGCGCACGATTGGCCCTTGGGAACAACAACACGTACGACGTGCGTATCCTCGAGAAGCTCGAGCAGGAGACCGGGCGCCGCGTGCACGTCGTGCAGAACCGCTAGTTTGAGGGAAACGCTTGGGACAGAGGTGTTTGTCGGTATTGTCGCGAGCGCGGGATCCAGTACAAGTGAGTCTCGAGTTCCGTACCTCTGCTCTTGTACTGTCCAATCCTGCCGGTGAGACATGTTCACTCATCATCCGCGCCTCAGATCGTTATGGACGCTCTCCGGCTCGTGCACTCCCGCGCAGGGGGGTGAGTGGGTCATGACCGCAGTGACTGTGATCGTGCTAACCTGCGCCGGATCGAGCTAGGCTTCCCAGTCAATAGCGGGTGCCAGTGTGGGCCCGGCGTCTGCCCCGGCGAGTCCACTGGTATGGTCTTGTGCTGCTTCCGGACGATCAGAACCTATGGAGACCATCTTTGTCATTGCTGACGCGTCCTTGCGAGGTGAGTGTTGCATTGAAACTCGCCACTCCTTTTGTCCCCGGGCGCAGGTACAAGAATCGCTCAGTCTCTCCCCTCAGCGGCATCGCGCAACTCGCCTCTTTCCTGAAGACATGGCGTCTCGCTTCTTTCTCAGCCACTCGGCACGATCGCCTACACTTCCCCCATCCCCCGCCTTGCTCCCTCCGTACGCGTTACCGATCCTCCTAACCACTACCGATCCACACGCCTTGCCGATGAGTACGGCCGCAACCTCAAAATTGCGAGCGACGTCATTGCGCAAGTTTGTTAGCCATGGAAAGGGCATTCGGTCCTGCATGGGTCGCTGTGGACGTATTCCCTCTACGAACATTCCGATGAGGAAGAAGCATACGATAGGCTGTGTATCTCTGGAAAGCAGGGCCTGCGGGTCAAAGTCATGCGGATCAACGACACACGAAGATTCAACGTATTCGAAGTACAGCTCTTCTTCCGTCTCGCGGAGATCCTGCGCGACCACCCGGGACCACTCGAGAGCTGCATGACATCAAACGTCGACGCGTTGGAAACCTCCACCATCGGCCGCTTGCGGGTCTTCAATAGGCCCGCGACGAACCTCGGATTCCAAGACGTCGAGATGGACACGGATGGCTCTGGTGTAGAGGACGGACGGTCCTTGAAGCCTGTGGCTCTGCAATTATTTGGCGTTTCCTCCTTCCTAGTACCCCCATTTGCGTGAGTATGTCTGCCTCCGCTCTCTACTGGTTCTCCCGACTGAGGTACACCTCGTACAGCCCGGAGGACTATACGCGTGCCCCCATTGGACGACTGGCATCCAATAGCTTGATGTGAGTACTGTCTGGCAGAATCGTCCGCCTGTATTGACAGTAGCTCGCACAGACGTGAGCGCTGGCAGTCCAGTAAAGGCCCGCAACCTAGCCACGCAGGCTGTCGCGAACAATGTGCATAACCGTATCATCGGGGTCGAAGTGAGACGTGCATTACTTCGCCAGGCGCCGCGCACAATGACACACCTCGCCTCGCTACAGCGCAACCCCTCAGCCGCCATGACATATGAAAAGCCACTCTAAGCGTCGACCAACGACGCGCAGAAGAGTAAAAGCCCCTATCGCCGGAGGCGCTAACAGACCCGACACTCATTTGGAGCTGGCATCGACCCATCGCTTTACCGAAATGTCAGCACTCCGAACCGACTGCATGCCTTCGATGCCATCAACACGTATCGGACGGCTCGCAATAGAGTGGTCGCTCGACTGATGTGGCTGGCGCGGGAGAGTCCTCCCGCACAGCGCGCAGTGGTCGTGCGACCGCCTCTATCCAGGGTGATCGGTCAGGAGGCGCGCATGTTGATGAACACTCGATGAACGGCGAGGCTTGGTACACGCTACCGCACGTACGTCAACTCCGCTAATGAATGGAAGGGATGAGCGGTGGGAGATCATCTGGCTGACGCGCAGCGAGGGTTGTGAGGCGATAGTCATGGATCGACGTACTACGCAAAGTACCTTATGCAAAGTAACAGTTAATTGGGCTTGTAGATGTATGCATGGTGCGAGCATCGGCATATTGTGTTTGTCTCTTCCCACTGAGGAGGTCGGACGACCAATCTCAGCTGGGCGGGACGCCTTGAGGCAAGACAACTGTCCTACACTCCAGCAAAAGATGGTCGATGCTAACCGGTCACCGTCCACACAAGGTTGAGCAAACCATGCCACCATGTTTTTTGCGTACTACTGAAGCCAGACAGAAGCTGAAAGTCTTCGGCGCGGCTCTCGGGAACCCGATGATTGACGCGTCTGTGGCTGACAGATCCAGCCCCGATCTACCCGATCTGTCACGCAGGTGTTGTCATCCTCCTCCTCCTCCTCCTCCTCCTCCTCTCGTCTCGAGGACTACGTCCATACATTTTCTGACAACGCCTTTTTCCTTTTGGCGGAGTAACAGCGCGGATTGCATAAATCAACGTGCACGCTCCTCGAGTGAAGTTACCCAGATTGAATGGTAGGTCAGATCACGACTCTGGCAGCGAGAACTACTAGTTCGCAGTGTGAGCCTGAAGTCTGCCCTGGTACGTTAATTGGGCCATGCCACTTGCGTGAGGCTGGCGACCCATGTTGACTAATTGTGACAGTGATGACGCGTCCCTCCGAGGTGAGTGTTGCATTGACACTCGCCACTCCTTTTGTCCCTCAGGCGCGTGCAGGCAACGTCCCTCGGGTATAAATACCCTGTTCTTATCTCGCCCTCTTTCTACGACCCGCATATACTCTAGCCCGTCTGAAACAGAGGATGCCGCCCCGCTTTCTCTGCAGTCACCCGACACGATCGTCCACACGCCCCCCGTCGCTCGCCTTGCTGCCTCCGCGCACGTCACCTTTCCTCCTAACCGTCCCCGTATCCGTGATAAATTTATGACTCATGCCTCGGTCACGGATCTCCATCGTGGCGAGGATGTTGCGAGAAGGCGACGAAAACGGTCTCAACGCTCAAGGGCAGCGTCGGGGTCAGAGTGAAGGCAGAACTGATCAATGGAGCAGCCTCGCTCGCCAAGAATCCCTCCCGCCGCGGACGGGCGGCATCGACGACGAAGCCAGCCTCCGCCGGGACTCCGAAAAAGAGGGCCGCTTCGCCGCGAAAGCCCGCCTCATTCAGGCGGTCGTGTCCTCCACGAATGTTGGCTCATCGGGTGTGATCAGCCTGACGTGACGACGACCAGTCCATCATCGCCGCATCTGTAAGTCAAAGTCAATCCGTCGCACCTGTCTTTTCTCTTGACATTGAGGTGAAATTGATGCAGACCAGGTGCCTACACTTGGATCCGTCGTGTTCGTCTGCGACTCAGATGCCGACGTGAGTCATGCTCCCATCTCTCTCCCTTACATACCCACTGACAGCCATCAGGGGCCATCCATAGCACTCCAGCGGGGGAGCGCGCGCGCGATCTGGCCTCAATAGACATCACTAAGAGACCTAATCGAGCACCTTCGTAGCATAGCGCGACGTAAGCCTATCCGTCCACGATGAATCCTCAATAATGGTCCATCGCGCGGCGCCAGGCGTTCTGTGTCCCGACGAACGGATGGCCCAGGTCGCGGTGTACCACAGAGGACCAGCAGCTCCAGCCCCTATCGTCGAAAGCACTAGAGGTGTCGATGCAATCTGGGAATTGCGCTCGCTGACTCATCCGACCTGACCCAACTGCCCACGATCCCATCGACTAATGGGACACACTTCGTTTTTACTGGGTCTCAGCACAGTGAAGTCCATAGTGCATCGCATGAGGATCAGCGGCCTACGATACGTGCGACGTAGCGAGGGATGAGGTGGGAGCTCGACTGGTACGCTTTGCGCGGGAGAGTCCTCCCGCGTGATGCGTAGTGGTCGTGCGGCCACCGTTATGTCCGCTGACAGACTAGGAGAGATGCCTATGCACTACTCGACGGACGTCGAAGCTTGGGACATCCTGGCGTAACAGTTAATGAGGCCTTTCTCACTCGTACGCACGAGAGATCATCACGAACGCTCTTCTGCTCGCTGACCCCTCCCGCCACGACGAGCGCTGCACGCCCATGCAGTTTCACGGCGTAACAACGCTCTAGGGTATGACGAGCGGAAGTGACTCTCACTGTGGACGACCAAGCTCAGCTGGGGATGCCCTAAAGCAAGACGACTGTCCTACTCGCGAGACACCCCAGCAAAGGATGGTCCCGCAGTTCACGCAAGACTCAACCAACGATGGAACCCGTTTGGTTTTGTGCTGTTAGCCGTCGATGAGGGTCTCGCAAGCCGTCCGAGTCGGAGGATACTGTGGAGCTCGTGATGAGAATGACTTACGCACCGAACGGGCAAGATATGACTTACTACTGGCTGCGTCTTGAAATTGCTCGAAACGCGTGAAGCAATGTCCTCTCAGACGGCCAGGAAAATACCATCGTGAGAGTGCAGAGGCTGGCGTCCTAGCATGACGCCCTATTGGTTGGAAGGACATACTCGGTCTCCATCCCCTAGATGATGTACTCAGCCATAACCGTCGGTGCGACAACCGTTGGCGATGTATCCGAACACCGGTGATGCAAGACAACCACCGCATCTCTGCGGATGCGCAGGAGTGGAGCCCGGTCACGATACGCGGAGGGACTGGGTGGGTCGAGGTGACCGCTGGGAGATCGTGGCTATGCGGCGGACACCCCAAACCATGAACGCGTACCGCGCGGACGGTTGGCTCCGTGATCTTCAGCTGGATAGGGCTTATGGCGGCGCGGCTGCGGCGATGGACTATCCTCTGAAGATATGACCAGGCGGTCAGAGCGTACTCGATGCTGAGAGTGACACCACCGAGGGACTCACGTGTGGACGGTGTCAATAACTGACTGCGTCCTCGTTCCGCGCCTCTGGGTCTCTGCAGACCGTCCCGGTCGCCTTCGTCTGCAAGATCCAGCAACTCCTTTGAGCATTGTGGGTTGCGAGTGATCGAAGGGCGACTTTGCAGGATGTCTAGGGCATTGATTTCCATTCGTGACGGAAAGTACGCCCACTCAGGTGGCGGAAGGACCCGCCCTGATGGCGAAGGTGTGCGGGGTACTACCGAATAGGTTAACTCATGCTGTATCACTCATATGACGCACGTACCATGACAGACATGCTGGCATACATGCCGAGATGGTGTAGGAGGAATGGTAAATAGATGCAGCGGAATCGGTGTGGCGGTTTGGGGCGAGACATCGTGTGGCGTACGCTGTAACGTTGCTTCCGCTGGAAACGCGCATGGTATTTATACCTAGAAGGGCAGTGCTCTCGTTATTGTTCATCGGGACAGAGCGTCGCGAGGCGTCGACAACCAGTTTCGCTTTGTGTGCCACTTCTCCTGACGTGCCTTTCCGATCGTCACACGCTTGGTCCGAGAAGTTACAACGCATGGGTTACAACGCATGCGTCCGGATCCCTTCATGTCATTGTCAGCTAGATTAGTTGAACACGAAGAAGAGGCACGCACAAAGTCAAGGCACGGCGTTGTAATACCTGCGAGCGAGAGGCACTCACTGACGCGGGCGCATAGATGGATCCCAGAGCTCGGTGCCACAAGAGCGGTATTGTGGACCAAAGAGGACACGCTTTGAGACCGGTTGTCCAAACAAGGTGCTATTGTCGCTGCTATGCGGCTTGGTCCGGGCCAGGGGTGGCCATCGCTTTGACGCATGACACACTAGTAGTCTCGCTTTGGAAAACGCCACCGTTGCTACGTGCCTTGTCCGCGTGTACTATTGTGGCCAGCGTCGTATAAATACGGTCCATCTTCGCCTTCCACCTCACAGCAAACCTCCACCCATACCCTCGCCTACCTTCACTTGCCGTCGACCATGCGATCGTCGACCGTCGACCCACCGTGTCCAGATCGTGTTTCCGCATGCGCGTCACCATTCCTCCTAACCACTCCACGGACTCGCTTCCGCGTCCGTCAAACCGACCATGAACTCGAGGCCGAAGGCCTACAAGAGCTCCCAACAGCGAAGCGGCGATGGCGCTACTCCCGTACGTGAGTCTCTCGCAGCGTTGCGTGCATGAAGAATGTGACTTACTCATTGAATGTCTCGTTGTGCTTCAGATACGTCACCGACGGGCAGGCAAGGTCGCTGCGGACCGGCCGAAAGAGGGTCGACGCTTACCCTACGCCTTACCGTGACTACGATCACATCTCCTCGACTGCCCTAGAGTCGTTCGTCCCAGAGGCGTACACGCTATCTGAACACGGACACCTCCATAACATTCGTGATGGGGTTGCAGGTGATCACGCAGCATTGTTCGGAGCGGTTTCCGTCGAACCCTCGCTCTTACCGGACGCGGAGTTGGATGCTCTATTACACGGACTCTGTGATCCGTACAGCACATCGGTCGCATATCGTGAGTATGTATCAGCGCTCACGTTCCCGACTGTGGTACTCACGCGTGTGATCCTACAGTCATCTTGCGCTAGCAGCAGATACCGCACCGCAGTCCGCTCTGCTGCAGAGTCCTAGAGGAGGATGCATCCGAGCTCGCCGGAGAAAGCTACGAGTATGGAAGCAGGAGGATGGTCGGAGGATGCTTGAAATCATTCAGAAGATACGACTCGCCTACCCAGGCCCAACAGCCTCGCGACCTCGCTTGCAAGCTAGCTGAAACGAGGGCAACCTTTAAGCTCAAAGGCTCACGGGGGTATCTGATGATGCAGCGAAGCGGCGATGGCGCTACTGCCGTACGTGAGTGTCTCGCAGCGCTAAATGCATGAGGAATGCAACTTACTCACTAAGTGTCCCGTTGTGCTTCAGATACGTCACCGACGGGCAGGCAGGGTCGTTGCAGACCGGCCAAGAGGAGAGTCGATATGCAGGCGCCGAGTTTGGTGGTTGAGGCGAGTTGGATCCCGAAAAGGCCTTGATATCCGGAAAACACTCCGTACACCACTCCGCCAGGTCGTCCTTCGCTTCGCCAAATGGGTGGTCTCCCGACTTGCATGGTCCCTCGGGGAGAGTTCTCCTGCGACGGGCATGCGGGTCGCCGACTCGCGAGGGATGTTCTTTTGCGACCGTTTTAGCAGGGATAAGGTAGAGGCTTGTCGGAAAACAGACAATAAACAGTGCAGACGGGCCAGTGATGATCGCTGGAGATGGAGGAGGTGGGTAAGTCCGAGCTAAGTGACTCGGGACGCGTGGACGACGCGTCTGTGGCTGAGAGATCCTGCCCCGATCTGTGTGGCGCGCCCAGTGTCGTCGGCTGCTCAGAGTCTCCTCTCTGCATAGCGACCATGGCGAGCCCATTGTGCCTCTCCTTCTCTCCTGTATCCCGCACTACCTACTCATGATCATTGGCCGCGTCCACCTCGTCCGAGTCACCCCGGTCGACCTTAGTCACGGTAGCACCAGCCTGGGTGGCACTGCGAGTCTGCCAGTGCGACTCCGAGAGACCAAGTGGGAGCCGGAATCCGAATTCTAGAGTCTGTCTCGCTGAGTACACTATTGTCTGTCCCAATACGACTTGCTTTTTGCGTGGCGCTGACGGTATGAGTCTACCAACCCGCCACTCGACACGCTTTCGTGCGAGTTGAGTATTGCATTGACACTCGCCACTCCTTTTGTTCCTCAGATGCGTGGGCGAAGCCTCCCTCGGGTATAAATACCTCCTCTTTCTCTCTTTGTCGAAGACATCGAACCGTTCTTCTGACCTCTCACAGGATGCCACCACGCTTTGCCTTCAGCCACTCGCCGCTCTCACCTATCCCCTTGCCGTCGCTCGATTTGCTTCCTCCATGCGCGTCACCACTCCTCCTAACCGTCCTCCGTACACTCTGTCAGACTTGTGCATCAGGTCCTTGCTACAACGGTGGCACCACGACAACTCAGTGTCTCAAGTATTCGCTCTCACGTATCATCTTGTTACCGACGGATCCCGGTTCCAACCAGGCGTTCATGAGCTCTCCGATGGACATTGATGGACCACCCACTGCCTTCGCCGATTCGATATCTGGCACTGTGCATGATCGAAGTCCCGAGGTGCACCAGCGACTGGGCAGCCGTCGACGCGTATCAACCAGAGACTGGTGGACAAATGCGGGCGCATACAATGGGCAACGCGCAAGATCCTTGTCGAGTAGGGGCGAACGGCTGGCACTCGGGATGAGGACAGGTGGTTCAGCCCCGTTATACCCAACGTGAGTCTTCACCATGCTTTGACCATGCGACCGAGCTCACTCGGAAACAATAGCCTCGGAGGCCATGGTCAGTCTGAGGATACGATCATTTGCAGGGCATTGATGTTGACCAGCGGACGGCAGACGTCCATCAGAGAAGCTGGTTGTATGAGGACCGGGCACGAACCGCCGGATGGGCAATCGGATCTCGTCATTATGCGGCTTGCAGCCGGCATATTGCTGCCCCTCCCCTGGCATAGAGGTCCTCCAACCCAGCGACTTCCTATCTTCCGACCACAACCTCTTACCATGTCCGTTCACCAGTCCTACGACTCGGAATTCAGCAGCTCCTACGATTTCGCGATTCCATCCGATCCCGGAGCTAGCGCACCGGCCGACTATCGTCGGATGCACTAGAGGTGTCGGTGCGATATTGGGACTGCTCCAGCCTTGACGTTGATCCGATCGCCGACCTTCCCAGAGCCATTCACTCCTCGCGCAGAACCGTGCACGCAACTGCTCACGACGTCAGCGACACATGCGAAACACCCCGCTATGCTGGGTCTCAGTCCGCTCCCGCACGCCTTCACCCACGTGGAATCGAGAGAATACTTTGAAGCCGGTGCATACTTGCTCATTTTTTCCAACGCTCGATGATGAGTCAGGGCATTCTCGTAGCACCTGGCAAGAGGTGAAAGTGTATCGCACCAGAGACAACGGCCTACGGATGCGTGCGACGTAGCAAGGAACTAGGCCGCTCGACTGGTACGCATTGCACGGGAGAGTCCTCCCGCGTAGCGCGTAGTGGTCGTGCGACCGCCTCTCCAAGTCGGGTGGCGGACTTGCATGCATGCTCATGGATTGCTCGATGAGTACCGAAAACTGGTACGTACATGACAGTTCACGAGGACACACCTCGTTCGCGCGCAACATAGGCCGTTCTGACCGCTCTCCGGCCCACCCTCCCTTCTCGCGCAGCCATTCCTCCGCAGCATTGCCCGAGTCAAGTGCTGCACGCCCGTGCAGGCGCTCTTCCGGCGACACGAGCGCGTACCACATGCGGAAGGACGTCGCCGCCGAGGACATCGACTTTGCACAGGAACTCAAGGGAGGAGCGGTGAAGAGGGCGTGAGGCTGGCATGCGCGAGTGAAGGGATCATGCCGCGGAAGCGATGAAGAACTAATGACAAGATCAGTCAAGCTGGCATGCGGGTGTACGATGATCGGCGCGAGCAACGGCTGAGGGCGACTCTCAGCTGGGGATGCCCTGAAGTAAGACGACTGTCCTACTCGCGAAACACCCCAGCGAAGGATGGTCCCACCGTTCACGCAAGGCCCACCCCACCACGGAACCCGTCGGTTGCGCGCTGAAGACATTCGGTGCAGCTGTCGCGCAAGCCGTCCGACTCCTAGAATATTCTGCGGTTCGTGATGAGAATGATGCACTACAGTCTACCCAAGCGGGCGCGATAGCACTTACATACTACGTGCCATGTCTTTGAAGTTCTCGAACCGCATGAAGCCATGTCTCGAAGGCCAGGAGAATACCACTATAAGTGCAGAGGTTGGCGTCGGGGCATGACACCCTACTCGAAGGGCATACTCGGTCTCCATCCCCTAGATGATGCATTCAGCCATACCCGTCAGCGCGACAAGCGTTGGCGATGTTTCCGGGCACCGGTGATGCAAGACAGTCACCGCATATCTGCGGATGTGCAGGAGCGAAGCCCGGTCATGATATGCAGAGGGACTGGGTGTGTCGAGGTGACCGCTGGGAGATCGCGGACGCTGGCTCCATGATCTTCAGCTGGATAGGGCTCTACGTCGCGCGGCTGCGGCGATCTACTACGCTTCAAAGACGCCGGTCAGAGCGCATTCGATGCTGAAAGTGACATCGTCGATGAACTCACGTGTGGACGAGCTGCATAGTCGTTCCAAACGTCTGGCTCTCTGCAGACCTTCCCGGTCGTTCTCATCTGCGAGCTCCAGGACTTTGCTTAAGCGCGGTGCATTGCGCGTGATCAAAGGTGACTTCGCAGGGTACCTAGGCCGTGGACTTGCGTTCGTGGCGACAAGTACGGCCACCCAGGTGGCGGCAGGACCCGCGCTGAGCTGATGAGTTGTGGGATACTACTGAATAGGCCGACTCATGCTATAGCGCTCGTATGACGCACGTACCATGGCAAACATGCTGGCATACATGCCGAGATGGTGTAGGAGGAATGGTAACGAGATGTAGATGAATCGGTTGTGGCGGTCTGGGGCGGGACATCATGCGGTGGACCTTGTAACGTTGGTTCCGCTGAAGACGCGCAGGGTATTTATACCAGGAAGGACAGCACTCTGGTCGTTGTTCATCGGGACAAAGCGTCCCGAGGCGTTAACGACAAGTGTCGCTTTGTGTTCTACTTCTCCTGACGTGCCTTTCCGATCGTCGCACACTTGGTCCGAGAAGTTACCACACATGCGTCGCTTCAGGACATTGTCAGCCAAATAAGTTGAATACGAAGAATAGGAACACACAGAGTCACCAGGCACGGCGTCGTAGCTTCCCAGTAAAGCACGAGGGCGCATGGGTAGATACCAGAGCTCGGTGCCACAAGAGCAGTATTGTGAACTAAACAAAACACGCCTTGGGGCCATGAGCGACGTCGAGCTTTGGCCATCCAAACACGGTACTGCTGTCGCTGCTATGCGGCTTAGTCCGGGCCAGGGGTTGCCATCGCTTTGACGCATGACGCACTAGTGATCTCGCTTTGGGAACACCACCGGTACCGTTGCTACGTGCCTTGTCCGCGTGTGCTAGTACTTGTTGCCCGTCGTCGTATTAATACAGCTCACCTTCGCCTTCCACCTCACAGCAAACCCCACGCCCTCGCCTACCTCCCTATCATGCAATCGTCGACTGTCGCCTCACCATGCCCGGAGCGCGTTTCCGCATGCGCGTCACCATTCCTCCTAACCATCCCGCGGACTCGCTTCCGCGTCTGCCAAATCGAGGTTGACCTTTGAGGTCGAAGGACCGCAGGAGTCCCCCTCAGCGAAGCGGCGATGGCGCTACTCCATTATGTGAGTGTCTCGTAGTGCTGTCTGCATAATGAATGTGAATCACTCACTCGGTGTTTCGTGATGCGTCAGATACACCATCGAGGGCAGGCAGGGTCGTTGCGGACCGGCCAAGAGCAGGGTCGACATGCCGTCGAGTTAGTTCCGAAGACGGACTCGCTCCAGGAAAACCCTCGGTACACCACCCCGCCAGTTCGTCCTTCGCTTCGCGGAACGGGTGGCCTCCCGACTTGCATGGTCCCTCGGGGAGAGTCCTTCTGCGACGGGCATGCGGGTCGCGAGGTCACGGTGCGCTCTTTTGCGACCTTTCAAGCAGATAGAGACAGCGGGCAACTATGAGCTCAGAGCTAAGCAGTGCAGTATAAGGACAACTTTGAAGTTGACTCGGACTCCGCTGCGACGCGCGCTGCACGTGATGGGCGCGCTCAAGGCGCGCTCGCCTTCGAAGCGGTCGTCCGACGGTGACGGTCGTCCTCTTCCTTGTCTCAGTCGCCAGCGGCCCATCCATTCACTCGTTGTCGCCCTCCTCTTCCACGCGCGCGGTACCGGAAGCGTCCCTTCTCGGTTCCGTTTCGTCCGAACACCGGCTCCGTCTGAGAGACTCTGTCCCGGCCCGTCCTACTGTCCCCAGACTCTCCTAGGTTATCTCAGTGTCGTGCCCCGCTCCTACATTTCCCCTAGTGAAATACATACGTGAAACACTCGCATATGAAGACGAAACCCTCCATCGTTGACTTCCCGAATGGACGCACTAGGCTGGATTCCCTCCTCCTCGCTTACTCCGCCCGTCCTCACCCTATGTCGACTCTCCATCCCCAGTCGCTCCGACCTCCGTGGGTCCATCTTCCGAATCCGAGACATGTGCGGCATCCAGTGCTGCCTTCTCAGCTGTCGGGGTGGTCAGTCATCGGGCACATTGCTCGTGCTCCTTCATTATAAGCGAAACTGCAATACTCACCGGTGGGTGCTTCCTTGGGTGTACGAGTGATCCGTCCTTCGCCGTCAGGGTCTGGGCTGAACCAGAGCCACAACATCCCACGATCCAACCATGGCGCGAAGAGAGCGACTAATAGTACCAGTGTAGTACCACAGCCTACCACTGGCAATGAGGTCGGCGTCGACGATGGCAAGCTCGCTGTGATGCCCTGGTGACCTCTATTCGGCCCATCTGTATGCGTTTTTTCATGCTACTTACCGTGGACGGCTTACTCACGAGTGTCGGCAACGTGCACCTGGCCTGTCTGAGCCCATCTTAGCCCTGGCAGTCTGGGCAGCGAGTGGGAGCGGGAGTCCGACGTCTGCATTCTGTCCCGCTGAGTGCACTTTTGTCTGCTTCGATCTGCCTTGCTTTTTACGTGATGCTGACCACTCTCGCCCACCAGACTGCCACTGCTGACGCGTCCGCGCCGAGGTGAGTGTCGCATCGACACCCGCCACTCCCTTTCAAGTTGTCTCTAAGGCTTGTGCCCGCAGCGGCCTCCCTCGGGTATAAATACTCCTCCTTGCGCTGCACCTCTCGCCTATTATCTCCATGCTTTCTCTTGAGCCACTCAGCGCGATCGCCGTCACTCGCCGCGCTTCCTCCGTGCGCGTCATCGCCCCTTGTAATCGTCCTCCGTACGCTGTCAGCTTTTTGGGTCGGCCTTTCGCTGCAACGGCTACTTCGCACTGATGGCGTCCCAGGTACTATGCGCTCCGCACGTATCAGCTTTTCACCGATGGGGACCAGGTTACAACCACGCATTCATGAACAATCCGACGTGGATAGAGCACTCGTCGCGATGCGACGGTTCGATATCGGGTACTATGCATTATACTTAAAGTAAGTCTTCAACATGCTTTGACCATGTCATTGGGCTCACTCGGATGCATAAGCCTCGTGGGCCATGGTGAGCCTGAGTGCGGAGCATTGATGTTGGTCGCTGGACATCAGAAGAAAATCAGAGAAGCTGGTGGCATGAGGACCGGGCACGAACCCCCGGACGGGCAATCGTGTCCCATCGTTATGCGGCTTGCGGTTGGCATATATGTCTCCCCCACAGAGGTCCTTCAACCCGGCGACTTCCTATCCTCTGACCCCAACCTCTGCTTTCGTCATCTCTTGCATCCTAGACTATGTCCGTCCATCAGTTCCCCGACATCAGCACCATCTACGGCGTTGCAGTTCCATCCGAAATCGAGGCTTGTGTACCGGCCGACTTTTTCAGGGTGCCCGTATTTTGTCGCGCCATTCTCAGTACCTGACGACGCCCAGCAGCCCAACGAAGCCGCAAGAATCGCACTGCAGACGCCACGCACATACAAAAGCGTACTCACAGCATCGTCGACCATCACCACTCACTCATCGCTAGGCATCACACCCCAGCCCGTCCCGGCACCGTCCGCTCCTCGATACTAAAATACACTTGACGCAGGTCGGGTATCTACGTCCAAATTCCGCCGTTCATGCAGCATCCAGACAGCCACCTGTCAATCCGACGCTCCCGCCTATCTGCCTTATCCCTCGTTTAGGTAGGCCTAGTATGTCTGCTCGAGCGCAAGCTGATGTCTGCCATCTGGTCACGACAGTTGTTGCGGGAGACTAGACTCTTGCACGAAAGCAGGGTATCCCAGTGTGGCGCGAGAGTGTTCTCCGACGACGGGATCCAACGAGTGGCCTGGCGACTGATCCCTCAACTCCTGGAACGCAGAAGCACACGGATTGCCGTGGGCAGCAGAGGCGCAGGTCCTTACCGCCGAAGGCGCTAGCCGGGATGTCTCTCTCTGGGAACAGGTCGACATGCATCACACGTCATGGCACCTCAACCCCACTTCACTCCGTATCTGTAACCAATCACCACCGCTGACATACTCGACGCTTGCGGAGATGTAGGAAGAATACGAAGTACGACGTACCGAGGTCACCCAGGATAGATCACGGAACTCGGGCAAAGCAGAGTCGCTGCCAAGCTGTTGCTAATTGCGGCGCCACGAGGAACGAAGACAACGCAAACCCCAGGGGCGCTTCCCTGTCGAAAATGTCTATGTACGCTCCGCAGGACGGCGATATAGTGCCGACTGACCTCATGCCATCGGCCAACGACTTGAACTTGGCCATAATACAGTTTTCGCAGATTGGGGAGCTCGACTGGTATGCCTTGTGCGGGAGAGTCCTTTCGCGCAGAGCATGGCGGTCGTGCGACCTGATTCCTTCCCTCCCTCGCGCAAGACTGTCATGCTTACGGCAAGGTAGACGTTAACTGCACGTATATGATAGGTGGCGCGCGCAACGGCGTCTCGAGGCTTATGTCTCAGAACACCGAATTGATTCTTACCACAACAACTCTCAGTTAGGGACACCCTGAAGCAAGACGACCGTCCTGCTCGCGGAACACCCTAGCGAAGAATGGCCCCATGGTGTTCCTGTTGCGAGTGACTTCATCCCCTAGCTAACGCAGGTCGCCGTGTCCGTCCGTGCGACATCCATTCGCGCTGTACACAGGCGGTGGTGGTGGCGATGCGGCGGAGATCCCAGATTCTGCACGCATATAGCACCGATGACTGGCTCCGCGATCTACAATTGGATAGGACTCTGCGTGGCACGGCTGCGGCGCCATCCTATGCTTTATAGATAGAAGACGGATATAACGCTCTCGATGATGAAAGTGACATCGTCGAGCGACTCACGCGTGGAAGGTGTCAGTAACGAGTTGCGTCCTTGTGCTCAGGCTGAACCTTCAGGTCTCTGCAGACCTTCCCAGTCGCTTTCTTCTGCGAGCTCCAGAACTTCGACTGAGCGCGGTGCACTTATATTGCGCGTGATCAAACGGTAACTTCGCAGGATACCTAGGGCATGAACTTGCGTTCGTGGCGGCAAGCACGGCCACTCGTGTGCCAGCGAAAGCACCCATCGTGATTCGTGAAGGCGACCGATCGTTGTATACTACGGGCTAGGTTATAATATGCCGCGGCGGTCGCATGATGCACATATCACGGCATAAAGAACTGGCGGACATGTTGAGATGGTGTAGGAGGAATGGTAACAAGGTGCAGTTGACCTGAGAGCGCCGGTGTGGCGGGCCGCGGTCTGTGGTGGTCTGTGGCGAGACATCGTGCGGCGAGCGTTGCATTAATGTTCTTGGTTCTGCTGAGGATGTGCGGGGTATATATAGCTTGGAGGGCTGTGTCTTTGTGCTCTTTAGGCCAAAGCATACTGAGGCGTTACTGTAACGATGAATATCGCTTTGTGCAATGGTGCGCCGCTTCCGAGTCTCCTAGTAGTAGTAGTAACGCACCGGTCACCGGGTCATGGCACTCTTCGCGTACTCTGCTCGGACACTGTCAGCCAGGCTACTTGGACGCCCTTCAAGGAACATACACATTCGTACAATCCAACACATGTTCCGTAAGCGAGACAAAAGCATCGACACTCCGAAGCGGTTCGAGATTTCCATTTGCTGGATCCTCAGGCCTCAGGCCTCAGATCTCGGAAGCAGATGCTGCCGCTAAGAGTGATTCGGATGCGTCGCTAGACATTGGCAAGAAGCTACATACGATGTCTGGAGAGAGGAAGCGACGTACTTACATGCACAAGACGCGTCGCAGGCTGTCGTCAATCACATCTAGAGACGTTCCTGTCGTTCCGCCAGCTCCATGCTCATGGTCACTCCCACCGGGCCATTTACCGTTACTTATCGGGATGTTCGGCCTGCATAATGACATTGCATGCACCGTGAACGACACTCAGTCGTGCGTGCTTGGGGATTTAATGATCACTGGCAGTTGAGTCTTCACGTTACGATTACGATTGACATCACAAGTAGTACGCAACAATGTACCCGATGGGTACAACAGGCGGAAACGTAATAGCCTCACAATCATGCCAAGTACGTCCGCTCAGTCAAGCTCGTCTACCTCGAAGCCACGCTCGAACAGCTCGCCGTCGAGCTGATACTCCCGGGGATGGGGATGGGCTCCCGAGCCGCCGTTCTGCCCCGAGCCACCGATATGCGCAGGATGCATCAGAGGATGCGTCTCATACGGCACAGGATGCGACGGCGCAGTCACGACGTGCAAGTACCCCCCGCGCGCCGCCCGCGAAAGGGTCTGTGTCCGCATGCGCCGAAGCGCCTGGTCCGCCCTTATATTGGCAACCACTTTCGCGGCGCGTGCCTTATCCGCAGAGTCATCAGGGGATTTGCGCGCCTCTAGGTCCCGAGAGACGAGGTCGTCGTAGTAGCCGCGCTCCATCAGTCCGTCTTGGAGCTCACGCTCGACTATGGAGGCATCCTCGGCCGTGCGACTGTTATTGCATACTCAGCCATGACACAAGAATCAATAGCGAGGGGCTCACATGAACAACTCGCCGCCGAGGTTGTACTCCCGGGGATACCATACACCACGTCTCGGCATGTCCGGCGGCAGGCGATGCGAACCAGGCCTAGACCCGGAGCGGTGAGCGGAACTCCCCGCAGAGGAGTGGTGAGCTACCCCGTTGGAAGTCCCCGCAGAGGAGTGGTGAGCTGCCCCGTTGGATCTCCCCGCAGAGGGACCCTGGCCCCGACTCCGACCCCGACCTTGATCGTGATGGCCCTGCCCTTGACTCGCGGACGGCTGAGCATCGTCAGCGTTTTTGCGCGCCTCAAGGTCCCGAGTGAGGAGATCGTCGTAGTAGCCGCGCTCCACCAGTCCGTCTTGGAGCTCACGCTCGACTATAGAGGCATCCTCGGCCGTGCGACTGTTGCATACTCAGCCATGAAATAGGTATCAATAGCGAGAGGCTCACATGAACAACTCGCCACCGAGGTCGTACTCCCGTGGATGCGGGCGTGGCGAACTAGGCCTAGACCCAGAGTGCTGAGGCGAACTATTAGGAGGCCTATACCCAGGGCGCTGATGTGGATATTCATGGGCAGTCCCCGGGTACCAGACATAGTGGTGTATAGGCCCAGACTGCCGGCCTAGCGAAGCCATAAGCATATGTGAGTGGTGAGCTGCCCCGTTGGAAGTCCCCGCAGAGTGACCCTGGCTCGCTGACGGATGACTCTGATGAACATCGTCAGCGTTTTTGCGCGCCTCAAGGTCCCGAGTGAGGAGGTCGTCGTAGTAGCCGCGCTCCACCAGTCCGCCTTGGAGCTCACGCTCAATGAGGGAGGCATCCTCTGTCGCACGACTGTCACATTTTGCATGGTCAACTATGAGAAAGGAGGAATAGGAAGGCGCTCACATGGTGACCGGGTGAGCGAGCGCGGGAGCTGTTGCCACCGCCAAAAGGACAGTAGAGGTGAGCGTAGAGTAACGCATGATGTCTTGTAAGTGCTGGGTCGTTACGATGTATTTTGGCGGAATAAACGTGAATCGTCAAAAAAAGAGCGAGGCTGGAGAGTTCCAAGAGATAAGTGCAATATTCACACTGCCACCGTCGCTGAACGTTGAACACTTACTTGCCGGCAACCTACTCGGTAAGCTCGAAAGAAGAAGAGGAGCTGAGGGATACGGTAGGCATACCTCTCCTTTTATGCGCTGGTATTCGTGGCCGTGGCAAGTACTTGGGATCACAGCAACGATTCGAAGATCTAGTGCGGGTTTCATCACATCAGCTCACATTAGTGTGCTCAACAGATCATCGCATTTGGATCTACTTCGATGATGGCGGTTCGCGATACGGAAGCTCTTCTGACGCAGCCTGCTGCATATGTGTAGCATGTACTCGTCGTCAAGTATGAGTGGCCTGCTGCTCCAAAGGGGATCAAACTGGCAGGTTTCACGCTCTAATGATAATTGAACTAGCCATTGTCAGAACAAAGCTTCAGTGATGTAGACTGACGAACGACTTATCACTCTATGCTCAGCTGCGATGCTCTTGCTGCAGTGAGAACATCTAGAGAACATCCATCCGCGGTAGCCGAACCCATATGATGGGAGATTGCGTCGCGACTACATCGCTCTTCGGCGATGTCGATCACCCCACCCCACCGTGTCACGACTGTACCGTGACGATGCTGCAAAGAGGCTTGATAGAACAGCCACTCAATTCAGTATGCGGATGTCCTGAATGGGCGAACGCCGCTCGGTACTTCGTCGAGCCAGTTGCCAGCGAAGCTGTTACTGACGCAGCAGAAGCGATCAAGATGAAATCGACTCACCAATTGCGATCAGGTCCATCGCGTGCATATATGAGGCAGTCTTGATCTCATATGGGTAGTACCGCTGTACCAGTAGGATTTCTTGGGTACTGTACTGGCTGCACTGCCACTGCTAGCGAGATCAGTGACTATTCCACCTCGCAACCAGCTACGACCGTGACGGTGGGTAGGTTCTTCTGCGACGGGCATGCGGGTCGTGAGGTGCGTTCTTTGGCGACTGTTCGAGCGGATACCGCGTCCACCATCGTAGCTCAGTGTACGACAAGAGACGATGAACTGTGCGGGCGGGCAAGTGGAAAGGGATATGAGGCGAGCTGCGTGGCGGCGGGAAGGGACGACGCGTGGACGACGCGTCTGTGGCTGACAGATCGTGTCCCGATCTGTGGCGCCCAGTGTCCCGCCGCCGACTGACCAACGGTGGTCCAACGGTGATCCTCTCCATTACAGTAAGTCTATAGCAGTCATGGCAAGCCCGCTGTAATGCCTCTACCTCTAGATTGTACGCGCGCTCTCTAGGCATCCGGAACGAGCTGCTCACCGGTGTCAGCAGCGTGGGCCCTGTCCCAGTCCAAAGGCTGCCTAGCGAGTGGAAGGGCCTCCTCCGGGGTCTGCAATCTGGTCCCGCTGAGTGCAACTTTATCTATCTCGGCGTGCCTTTCTTTTTGCGCGACGCTGACGTGATGCGCTCACCAACCTACCACTAGCCGTACGTTCGTGCGAGGTGAGCGTTGCATTGACACCCGCCACGCTTTTTGTCTCTCAGGCGCATGCCCACAGCCTCCCTGGGTATAAACACCCCTACTCCTGTCTTCCTCTCTCTACGACATCGAATTGTTCTTCCTCCGTCTCTCAGAATGTCACCGCGCTTTCTCTGCAGCAACTCGATGCGGATACCTCCCGCCGTCACTCACCTCGCTTCTTCCGTGCGCGTCACCATTCCTCGTAACCGCGGGCCGTACTTTGCGCGACAGTCACTCCAAAACAACATGCAGGTACACGTCCCGCACGTACCAGGAGATGTTACCAACAGGTACCCACCATTCTCGAACTCTCCGATATGGACGGAACACTCACTGCTGCGCGCAGATACGATTTCGGGCATTATACATGATCAAAGCCCTAAGGTGCGCCGGCGACTGGGCAGCCGTCGACTGGACTCGTTCGGCGCTCAGTGGACAGAACGCAGACACATAACTCACATTGGGTGGACATGCCACATTGGGAGCCACAGCACCAACACACAGACCATGCGATGGGCTCCGTTGCTCGACGGGTACGCCCTGCTCGGGAGAGTCCTCTTGCGCAGAGTGTATCGGTCGTGCATTCTGGCTGGGTCTGCGGACATGAACCGCGCTGTCATGTGTGCGCGCTGTAGAAATTTGTACGTCTGCGACTATCACATCGAATATAACGTCCGTAAAATTCTAGCTTGTGCCGTCCCCGGGCGCGCGGCCGTGTTGCAGCTCTGACGAACGGACAGACTTCCTGGGAGACGGATGCACGGTCAAGGAAGACAGCAAGCGTTGTGGCATGCGCCAGCCAGATTCGGCTCCTTTCTCGCGTCAGCCACATCGCCGTCCCGCTGACCGGTGGCTGATGACAACATCTGGACGCCTCCTTCACAGTCACTCTCCGCGGTTTACTGCAACGCTCAACATCGGAAAAGTTGTCAGAAGCGGCATCTGTCCTATGCCAGCAAGGCAGTGACTCAGACTTGGTTGGTTCCGCGCCTCGCGACTCACATGCCTCTCACAGGAGGACTCTCCAGAGAGGACCACGCAAGTCGGGAGACCGTCCTGATGCTCTACTGAGCAGCGACTTGAGAAAGTAGGGAGGCCTCGCGCTGGCTGCATGCACATGACTATGGCTCTCCAACGCAATTCTCGACGACCGTAGGATCCCATACCCTGTACCTATCGACTGTAAGTCAGCAGGTCGGCGAGTTTCATTGGCATCCAAACCGACCTGTATGTGGATGTTCCAACGTTCACCTCCCGTTTGCTCATGGAGCGTCCAGATAAGGGACACGGATGAGAGTCTTGGATGACATCGTCTATTCGCACGGAATGCTGAGCAAAGGGTAGATGAGCATGCGTACAATTGGTGAGTGGCTGGCTGCTTACCACCCCGAGTCCACTGAGCGGTGACTCAAGGGAGTGAAGAAGTTCGGTGCCGCCACGTCCCCACTACTCGTGGGCGCACTGAAAGGCTCATCTCGTGCCATAAAGACGATCCCGCCTGTCTTTAGCAACGGCGTCAATGTCCTTGTCAATGTCGTCCGAGTCGTGCTGAGCGAAGGACATGAACGTGCGAAAAGACAGTGTGTGGTTGGTTGCTTACGTTTGTGCGGCGACTATCTTGAGTACCTCGTTTGTGTCGCGGAAAGCTATAGGGCTATTCTGTGCGCGACATTCGAGGGCGAATCTGCGGGGAGACCAACAATGAGTTCAAACCATACAATGATGTGTCGATGACGCTCACAGGCACGAATTGTACCATGGATGCTTTGTGCCTCATCAGAATCCCCTGTGGTATGACCTCTTTGGGTGGCAATCGGTTCCTGGAGTGGTTAGGAGGAATGGTAACACGAGCAGAAAATCCGCTCCGGTGTCGGACTCGATATGTTGATGCTTCGCTCGTCGATACATGGTCTGTAAAGCGATTCGGTGCGCCGGGTCGGGGGCAGGTCGGGGCTGTTGCGTTGTGGGGTGTTGCGATTGTGAAGGTTCGTAGAGAACGAGGTCGTATTTATACCTCTGAGGGACCGTCGCTCAGAGGCCACAGATGTATGCCCACGGGCCACACGTGTCTTTGTTACTATGGTGAGTACGGCGCGTCATATGTCAAAGCGTTTGCCACTCAAATATTCCCACTACATGACCCGAGCGACCAGGCACAAATCCTATTCGCTGGGGCGGTGAAAGGGGTCATCAGATCTCCGCCCCGCAAAGCCATCGTTGTCGCTAACGCGCTGTCGTACTTTGTCCTCAGGGACAAAGATTAGTGCCGCCCATGCACTCTTGAGTATCCAAAATGGGTTTCGCTTGCGTGGTCAGGCGTGAAGAATGCTCTTACGTGGGCAGCGTCTGCCTTGGCACCTGGGGTCAAAGCGCTGCTGTGTAACAACAGGTGTCGCTTTGTGCGTAGACGGTCCGGAGCGGCCACCTTGTGTCACGCCAATCGCCCTACCTTTTGTCGTCAGGGCCTACACGACGCTACTTGGTATTGTCAACCGAATCTGGTGTGAACAAGATCGGAGGGCAACCTCAGCACTGACCGTTCTGATGACAACTTTTATCGTTTTCCGACCGGTGATGATGCGCGTATATGCGTACACAGTATTGCTTGACTAGCGACACTGTTACTCGAGCTCGGACGTCGAGCTTTGTGATCTACGGGTGACGAGCGTGAGACAATACCCCTGATCGTAGTAATGCTGTGCACTGTACCTAGATGAGGACAAAGCAATGGCCAACGCTTTGCCGCACTGGCGCTTTCGCCAAACCAAGAGTTCTGTTACCACGCGGCCTGTTCCCTGAGCGCCGTAGCATTGTTGACTGCGTATAAATACGACCGCCCTCTCTGCCTTCCCATACCTCCACATTCGCACCTCGAGCTTGAAGCCGCAGAAACATGCGACCACCAACACGCCGTCGACTTCGCAGCCCGCAAGAGGGTTTTATATCGACCGTTACCATTCCTCCTAACCACCCCTCGGATCGCATCTCGCGTCTACAGAACTGACGACGACACAGACCCGCCATAGCGGGAAGGGGCTCTCCATACAGCGAAGCGGCGATGGCGCTACTCTTGCGCGTGAGTATCATCGTTGATCTAGCGGAAGCGTTGCACTCACATGGAACTCGTACATCAGGGTCCTCACGAAAGACGGCGTTGTCGCTATCTAGGGCTCTACAGCCCATGCACGACACCATGGAGCGCAGTCTAGAAGTCCATGAGGCCGGGATGAACTCAATGCCTTAACCCTGTGGTTGAGCACGAGAACGAGAACGACCACGGTGTCCGCACAGTGGCGTGGACCACACTTGGCCTGCCCCTAGTAGACTGCAGCCAACCTCTTCTCAAGACGACTCGGAGAAAGGTACATCGCACGGCCTGTACCCGAGAATGAGCAAGGGACCTGCGGCGACGACACACGAGCATCCACGAACACGTAGCCAGAGTACGGCATTCATAGACTCGGAGGAGCCAGCACGGTGCCCTGGAGCTAGGGGCAGTGAAGATCATGATCGAGCCATACAACCTGCGATCCCTGGAGTCGTGGATTCGGTTTTTGGGCGGCCTCCCAGCTTGCGTGGTCCCTGAGGGAGAGTGCTCCTGTGATGGGTATGCGAGCTGCAAGGCGCGTTCCGTCTATCATGCGAACGACTGGCGGTGTCGAGTGAGGGTCACGAGCGACGGTGTTGTTCGCGCGAACTCGGTGACGCGTCAGCGACGCGTCGGTGGCTGCGAGATCTGCCCCGATCCCTTTGGCGCCCGGTCGATGGTCCTGTCACCGATGTCTGCATATCCATGTATCTTCTTTGCTACTCTATACGCACGGGCCATATTTTTGGGCCGCAATTTAAAAAAAATTGGGCATATTCAGAGCCCTTCAGTTGGTGGACGGGGTGACCCAGTGTGAAGTAGTAGTAAGTACAGGTACTTGCCAGGGCGCCTATGTACAAGATGAACGCCCGATCCTTCAGCCACAAGCGCGTCTATCCATTCGGCGACTGTTATCCGTCCGTCCACCACCTCGCTGTCTGGATCGACCTGAGCGGGAGAATGTATCGCTCACGCTTCGCCATATAGAGATCTCTCGATACATTTCGGACTTATTCTGGCCCATTTGCGCGACTCTCCTCTCCTGCGCCCGCACAACCGACTCAACCTGCTCCGCAAAGTTTGCCTTCGTACCTTAAGTCAAATTGGTCTCTCCTACAATTTATCTTGCCGTATTCTTCCTGCCGCGCAGTCGTCCGACATCCGATGATCTCGCCCACGTACTCCTTTGCATAGTCTCTCCTAAAATTCCTTCCCGCTAGCACTCGCACACAAGCTTACGTGGCATGTGGAGTGCATTTGTCTCCTGAGTCGGCGCACATTCACCTTCTTCGCGGCGCGGCGATCACTAGCTGCGCTCCGCCAATGGACTTCTGTGCGCAACCTGGTGATCAAGGGCTTCATTCTCCCCATTAGCCGCGCTGCCTAATGTGTCAAATTGTTCATATCAACTCTTATCCGCGAGTCGCTCCGGTGGGCCCAAGCGAGAGGGGACCAGCCGTCTTCTCAGTTCTGTGCACTCCCCGATCATCCAATACATTGCGAAGCAGGAGCTACCACTCGGGGACAGGCTTATACGTCCTGTCGGTCATGCTCTGCGTCACCTCTCCTAGACTTTGTTTCCGCGGCCTAGCCGTTGGTCACGAGTGAGTCAACACCCTCTCTCGTCGTGCCGCTTTTGCTAATCGCTCACATCATAGGTGTGTATCCCCGAACTCGCGGAGAACGTCAACTTGCAGACCCTGCGCCCGCATCTCAGCGTTCGAGGCGAGTAAATCACACCATACCAGTCTGCGCCCGATGTTCCCTGTCTGTGACAAAGACGAGCTCTGGCGAGGCCGTCCAGGTGATGAAGCCGTAGCAAACGCATGTGATCCCTTTCCAAGAAAGCTCTCCTTGTGCAGGTCATTAGCCGGACGAGTGGGACGCGGGTAGGTAGCTGGGAGAGCACTGTGAAGAGGTACGACAACGTCTGCCAACGAATGTCTCTCGTGGTGCTCTTAGCACAGAAGCAGGTGAGTATGCTCGGGGTGTCCGTTTTGCGCATGGAATCGTCTCGCTGATAATACAGTTGCAGGTGACGCTCCTTGGTGGGGACTCTGATGCTTGAGAGCGGGTTGCTGCCCACGAACACGCGTCCATTGCTATGTCATTTATGGCGGATTTCGCATAGCGGCGTGCGTCAGGGTCAATGAATGACATGTTCGCCTTCGTTCGACAACACGTTACCGCTTCACCATCTTCATTCAAGCCTCATGGCAATTCGCTGCTGCATCTCCGGGTCGCGGTCGACGATTGACACCCGGTTACGGCGAGCTACGTGCCATCAAAGTGCACACTACATCGACGCTGACTCTATAAAACATTGATGTGCCCTATCAACACACGGCTACCATTCGCGTGGATTCGATTCGGAGTCCCAGTCCGACATGGGGTTGAGCACCGGTGCTGAACTTCTCCGAGTGGACAAGACATGGCTCGTGGTAGTGAAACTGGTGAGTACAACTGAAATTATCATCGGAACCGAAGTGTACGCACCGAGTTCACGCCTGATCCACCCCAGTGGATTGACGGCGGGCATTCTCCTCGCGCAAGACATTCATACATTGTTGTTGTCGTTCCTTCAGCGTGTGTACAACGCGCATCGTCCCACTGAAGGGACGAAACGGCATGCATCCCGACCGGATTGAACATAGCGCTGACAACCCGACCAGGATGTAGAGGTCATTACCTAGTGAGCTCTTCATTAACGCCTGACCGAAGCCTTACCTTCAGACATCGCAGCGCCTCAATCCCAATTCGACGCGCCCGGTTCCCAATTCGTAACTGACCATTGATAGTGAAGCGCCTGTCACTAAAGGCACGGTATGCTCGCGGAAGCAACCTGCAACATTGGTTCGCGGCGCACAGCAAACGTGGTGGGTGTTATAAATGCTGCAGTGGACGAAAGGTACCACCCCTGTCTCTTCTTGCGACGTAACAATCATGGAGGATAACAATCCCGATAGCGTACCAGGTATCGTTACCTTTGTCGCTCTTGGGTGTGAGTGTGCATGTTCATTAATCATTTCCACAGCAACGCCACAACAGGACGGTCCTGCTCGTCACGCTGGAGTTGAAGTACTAGTAGGTACTGTTGAACGACGTGCACAAGCACAGACAAGACAACGTGTAAAGCACTCCCTAAGGTACATACAGTAGAATCACAGATACTGTGTGTACGTAGATAAGGTTCAATCTCCGATGGGAGCGTCCGAGATGGGCTCATGCTTGCCCGATATCCAACACACTCCCTCAAGCTGAGACCATCGAGGTCAACAAGACGTATCGTAGAATGACCGTGCAAAAACAAGAAATACTTAAAAGAGTCGGATTGTCTCCATGGTGGCCAGCATTGCATGCTCGTCTCCATCATCCTTCTCCGACAGTGCTGCAACGTGCGCGTGCACGTCCACAGACGGGGAAGGGCAGTCGACCTTGATATGGCCACGACCTCCACAGTTGTAGCAGATGATCGACGGTGACGTACCAGCCTTCTTGTTCCCGTGACGTGCAACCAGTGCATAGCTGCTGGGATCGCTCCCTGGACTCTCCAGCGTCTCCCTCTCTTTCTCCTTCGAACGTGCAAGCTTTGACTCGTGTCCGATGACACGACTGATGACGAGTGGGAGGGTGAGCTGACTGTAGTCGAGTCCATCGAGAGCGGTGATGACCGGGTCATACGTGTTGGGGAGTCCATCCGAAATGACGAGAACGATGTCGACAGTGGCGACAGGGACAGGGGTATGATGCAGCTCCATGGCGGCCTTCTGGACACGGCTGATCCACTGCATGGCGGACTCGGGGTTGCGCATGGTCATACGAAAGAAACGGCGACGAAGTGAGAGGATGGAGTTGACCGAACCTGATCGGTGCATGAACTCGAGGGTGCCCCACACGTCCCGAGGGTCTTCCGAACCCAAGAAGAACGGCAGCTGGGAGCCATCGACGCTCATGGTGATCTTCGCCAGCGCGATCTGCTTCTTCTTCTCTCTCGCAGCTACTCCCTTCGGACCCTTTGCAACCAAGTCCTCCACCTCGGGTCCGACAACCTCCCACAGGTCCTGTGACTTGAGGTACGCGGACATCATCATCCGCCACTCCTCGTAGTTGCCCTCAATCAGGACGGGGATGCGAGCGTGGTGCGAGTCGGACATGTTGACAAGAGTTGATATGGAGCAGTGGTCGGCGGTGGTCGATGTGGCGGGCGCGCGACGCGGAAAATCTGCAGCGAGATTATGTAATCCGTGAGCGCGCGTGCAGCGCGTTGCGCGGGCGCCAAATTGTCCAGCGGCGGCGGCGGCGACAGAAGATGAATGACAGAATGGATCTGTGAAAAAGAGTGGACGGCCAGGTAGATGGTCACAGGGCCAATAGAACTGCTCGATGTCGAGAACTCGAGGTGGGAAGCGGTTGTTGCGCGAGGTTACCAACCTATGGCAGCAGTTGTCCCAAAACGAAGAAGCAAGTCACAAGGCAGACGGAGTATCGCAGCGGAAGTAAGAGATAGACCGATTTGGTGTCAGTTAGAGCACAGGGCTCATAACCTGTTGAACGACGTGCACAAGCACAGACAAGACAACGTGTAAAGCACTCCCTAAGGTACATACAGTAGAATCACAGATACTGTGTGTACGTAGATAAGGTTCAATCTCCGATGGGAGCGTCCGAGATGGGCTCATGCTTGCCCGATATCCAACAGGTACACGTGACCACCGTATGTAGTATTGACCCTACACTGATTGTTCCCGGCCAACTTTCGCAGATTTTGCTGAGATACCCGAAGCACAAAACCGTAGCCTTTTCTCGGAGAGAGGATCTAGTCAGTCTTCATGCTGTTGCTACATACACACTGCATTCTGACTGTGTCTTTTAACAGTCGGTGTCGCCCACGACTACGAGAAGAAGTACGAACCCGATCCGCCATTCCAAGGCGCAGGCCCGCAAGCACGTATCTGGCAGGTCTACGGCAAGGAAGCCGATGAGCTTGACTCGGACATGATTGGCGGGTGGAAGGCTACGATAGATGTCTTCCTGGTCTTTGTATGATCCCTCATTGCCTGTTTGTTTGTTTGTTTCGTCCCTTTAGGGTCACTGAGGGCGGAGCCCTATGTAGACCTAGGTACATCCTGAGCTCGACCGTCCCGTACCTCCCTCTCCCCCTCTGTCCCTGCGCATGCTGTGATGTACCGTAAAGAGCCCGTGTAATGGGAAAGAAATCGTGAGAACCTGAGACCGTTGAGCGGCATTGCTGCTTCCTGTCCTCCCCCTTCCGAGTCTCCGTCTATCCTCTCCCTCCTGCCAGTGCGTGTCGAGCTCGTCCCACAGTCTTCTTCTTCCTCTTCGTCCCCTCCGTGTCCGGCTCGGCGAGTGCAAGATCACCGTACGTCGCTGTGAAGCGACCCGTGTCGTGAATATATCGGAATAGTGCGCGTACTGTCTCCGTCGAGTTCAGCAGGTGTCGAATAGACTTTGCTGCCGGCCCAATATCTCTCTCTAGGCGTGCGCGTGCGTTTCGGTACCCCGGGCATTCCAGCAGGTAGTGGTATACTGACTCCCGTATTCCGCGATCACAATTCTGGCAGTTCGGTGAGTCGACTTGCTTTATCCGGTGTAGGTGTCGGCGGAGCGGGACGTGCTCCGTGCGTAGCTGAATGAGAAGGCTGGCGTGTCGCCGTGGCAGCGAGTACGCGATCTTGCAGTACTTCTTTGACGGCATGTCCTCGTCGATGCGGTCCATCTTCGCTGCCCGGGGTGATTCCTTCCACTCCTCGCGTGCTCTCGTCGTGAATACCGCATTCAGCGTCTGGCGAAGCCGAGACAGGCTGATGGGGAGCTTTGAGCGAAGCCAACCCGGGAGGTCCTCGACCGGGCTGCTGTCTCCTCGCGCTGCCTTCTTCGCCTCGCAGTCCGCTAGTTCGTTGCCCTCGATTCCCTTGTGTCCGGGCACCCATCGCATCGTGAAGTTGACTCCCGGGTGTCGCGCTTTGAGCGTGTCAATGGCGCGTAGGAGTCGATCGATTAGGTAATGTGCCGGGTGAGGTCGACGGTTTTTAGAGGCCTGCAGACAGGCCAAGTTGTCGGCTGCGTTCGACGCTGACTTGCATTGCAGTTCGCGAAGCAAGAGGGTCACACCAAGTATGAGCCCGACTATCTCGCCCTCGTAGACCGTGTGCTCCTTTGACGAGCCGAGGTGGTACCGTAGTACCTTCATCTCCCCGCGCCCTGGGTTGACGAGGACTGCCGCTGCTCCCACTCCGTCGTCCACGTCTGATCCGTCCGTGTATACTCGCATTCCATCTTCTCTCGCCCATCTCTTCTCCTCCTCTGCCGCTGCCTCCTTGCTCCCTGCAATCGACACCGCGAACATCAGGAAAACCTGAATTCCCTAATGAGGTCTCATAACAACAGATGAGACAAACTTTCATAGAATTAGATATAATTAGGGACATTAGCCAGTAGTGAACTTTCCTTGCTCCCAAAAATAATTTGCTCTAATTAGTCCATAATCCTGTCTAATCCTGTGCTAATTCTGTATGAATGAGGCACAATGTACACTATGTAAGACACAGTCCTTCATAACAAGACTCTAATGAGACACATTCACTCTGCAATGAGTCCACAATACATGCATCAGATCACAAAGAAGGGTACACATATGCTCTGCTCACTGTCACACAGCATGACATTACATAAAAAGAGATATATTGCACTACAGAATGACAGCAAGACTGTATGCCCATGTGAAACAAACACACAGATATACTCATCATAGATCTACAGGAAGTACTAGAACAAAGGAGAGGCAGGAGCAGTACAGACAAAAGCTAGGCACTCACACAAACATTGACTAGCCAACTGTCACGCGCACGGAAGGGAGAGTGTCAGCGCACTCAGTCAAATCAAACACAATGGATCCACACACCTGCAACAGTCATCTACGCCAGCACACCTTCATCGGGCAGAGCGACCCCACTGCTACGGTGACCTTCTCGTGAGCATGCAGCACCGTGGTGGCCGGCGCGGTCGTGAAGGACGCGAAGGTGTAGGCGGGCACAAAGGAAGATGACAGGCAGAAGCAGGCCTTCAGGCCACGGGCGTCGGTGAGGGCCGGCTCTGGTAGCGCACCGGAGGGCACGGGATACACAGCATCAGTCAACGATCAGGCGTGGAGGTTAATTAGTTGACGTACAAGGCACCAGCACAGACGACGTGGCGCACAGGCGGGCGACGCGCATGCCAGTCAATGGCGGGGATCTGCGTGCACACATGTCATTGCTTCGGAGAAGTCGGAGGCTGCGCAGATGAGTGCCTATATGTAAGTCAGTAAGATATTTAGGCAGACAGTTCACAGATATCAGTCGCGCACCTGCTAGTCCGTAATCCACTCCATAAAGTTCCTGCGCGCGGACTATGTATGGCCATCCATTCTCACCGCTGGCGGGCTCGCCCAGGTCCAGCTCCACGTGGATTGTGCTCCCAAAGGAGTTCTGCAAGCTACTCGAGCGCGAGCGCCGCGCAAACGACGTCCCAAACGACGTCGAGGCGGTCATCGAGGGCGCCGCGTCAGCGAGCTAGAAAGAAATCATGAGTAACACATACAGTGACTACTTACCTTCGACTTATTGGACTTTGCGTTCGAGACGCGCGACGGCGCGAGCGTCTTGACGGACACACAATGGTCGTGGTGGAAAGGAGGCAAGAGAAGTCACCGCCACGTTGCGCACGAGCCACTTAACAAGCGCCCGCCTCGGATTTTCCCGGCGCGGGCTCCTGGGCGCTGACGTGGCGAGTTGCCCTTGCTTTGCCCTCGCTCCGGTCGATCTTGGGCGCGAGGGCGGCGGGGAACACTTGGTCGAACTTTGTGCGTCGTGGGCGCGGGACACGCACTGAGCGGGTGCAGGCGGCTGCGTCGGGACTCGGTACTACCGAGGTAAGTCGTTTTCTGGCCTTGCTGCTGCTGATGTGGCGTTTGTGCAGGTCGATTCGTCGGTGAACGGGAGCTTGCGTGACTAGCGCATGGTCAGAGCCTCCGCAGACGGCTTGCCAGAGTGCCTGCCAGCGCGCCGGCTCTTTCTTTCTGCTACCAGGCCACAGAGTACCGGGCTGGTCGGCCGCTGAACGTTCAATGCCGCTGCATGGTGCCGTAAGTCTCGTTTTGGTCCCATTCCATCAAGTCCCGTTGGCTCCTCCTCCTCCCGCGCCGCCTATGTACCCGTCTGCCCGTCGAACGCGTGGCTATCGGCGGTCAACTCTCTCCCCAATTCTACACCACCATCCTCTTGTAACCGGATGGCCAGTCAACGCGTCAAGTCGCGTCATCCAGCCCTCAAGCCGGCCGCAAGGTTGCACGATCTGTCCGTGCACCTTGCGGCCAACCGGCTCCCGTTGACGTGGATCGCTGCACCTGTGCCTGCGCCCACTGCGATGATACTCAACACCCCGGAGGGACAAGGTGCGCTGGTGCCCCAGATCAAAGCGAGGACCGCGACGGTCTGGCTGATACACCGCTCGAAGACCGGCGCGCCCGACCAAGTACCCCCGCTCCCACGCGACACACGTCTTAGTCGCGCCAGCCCAGACGCAAATGTCCGACTGGGCAGGTCGATTGCCCTCGCTCCGGTCGATCTTGGGTGCGAGGGCGGCGGAGAACGGTTGGTCGGACACGTGGGCGCGGGACGCGCATTGAGCGGGGCGGGTACGTCGGTACTACCGAGGTAAGTCGTATTCTGGCCGTGCTGCTGCTGACGTGGCGTTTGTGCAGGTGGGTTCATAGTACCCCAGTCGATCGACGGTTCGTCGGCAAACATCAGGATTTCGTGCAATTCCTCTGAGGGGCCCTGTCAGGGGCTTCATAAGCGCTCAGAACGCTTCATTTTGCATCAGAACGGCTCATATGGCCATCCCTCAAGGACTCGAATTTTGGCGAATTGTTGTTGTCAGACAGAATTTTCAGACAGACTCAGACAGCTCCAGAGACGTCAGATACTGCATCGGATCCTCAGAGGTATAAGCATATGTTTAGCACTCAGACGTATTGCTCATAGATGTCACAGTTGTTTATCAGCTACACTAGCATAGTACTTATATACAGTTCACTGGCGGTAGGCTCGCGCGGTACGCTACACACCCGTGCTTATCATGGCAGCGATCCTCCTCGTGCTCGCCCCAGTACTGTAGGCTATGTTGCGTGGCGCGCTCCTGTCCATTTGCTGTGTTCACCGTGCTCATCTGCGTCGTCCTCAATGCGGCCGGTTCATGGAGCTGGCGGCGGGCGCGTTGAGATAGGATACAGTGCTCTCGGTGGCATTGTCCTTTCTCGGACTGGGGTGTGGCGCGTTCATCCTCAACGGGCCTCTACATGGCGGGATGGGGCCTACGGATACTCGGTGGGCTCGTGGTCGTCGTGCGGTCCTCCTCGGTTGACTAGGCCGTGTTGTGCTTGGGTTTGACTCATCGGCGTGCGGTATGTCCATACTCGGCTGTCGCACTTCGAGAAAGCGTAGGAAGAGCTCGGTCTCTGCATCGTCTGCGGTCAATGTCATAGATGGTCAGTCTCGGAACGGCAGAAAGAGCGTGAATGACACTCACGAAGCTAGGTGCAATCGCATCACAACCGTGTGCAGCAACACCATATCTGCTGTGCCCGTGCGTGCTGTGTTGAGGCTTAACCTCTACAAGTCTCGTGTTAGCGGATTGGCACGCGCACGAGCTGAGATCGATCGTACTCACTAGGCATGGGTGCACCGGGGTTGTCTCTCGTGTTCATCACCGTGCCTGCCCCCGGCGTGCTGAACCCGCTTGCGTGCCTGGCGTCCATCCAACGCGTCTTCTCCCTCGATGCCGGTGACCCATCCAGGACCTCGTGTCGCCCACAGCGTCCCCTACGATCTTCCCTTCGAGGTCCTTGTCCACGTCTGCGCTATCTGGCACTTGCTCGGCGCGTGCAGGTCGTCCGTTGTGCTCACGCGTGTCTGGCTCATCGGGCTGGCGCGCTGGAGCTCAGCGGCCTGGCTTCTCGAGCTAGAGACGCGCTCGTCTTCGGCGGGCCTCCATCCTGGCTTCTGCATGCCTCCGCTTGTGCGGATGCGTTCGCGTCCGCGCCTTCGTTGCGATCATTGCCGCGACCTGCGCACGCTGGCATTAGTTCGACTGCGCTCGTCAGGCAAAGTCGCAAGACGACAAGAAGTGTACTCACCTGATCACTCTGCCTTCTAGCCACATCTCTCCCTTCCTTCGCGACCATCCTTCGCCCCCCTCCCCCGTCGGAGTTCTTCGCGCGTCGCTTGGAGCCTGTTGCGGCTGCTGGGCCACGCAATCGTGGGGCGTCACGGTGGCCGGTTGATTTGCGTGCCGACGTCGCTTGCGGACGGACCCGCACGTATGTTATTGAGGTAGGTAGAAAGGAGGTAAGCGCGAAGCGAAGGTGAGAGATGGCGATGAGGGTGTCGGGGCCGAAGGCGTACCTGTGGTGAAGTGCAGTCTGAGTGAGAGCGAGAGCAAAGTGGCAAGCGCGCATCAGTAGCTGACGTGGCTGAAGCGCTTAGCGCTTAGCACTTCCAACTTACTGCAACTTTCAACGACGTTCAAGAAGCCCGACCGGCGACACTGCGCAGCAAGTACGCAGCAAGTACGATAGGGAAGCGAGGGTGGGATCGGAGGAGGCGGGGCATGTCTTCGATAGTTCAAGTGAGTACGACTGTTCGATATTTGGAGGTACTTACACCGCGTTATCTTTTCCATACCCATGCCAGTGAGTCGTCGAATACATTCTCTCGTACACTGACACATCCACTCCCTCATGTACCTATGTGCTTGCCTACTCGTTTGGCCACCCGCTCGTCTTCCATTGGCCCGCTCACTTGCTTGTCGTGCTACCTGCTCGCCCACTTCGCTCGCCCACGCGCCTTGCTCAATTGCTCGCGTGCCTCGCTCAGCCATTCATGTGCCCAGCTCAAGCATCTACTCGCCTCACTCAACCGACCGCTCGCCGTGCTCCCTCGCTCCGCCGTCCCCTGCCCAAGTTCTCGCGGTTCGCAGACGGCTCGCGGTGCTACACTCCTACATCCACTAGCTCCCTTGCTCCGAGAGGTGACGTACATTCTGAGCATCCTGACGATGTGCGCTCTCGCGCTCGCGCAGCTCCCCGCGCGCCCTGTGCCACGTGCGCGCAGGAAAGGCAGGCTCATGCACAAGGTATGCTCCCTAACCCTTCGCCGCCCACGCTCCTCTGACAGGCTGCCCCGCAGCACCTCAGCCTCTGCTGGCACTGGTACGACCCCTCCGATGCAGCAGAGCTCTGTCGACCGCTGCTTGGCCTCCGAGTGCGGACGAGCCTGCGCAGAACCTCTTTGTCGAGCTTCGTCAATCCCTTTCTTGCGATCTGCGCTCTGCAGCACGCCCCACAACCTCGACATGGCCAAGACGACGTTTCAGAGTGTGTGCCCGTGAGTTTCGACATCAGTGTGGACTGACGGACTGTGTCAGACACAATATAGGTATCACATGGCTCCAGACGTACGGGCACGGATCGAGAGCAAGCGTGGGGAGTAGGGACGGGATGTTGCGGATGTGGACGGACGAGTGAAGACTGCCAGGTAAGTTGCTCCCCATTTTCTGTCTGTGCCGCCCCAGACCTCATGCTCTTGTAGCGCGGTATTGAACATACCCTGATCTACGTGTAAGACTCAGGTCTGTGTACGAAACTAGCGCTGCAGCGGGCCCTGTACCCGAAATGTGCGTATATGCCTTTGCCCGCGCCAAACGCGCCTCCTGCATTGCCCCCCAGCTGTTTGCTCCGCCCCCGTCCGCCCCGTCTTGATGTTTCTGCTCCATTCGGCCGCGTCCCTTCATGTCCCCCAGCTCTCCCTCGTCCGGACGGCCTCTCGACGTGTCAAGCCCCAGCGCAGCGCGGCACTCAGGTCAACTGCGCGATGGTGTGACCTACTGTCTACGCATCTCGCAGCCGCCGCCCTCCGCTGATGTGATCGGATCGCGACCCTCGCGTCTGCACTCAATGCAAGGATGTAAAAGACTTTGCCGATGCGACGTTAAGTAGGCCCTACCTGCATGATGTGCTCCGACGTGTACTAGACATATCTTATGATGATTATAGTAGTCTTAATACATTACATTTGCACCAATTTACACGCAGGAGAGGTTTCCTGACGAAATGTGTGATTTTAGCTGTCTGATGTGCTGAGCTGTCTGATACTGTCTGGCACTGTCTGAGCCTGAGGTCAACTGAAGTTATCTGACGATTTGTGATGTCTGGAGCGCCCTGATGCCTCTGAAGGCCGGCTCTCAGACACACATACCGTCAGAAATTGCACGGTTTCCTGATGAAGGGGAGCTCGCGTGCGAGCTCTTGCGTGACTCGCGCATGGTCAGGGCCTCCGCAGACGGCTTGCCAGAGTGCCTTTGGTGCGCGATCTCTCCTGTTGCCAGTGTGCTTACTGATGATGGATATTGCTCATGCTTTCTCGCCCCCTGTGGTGAGTCTGTACCCGGGCGGGTTAGGGTATGGGTCGAGCTCGGGATACCCCTCTCATTCGACGCATCTTCACATGCGCGGGTTCACTTCTTCTACCGATGCGTGTTTGCGTTTGCATGCCCCTCCTGTCGACTCGCCCCCGCCTCGCGGCTCTGCACCCGTGTCTCTCTCCGGCCTCTCGAGCACTCCCCCGGCGTCCCGCATGAGCGAGTTCCTGGACGAACACCGGGCTGTGCGAGATGACTACGCGTCCAGTAATCGCTCCTCACCCTCCCAGTGTAAATTTGTTGGTTTGTCTGGACTCTAGTTAAATTGGTATATGATTTCGTTGTAACTGCTGTTTGTCCTGTATGCTTGCCTGTCATTCAAGAAACATACCATTGTGTTTTTCATGACTAAGGATCATGCCTGAGGACCTCATTGCATGCTTATGCTGCATACAGAGGTCACAAAGTCTGATCAGAACTGAAGTGCATATGTTATAACTGTATAAGTAGTAGGCAATAGTATATCAAAGTATACATGCCATGTTTACATTTCATTTGCCAGTATGTCTACTTGAGATAATGTCATCAAACTGTATCATCATTAGTGGACATTATGGCCATTAGGACTAATTATCCCAAATGAGAGTATGATTAGGGAGTCAGGCATAATTTGCCCTAAATTAGTGAAACTTAGGGAATTCAGGTTTTCCTGATGAAGTTCGGGCGCCACCAAGGTGGGAGTCGCACCGCTGCAATCTTCTCCACTCGGTTGGGGTGCAGGTCGTAGGCAGCCAGGACCTCGTGGAGGGGGCTCCGGTGTTTCTGGACCCACCGCGCTGCGTGCCTGACGTGTTTGTGGAGAGGGTGTGTGTCGGGTAGGGTGCATAATCTGGTCGCCTCGCGCATGATCAGCCTATCCACTAGTAAGTGAAACGGGGGAATGTTCAGGTGAGCTTCCATCGCATCAGTCGCAGTCGACTTCATTGCGCCCGTTATTAGACGACACGCTTGGCGATGTACACGTCCGAGCTTTCGGATCATCCCAACCGAGCCATAGGTGCGCTTTTGCTTCTCGATTCTCCTCTGCGGGATGATCCAGACACTGGCAGCGTACAGCATGCCTGGAAGCAGCATCTGTTCGTAGAGCGTCCTGACGTGTCTCATTGGGATTCCCTGTTTGGGACGTGCTAGCCGGCCAAACTGGAGCAGCCAGGCAGTGCCCTTCTTGAGAGCGTACTCGGCATGGCGTTTGAACTTGAACTTGTGGTCCACCCAAACCCCAAGGAACTTGGCGTCCTTAGAGGGGTGAACCGTCCCGTCCGCCAGGACCAGCGATGGTCCTAGATCACCCTTGCGGAGCTTTGGGTCTGCATTGATCAGGTTCAGCTTTGACACCTCAAAGCGGGAGTTCCTGGTTCGTGACCACTCCTTTGCGCCACCGCGCTTCTCCATGTACTTTCGCAGTGCGCCCGTTGTAGCGTCCAGATCTGCGCCGACTGCGACCGTTGCGACATCGTCAATAAATCCCAGGGCCATCTCGCCATTCTCCTTGTCTGCACACTCGAGGAGTACAAGATTGTAAATCTTGTACAGGAGAACTGATAGAGGGCAGCCCTGGTCAATCCCGCTCAGGATTCGGAAGAGCTCGGAGCAGAAGTCATCAAAAGTCATGCACGTGCGTCGACCGTCCAGCTTCCTGCGTAGCCAGTCTACGATCTCTGCTGGTATCCCAATTCGTCTCATCTCGTGGAAGAGACGCTCTGGGATGGCACTTGGGAATGCCGCCTCGACATCAAGAAACAGGATTGAGGCAACCTTTTTGGATCGCCAGGCATCATGCACAGTCTTCGAGAGGAGATGTAGCGAATCAGTGGTCGTACGACCAGCCCTTCCTCCAAAGTGGCCCTGCGGGAAGAGCCCATTCTTCTCCATCTCGTACTCAACCGTCTCTGCGATGCACGAGGAGAGGATCTTCGCCATACAGCTCATAAGAGCAATGGGGCGGTAAGATTTCGCCAGCGAGTAATCACTGCGACCCGGTTTCCGTAACACAACTGTTGTGGAAACTTTCCACTCATCCGGGTAGTACCGAAGGTCGAACGTGGCTCGATAGAGACAGCCAAGGTACGGGACCAACAGGTTTGCGCACCGCTTGTATACCTCGTTTGGTATCCCATCCGGGCCAGGCGCCTTGAACTCTTTGAGACGTTGGCATGCGTCCGCGACTTGTTCGTCTGAGACGTGCGCAAACTCGAACTTCGGTCTCGGGTAGCGTTCAGCATCAGGGTCCGGCATCTCGAGGTCAGGCGGGGGCTGGGGGAAGAAGGTCTCGTACAGGACCCGACTCTTTGCATCGTTGTCCCGTTCGAGATTTGTGCTGCCCTGTCGACGTAGGGGTGGCACTCTGCTTTTACTCCCATCAGTAGAGCCCATGCGGATGAATTTCCCAATTGTCCAAATGGACTTAGCGTCAGCATCCTCCATCCAAGCTTCCCAGTGAGCTCTTTTCGCCGCCCGTATCTGGTCTCCGTAACGGTTGCGCAGCCGGCGGTATTCTGCGTGGATCGGGTGGCCTGGGAACTCGCGCAGCTTGAACGCGCTTCGTCCTAGCCGTCCAACCTCCCGACGCATGTTGTTCAGCTCCTTCGAATACCACCGCTTTGCGAAGGGCGGCGGCTTGGTCTCAGGGACCTTCTCAGTGATGGTCTCCTTGAGCACTGACATGAGCGCAGAAAGCATGGCGTCAAACTCTTCTATCGAGCGTAGGCCTATCCGCGGATCCGGTACTTCGTCTAGACGTATGGCGAGTTCTGTTTTGAACTCGTTCCATTCCACCTTCCGGAAGTTCCTGAATCTGCGTGCCTTAGCCTTTGGGACATCAAGAAGAAGAGACGTAGCGATGGGGAAGTGATCGGTGCAGGGAGGGCGGAGGTCGGGCATAGTGTTGCATGCAAGTAGGGAGTCGACCAGCCCTTCCGTCGCGAAGACATTGTCTGGACGAGTCAGATTTTTAGTATTCGACGCCTCCAGTGTCGGGATGCCCGCGGGTAGGAGCATATGTAGATTGAAAACACTCAGCAAGTTTATCAGCTTGTCCGCTTGATCGAGGGCTTGGTTGGTAAACAGGTGTGTGTTCCGTTCATCATCCCATAGGGGGTGGTGACGGTTGAAGTCCCCGAGCCACAGGACTTGCAGCTCAGGGTCCTCGTCATCGTCTCGTAAAACACGTCTGGTTTCGCGGGTCAGGACCGCCTGGGCAAGGTCGCTGTCCTGCGGGTTGTAGACATTGAAGATGTGGAGAGTGGTGGTTGCAGTTCGGAGGGCAACTGCAGTAATGTCGGGAGACGAAACCGGGATGGCTGTCCAGCTATTAGTAGAGATGCGTTTATTCACAAGGATAATCGAGCGTGACGTAGCCTCATTGTCTTTGTGGCCGGTCGGATAGGTCACTATCCAGTCAGAGGAGGCACGTGTGTTCTTCAAGAAATCGATGTGCGGTTCCTGTAGCGCGATGATGTCGTACTCCGTCACGCTGTGTAGAAGGGCCGACTGGGCTGTGTTCGACTTATTGACATTTGCTTGACAGATCTTGAGAGTGGTCCCCTCATTCATCATGGGGGGAGTTGCGGTCGTTGCTCCCATCAGATGCGCGCGAGCTTGGTCGCGTCGGGGGCCCCGACCACGTGAAGCCACCTTCCTTTGTCAGAGTCGACTGTCGTCGGCCGCCTGGCTCGCGGAAGTTGGTGGTCTGGGGGCGAACACGATCAGTAGCTCGGGAGCCCTCGAAACTCTGGCTGTGCGTTCGTCCTCTGGACATCATAGCATTTCCCCCATCACTGTGAGGTGGTGCGTCTCGGTATCGCTGTGCATGTCCACGCTTCTCTCCATTTCGAGCAGCCGCAGCCATGCTCTCGAAGGAGTGGCCAAGGTTTGCCGCCCGGGATGGGTGCATCCCTAGGGGTGCTTCCCATCGTGGCGGGGTTGGCTGTGTCTGCTGTGTCAGCATGGGCTGGGGTACAGGGGGCATATCGTGGAACCCAAAGTGGTCACCACTATACTCGTCCTCATTGACCAAAAGCTCCCACGATCGGGGATCATCTGCCCTCGGGAAGAAGCGGTACTTCTCGAAGGGGTCTTTGGCCTGGATTTTTCGATTCATATGGATGAACGCGGGGCAAACACGTTCCCAAGACGCGTGTCCGTACTCATCGCAGTTCACGCAGAACCGCCCAAAGCCTGGAGGGACCGAGCAGTCCTGCGTCGTGTGGTCCTCGGCTCCACAAGTGCCGCACGCCGGTTTGTTCGTGCAGTCCTTCGCTAGGTGTGCCGGCTCGAATTTTTGGCACTTCAGACATCGGCGCACTTCCTTCCTCTGGCGGTCCGGGAGCAGCTTCATTCCCCGGTACAACAGCCCATTCATCATCGCGTCATTCGCGACCTCATCAGAAGTCACCTTAACTAAGAGGTAAGCCGTCCTCTGGTTCGGCTTACGCCTCAGCGGTGGCTTGATCCAATGAGCGACAATGATGTCGCGCTCTTTCCATCCGTTCTCCCGTTCCAACTCTCGGTATGCCCTTTCGCTCGGAACAAACGAGACCGGGACCCCCGAGATCTTGAGGGTCCACTGTCTCACGCGGATCACTGCTTCCGCACCGAACTTCATTCCGAAACTCTCCATGTTCTCTGGCTTGTGAAGCCATTTCGCCGCAGACTCTGTGTTCATCTCGTATAGGAGACCACCGTTAGGCTGCTTCCTAACCGAGACGAAGCTCGCATCGTCGGGTAGGCCTGGAGCATCCTCCGCAGCGAGCTGGAGCGTCTGGTTCGCCTTCTCAACCAGTACGTCCTCCGAGAGGTCAATATCCTCCCGGCTCGACCACTTCTTCACATCAATCAGAATCTGCCGCCCTTTGTTCTTCTGGCGTGCGAGTACGCTCGCATGCGTCACCGGAAGTTGGTGTTGAACGACGGCCGCAAACGTGGGCCGTCCTCCAACATCCACAATCATGGGCCCGGGGCCGTTCATGGCCTCCGAGTTGGTAGTACCCTGGCGCGCACCAGCCTGGGTTCCATCCAAGATACCCTGCGTTTTGCGTAGAGTCTCCTCCATGTCTTTCCGCATCGCACCCACCGCCTCCAACTCCTTCACGAACTTCGTCTGATTCTCGATGAGTTTACTCACCTCTGCGCTCAGCCGTCCAACAGCTCCGTCCACTTGAGTCTCGAGATGGGCCTGCTTGTCGACGACCTCCTCGAGCTTCTCGTCCGTCCTGATCACGTCTTCGAGAAATGGTCTGAGCTTCTCGTAGCCATTGTACAGGACATTGCTGTCCCGGATCGCAGCGGCGTAAGTGGCGAATGCGTAGAGTATCTCGCATAGCTGGGCCTGGTTGGTGAGCTCCGCGCAGAAGCGTAGGCCCTCCGTGAGCGCGTCGATGTTGGGGTCACCCTCCGGGACCAGAGTCTGTTGCCTCAGCATCTTGTACGCCTTCTCAATCGTGTTCATCTTCTCCTTTGCTTCAGACTTCTCTGACGTCCTCCCAGCCTTCGTAGCTGAACTGGTAGGTCGGGCGCTAGACGCCCTGGTCGCCGGTGACGCGGTCGGTTTGACCGCCTTCGACGACGCGTTCCCCTTACCGGGGTTCGACATCGCAGCTCTAGAGCGAGTCGCGGTGTAAGAGAGTAACTATATAGTCTATGGAGTTCTGTTTCGAGCTCCAGTTCAGTTCCACACGTCCGTGTTCCCCTCCCCTATGAGGTTCGGACCGTGGGAATGTTGCCAGTGGTGAGCGTTAGAAGCAAAGAGGGGTCCCCTCATTGCCTGAGCCACCTCCAGAGACACTGACGCGCCCACCACGAGGTCGGCTTATTCTCCGCTACAGTCACTTCGTTCCTTCTTCAGTCCGCCTCAGCACTGCAGGACTCCACGACAATCAATAGCTACCTCTTAGCCGAGCTCATCGCCGTGCAGCGCGCTGCTGCAAACGGCGCATCCTTGGCGAACGTTGATCCTTCTCCTTATGGCCCAGGAGACCCGACAGGCGAGCCGACAGACGTTTGGGTCAACGCTCTATGGATCTCAAGCCTGACGATCGCGCTGTCGTCCGCGCTCTTTGCAGTTCTCGTCAAGCAGTGGCTCCAGCGCTACGAGTCCGTCATCTCGGGGTCCCAACGCGAGCGCGTGCTTGTGCGGCAGTATCGTTTCAATGGACTGCGGAAGTGGAAGGTGGCCACAATCATCGACGTCCTTCCCATCTTCCTGCATGTCGCGCTGTTCCTCTTCCTGGCGGGGCTCGCAGTCTTCTTTCACCCTCTAAACACCGATCTGTCGTACCTCGTCATCGCTGTCACGGGAGCAACACTCGTTATCTACACCTGCGTCAATTTCCTCCCTGTCATCTATCCCGATTGCGCGTTCAAGACCCCCATCAGTGACCGCTTGTCCCTCGTGTTACGCTACGCACGCAGCAGGTTCGAGCCTAGCGAGTTCGCGCGGGGCTGGCTCGTGCGTCTCAGGCTCGCACGTCTCAGGATCGGGCATCGGCTCAGGTGGTTAGCGCGCGCACATGCGCGCGATGCACACCTCGAGGAACAGCGATTGATGAACGAATTGAAGCAGCAGGACGAAAATGGTCCTTCATCAACAACAACAATGGAGGACGGCGAGCGGGAACAGGTGAAGGGTGCCACGGACCAGCTCGTCCACGACTCGCTCGTCTGGCTCTCCCGCCACTCAGGCAATCCATCTATCCCGGGCATCATCGCAGAGGCCGTAGCGGGAATGCCCAGCGGCCTCTTCTGTGCTACATTGAAGGGCACAGGGAGCCAGACTCGCCTCGTGTGCCTCCTCCCCGTCGCATATCCGGGCGTCTTCGATGCCAATTTCGAGGTCGACCTAGGTGCAGTCATGTCATGTGCTACGAAACCTGTGCACCGTGACGGCGTTGCACTGGCAGTGCGAGCGGCAGTGCCGATACTGGAGCTATTGCTGAATTTCGAGACGTTGGATCCGAGCAATCCGGGGGGCTTGGACTTGGCTACGCTGGTGGTATTTTGCAACAGTAGGAGCGACCCTCGCCTACCGCTCTCAATGTGGCTCTCCTTCGCCACGTCACTGGAGAAGGCCATTCGGCGGCATTCCTCTCTCACGTTCGAACAGCTAGCCGTACTCATGGGACTCGCCGGACCCACATTCCAAATCGCGGATCCGAAGGCTGATTCGCTGCACCTCTGGAGCATGCCAAGTTGCGTAACTCTCCGCGAAATTGCAGACGAGATACGCACCTTACTGTGTCCGGTCATTCTCGATGCACTGCGCGCCAAGGCGGGTCCCGCAGCGCTCGTACGCGCCAACATGGATATCCAAGATGTGAGGAGGCGGCTGAACGGCTATACCTGGCCGGCTGTTCTCAAAGCTTTCGGGTGCAATTTCCCTGCTTTTCAACTGGAATGTACAGACGGGTGCGTCGAAAGGTGTACTATACAACGGTGGCCCGCTAACGCAATTGCAGATATACCTACAAATACGAGCCATCCGGAGGGTGCTATCAATGGTAAAACGTGTCCGCGCAGTTTGTCTTAGACGGCTGAACGCTGACTTCGTTGCAGGGAAAGGAACCAATACTGGGTACAGGGCCAATCCAGTCCGGACCCCTCACTAGGGCTGTATGATGTGGAAGTTGCTCTTCGGGATATGCACCCGGTGACGGATTCGCCTGCGACGAGACGCACGGTGTTGTCCGGCCTCCTCAGACGTTTCGTTCGGAGAGTGGACGAGTACCAAAGCGAGAACACGACGGAGGATAAGGAGTCTCAGCAAGGCAGGTCGTCCCAGCCAGATGTATAGCAAGGATAAAGTCTGCGCATGTAAGTATATATTCACGCTCACTCTCGAGCCTGGGAAGTAATGCAATGCGGTATCTTAGACTTCGCTCAACGTTCGCCGACACTGCTCGGCGATAGTCTAGTTGAACGTGCATTCATCCCACCTCGGCACGCTTTCTCAGAACCACTGCTGTATCCGCCTGTTATTTAATATTATTTCCGATGCAAGTACAGCCAGAAAGGGAAGATACGGAGCGATGCGGTGGCGGAGGGACGAATCTCACGACGACGTGAGCATAGAGAAGTGCCGGTAGCTGAGTGCTAGATCACCCATCTCACGACACATCGCTCGTTTGTCATGATTTTACGTTGACCCTCGTTGAGCACCTTCGAACACCACCCTCGTCTGGCAAGAGTATGTACCCGTTGGCTTCTGCAACGTATGAGGTTTGACTTTGCATATGACATTACTTGACGGTCGCCATCAATTCGGATGGGAGTAGAGTCTACTACGACTGAACAGGGTTGAATAGTACGCCTGGAGTACTTCGCCGTGCGTTCCCCGGCCTGAACCTTGTGGCCACATCTCCCATCTAGGAACGGAACCGGGCGCACCCGTCGCAGCCGCACGAGTTGGGTGTCCCGTATACAAATTTAGATCCTCTGACAGTTTTTGATGCGCCGTAGGCCACGGACACGAGAAGTATGCAGGCCCGTGATAGCCAGCGTCCTCTCAATTGCGGGCAAGCATTTCCGAGCAGCAAAAGGAACCTCCGTCTCGTCAACTCAGATTTGAAGCACATGCAGAGAGCGCAGGGGACCCAAGACTGCTGAACCGGCAGCTCCATCACGCGTCACTTCATGCGGGCCAAGGCAACAGTCCGCGCTGCAAGTAGGACATCCACCGAGGACGGCGCCGCCGACGAACATCGCGACCGTGACGTAGCCAAAGAAAGCGGAGCTAGAAACGACCCTGACGAGCATGCAGACAACCCGTAGGAGACTACGAGAATGCGGTGTATGCAGCGGCGATGTTAATAGCATTCCTCGGAGTCCGCAAAACCTGGTTTGCCCGCGGTGTCAACAAGTTTGGCCAGCCGTCCTATTATAGTGTTCTATTCGGCTAAAGAATTTCCGGATCGAGTATGTCGTGACTTTCTGGCGTCTAGTTTTTATATTCGTATAAAGCCTGTATCGCCCTATCGACATGTACGAGCGAGACCAATATGAACCGCTGGTAGTAGGAGCGTGGAGATGAGATGGAAGATGTTCGTGTAGAGAATTTTTGGGATCTTATTCAGTGAACATCGTGCCTCGCAGCAGCACTTGCCAGGGCGTCTAAACGCCCGATCCCCGATCCTTCAGCCACAGGCGCGTCTATCCATTCGGCGACTCTTATCCTTGTCTTATCCTTCCACCACCCCTCGCTGTCTGAATCGACCTGAGCGGGGCCTTGCCATAGAGATCTCTGCATTTTGGCCCATGGCCCAATTGCGCGACTCTCCTCTCCTGCGCTCTCAGTGTCTGTCGCGCATGGCTCCCGCACAGTCTACCCTGAATTCCTTCCCGCTAGAACTCGCAGGCAAGCTTACGTATGTTGGCTGCATTCGTCTCCCGAGTCGGCGCACCGCCACCTACTGTACGTAGCTGCAATCATTAGCTGCGCTCCGCCAAGGGACTTCTGTGCGAAGACTACCAGTGGAGAATCTGGAGATCAGAGGCTTCATGCTCCCGTCTCTGCATTCATTCAGCCTCTCATAGTCGCGCTGCCTAATGTTCTACAGTAAATCTCATCTGCGAGCTGCTCCGGTGCGCCCTGGCGAAATGGGATCAGCGATTCTCTCCTTCGGCATCAGCACGTCCCATATTCGCGAGCATCGCCACGTCGGACATCCAATGGTCTGGGTTAGTCGACGTGATATTCGACCTCGCAGAGCCGTATTCTCTGCACTCTCTAATCATCCCATACATTGTGAAGCAGGAGCTACCACTCGGGCCAGGCTTGTACGTACTGTTCTGCTCTGCGTCACCTCGGTCCTAGGCTTTGTTTCTGCGGCTTGGCCGTTGCATATGAGTGAGTCCACACCCTCTCTCTCTCGTCGCGCCGCATTCGCTGATCACTCCCATCACAGGTGTATCCCGAAGTCGCTGAGCACGTCAACCTGCAGACCATGCGCCTGCGTTTCAACGTCTGAGGCGAATGATCACCTCTATGTTCTCCCAGCTACCTGCCCGCGTCCCACTCGTCCGGCTAATGATCTGCACAAGGAGAGCTTGAAAAGGCGTTTGCTACGGCTTGATTGCCTGGACGACCTCGTTCTGCATCATTACCTAGACACCGAAGACCTCGGCTTTTGTCCCAGACAGGGAACGTCGGGTGCAGACTGGTATTGTGAAGTGGTGTGATGTGCGATGGCGTCTGCCAACCACTGTCTCTCGTGGTGCTCTTGGCATAGAATCAGGTGCGTGTGCTCAGAGCGCCCGTTTTGCTTCCGGTATTGTCTTGCTGATAATACAATTGCAGGTGACGATCATCAGTGAAACAATCTAATGCTTGAGAACGAATTGCTGCCCACGAACACGGGTGCCTTGCTGTGTAAATTATAGCAGGTACGCGCATAGCGGCGCGCGTCAGGGTCAATCAAGGCCATATACCGCGTTCGTTCGACAACGTGTTACCACTCCGCTATCTTCACTGAACCCTCATTGTGATTTCGCCACTTTTGTCTCTGGGTCGCGGTCGCCGACTGATACTTGGTGCTACAAGCCACCAAAGTGCACATTGTATCGACGCCGACTGCGAAGATACTGGCGTGCTCCAGCGACACACGGCTAACATTCGCGTGGATTCCCAGTCCAACGTGAGGCCGAGCACCGGTGCCGAACTTCTCGGAGTGGACAGGATCTCAAGGCTCGCGGTAGTGAAAACGGTGAGCACAATGGAAATTGTCATCGGAACTGAAGTGTACGCACACAGTTCACGCTCGATTCATCCCAGTGGATTGACGACGGGCATTCTCCCCGCGCAAGACATTTAAACATTGCCGTCGCCGATCCCTCCACCGCGCATCTTGCCATTTAAGGGACACCAGCGGCATGCTTCCCGACTGGTTTGTATACAGCACTGTCAACCTGACCAGGATGTTGAGGTCGTTACCTAGTGAGCTCTTTATTAACGCCTGACCGAAGCCTTACTTGCACACATCGTGGCGCCTCAATCCCAATTCGAGGCGCACATTTCCCAATCCGTAATTGATCATCAATATTGAAGCGCCTGAAACCAGAAGCACGGTATGCTCGCGGAGGCGGGGTACGGCATTTGTTCGCAGCGCACAGCGAACATGGTGGGTGTTATAAATGCTGCAGTGGGCGAACGGTACGGAAGTGCACCCCTGCGACGTATCATTCATGGAGCAGAACAGTCCCGATAGCATACCAGGTATCGTAACCGTTGTCGCTCTTGGGTGTGAGTGTGCATGTCCACTGACGATTTCCATAGCAGCGCCACAACAGGACGGTACTACACCGGTGATTGTCAGCATAGAAGAGTAAGAGTAGTCATCGTGTGCCTCTGGGTCTTTGGTTGAAATATTATACAGGATTCGTCCCATCGGCGCATCGCACAGCACGGATGCTAGTGACGCTGGAGATGCGCCTGCTGATAGACCAGGTACAAGTTTCAACGGTATGTAGTATTGAGATCACTCACTGGCCCGACGCTGATTTTTCCCCGCCGATTTTAGCAGATCCTGCTGCGATGGAAGGACCAAACCTAGAATCCTACAGCCTTCAACCAGAGAGAGGACCAAGTCAGTTTTCATGCTGTCGCTACTTACACGCTGCATTCTGACTCTGTCTTTGAAAGATGCTGTCGCCTACGACTACGAGAAGAAGTACGAACCCGATCCGCCATTCCAAGGCGCAGGCCCGCGCGCACGTATCTGGCAGGTTTATGGCGATGAAGCCGATGAGTTTGACTCAGACATGATTGGCAGATGGAAGGATTCAATCAATGTCTTCCTGGTCTTTGTATGTTCCCTCACCACCTCAACCACCGCCAGCGACACTGACGCGCCCACCACTAGGTCGGCTTATTCTCCGGCACAGTCACTTCGTTCCTTCTTCATTCCGCCTCGGCTCTGCAGGACCCCACGACAATCAATAGCTACCTCTTAGCCGAGCTCATCGCCGTGCAGCGCGCTGCTGCAAACGGCGCATCCTTGGCGAACGTTGATCCTTCTCCTTATGGCCCAGGAGACCCGACAGGCAAGCCGACAGACGTTTGGGTCAACGCTCTATGGATCTCAAGCCTAACGATTGCGGTGTCGTCCGCGCTCTTTGCGGCCCTCGTCAAGCAGTGGCTCCAGCGCTACGAGTCCGTCATCTCGGGGTCCCAACGCGAGCGCGTGCTTGTGCGGCAGTACCGTTTCAATGGACTGCGGAAGTGGAAGGTGGCCACAATCATCGACGTCCTTCCGATCTTCCTGCAGGTCGCGGTGTTCCTCTTCCTGGCGGGGCTCGCAGTCTTCTATCACCCTCTAAACGCCGATCTGTCGTACCTGGTCATCGCTTTCGCGGGAGCAACACTCCTTATCTACACTTGCGTCAACTTCCTCCCTGTCATCTATCCCGACTGCGTGTTCAAGACCCCCATCAGTGAGCACTTGTCCATCGTGTTGCGCTACGCGCGCAGCAGGTTCGTGCCCAGCAGGTTCGCGCGTGGCTGGCTCGTGCGCCTCAGGCTCGCACGTCTCAGGCTCGGGCATCGGCTCAGGTGGTTAGCGCGCGCGCATGCCCGCGATACATACCTTGAGGAACGGCGATTGAAGAACGAGTTGGAGCAGCAGGACGAAAATGTTCCATCGTTCACAACGACAACGAAGGACGGCGAGCGGGAACAAGTGAAGGATGCCACGGATCAGCTCGTCCACGACTCGCTCGTCTGGCTCTCCCACTACTCAGGCAATCCATCCATCCCGGGCATCATCGCAGAGGCCGTAGCGGGAATGCCTAGCGGTCTCTTCTGTGCTACATTGAACGGCACAGGGAGCCAGACTCGCCTGGTGTTTCTCCTCCCCGTCGCATATCCGGGCGTCTTCGATGCCAATTTCGAGGTCGACCTAGGCGCAGTCATGTCACGTGCTATGAACCCTGTGCACCGTGACGGCGCTGCACTGGCAGCGTCAGTGCCGACACTGGAGGCATTGCTGAGACTTGAGATGTTGGATGCGAGCAACACGGTGGGCCTGGACTGGGCTATGCAGGTGATCTTGCGGAACACTAGGAGCGACCGTCGCCTGCCGCTCTCAATGTGGCTCTCCTTCGCAACATCACTGGCGAAGGCCGTTCAGCGGCATCCCTCTCTCACGTTCGATCATCTACGCGGGCTCATGGAAGTCGCCGGACCAACATTCCAAATCGCGGATCCGAAGGCTAATTCGCTGCACCTCTGGAGCATGCCAGGTTGCGTAACCTTCCGCGAGATTGCAGACGATATACGCACCTTGCTGTGTCCAACCATCCTCGATGCGCTGCGGGCCAAGGCGGGTCCCGCAGCCCTCGTACACGCTAACATGGATATGCAAGGCGTGCGGAGGCGGCTGAACGGCTATGCCTGGCCGGCTGTTTTCAAAGCGTTCGGATGCAATTACCCTGCTTTTCAACTGAAATGTACAGACGGGTGCGTCGAAACGTATACTATACAACGGTGGCCCGCTAACGGAATGACAGATATACCTACAAATACGAGCCATCCAGAGCGTGCTATCAATGGTAAAATGTGTCCGCGCAGTATTTCTTAAACGTTTGAACGCTGACTTCTTTGCAGGTCAAGGAACCGATACTGGGTACAGGGCCAATCCAGTCCGGACCCCTCACTAGGGCTGTATGATGTGGAAGTTGCTCTTCGGGATATGCACCCGGTGACGGATTCGCCTGCGACGAGACGCACGGTGTTGTCCGGCCTCCTCAGACGTTTCGTTCGGAGAGTGGACGAGTACCAAAGCGAGAACACGACGGAGGATAAGGAGTCTCAGCAAGGCAGGTCGTACCAGCCAGATGTATGGCAAGGATAAAGTCCGCGCATGTATGTATATATTCACACTCACTCTCGAGCCTTGGACATGGTGCTGAAAATCGTTCGATACATCAGTGCGATATCTTAGACTTCGCTCAACTTTTGCCGACACTCCACAGTGATAGTACGGTTGAACTTCGTGCATTCATCCCACCTCGCCCCGCTTTCTCAGAACCACCGCTGTATCCGCCTGTTATTTAATATTATTTCTGATCCAAGCGCAGCCAGAAAGGGAAGAAGATATGGAGCAATGCGGCGCCGGCGGAGGGACGAATCCCACAACGACGTGGATACAGAGAAGGTGGAATGTCAACGCGGAACCGAGCCACTGACGTGCATGTACGCAAACAGCATGTCGCGGCAACGCTCGCACATTGTCTCAACAAAGCGTCTCCTCAGGTCACTGCCCACGTTTGATTTGGCCACCGCAGTGGCGTGGCAGGTTCTATCGCCACACGCTTTGGCCACTCATGTTCGTCCAAATACGGTATTCTGAGTGCGTATATAACCCTCTCTTTTCCGCCGACAGATCACCCGTCTGCCTACGAACAACCTCTACCATGCATTCTCCGTTCCTCGCTCCCTCGCTCATCAACTACGTCACTACGCTACCAGTGGCAAATGCCATGAACAGACTTGGCCTCTCATCGCTACCATTCCTCCTAACCATCCATACGAGTGCGAGCGATCGCACTGGCAAGAGTTCGTCGCCCCTTCGTCACAGAAGCCGTTCGAGAAGAACCGCGCCAAAGCAGCAGACATATCGGAGACATCCACGGTATGCACTCAGTGTGCTCCCCGCTCCCCGCTCACGACACAACGCTCACGGCTGCTGGAAGACGCTGGTATCGGTCGTCTCTACCGCAAAGCAGGATCCCACCGTTCTAACCGGTGCTTCGGTGCTTCACCGGGCCAGCGACGAGTGACAGTGAGGTGCGCCTCTAACGTGATGTAGTCGAGCGAGTTGCTCATCCGGTTGTCTAAGGCGCTCCCGACAGCGGTCATAGGAATGTCCACTGCACGAAGACGAGCGCACTCTCGGCAAAGGCAACGAGGTCGTCTCAGGTTGACCACCCCTTTGCCAGCGGCCGAACCGTCCATTGGCTTCGGACATATCCCGCATTGACAAGGAGAACAGAGTTGCGTGAGCCACTACTAGTCGATCCTCCTCGCAGTATGCTGAGTTGGCGGCGAAGTATTGGATGGCCCGGCTACTAATGGTAAGCCGACATATTTTATGTGTTGTCCCATCTCATCGACTCACCATGCCCGTCGTCGACGTGCGTATAGGTCGAAGGTTTTCCTCAAACCCACGCAGAGCTTGTGGCCCATGCTTCCATGCGTACCAATGAATATGGCCGTCCAATTTGTAGGGTCTTGGCGGGAGAGTCCTCTCGCGAGACCGTGCGGATTGCACTACCATGTTCAGCTGGGATTGCTCCATCGAAGCGAAGCACGTCTCCGATTCGTCGTCGAGATTTTATTACTGGTCTACCACATTTACAGTATAGAACTCGCCTCAATTACCACGGTCCACCGGCAGTCGGTAGAACGAGACCGTCGCCCATCCACGTCAGGCCGACCCGCCCCGGCACACTCGAGTCAATCGGTATACGATCATAGACGATCCGAACAACAGCTAATACTTAACCAAGTGCACCTGTCCGGCGGGGAAATTCGGAGCTTAGCACCACGAGGACAGGATCATAGACACAAAAATGCACCTGGGGATCATGAGCATCATCCAGCCCAGCTTCGGACGAACGTGGTACTGCTGTAGCTACTACGCCGCTTGATCTATATCTAAACCAGGAATGACCATCGCTTTGACGCATGACACATTTACCCCCGTTTTTGGAGAAGGCCACCGTTGCCGCGTGCCTTGCCTGCGTGGCCTATTGTGAATCCCGTCCCATAAATACGCTCCGTCTTCGCCTTCTCCCTTCACAGCAAACCCCACACCCCCAGATATCTTCATTCCGCCGCATCCACCATGCAATCGTTGGTTGACGGCTCACCGTGCTCAAAGCGCGTCTCCGCGCGCACGTCACCATTCCTCCTAACCACTCTGCGGACTCGCTCCGCGCCCACCACACGGGGGACAGCCTCTGGCTCAGAGCCTACAGGAGTTTTCGATGATGCAGCGAAGCGGCGGTGGCGCTAGTCTCGTACGTGACCGTCTCGTAGCGCTGGTTACATGATGGAAGTGAGTTTCTCACTGAGTGTCTTGCTGGGCTGCAGATATGTCGCCGAAGACGGTGGGGTTGTTGCGAACCGGACGAGCGGAGGGTGAATGATCAAGCGAGGAAGGCGGTGGAACACAGCCGACTAATGGAACGCGCACGGATGGGCGAAGTTGGCGAATGAGAAGGTCAACCTGATTACGAGTGAGCACACGTTCCCTACACTCACCCCCCATCACGTAGCTGAGCGTGTCTACCCTTTAGGACGGCGAAGGGACGCCGGCATGAAAACACGTTGTAGCGAGCAGAACGCGAAGAGGTTGTGCATAACACGCACCAGTAAGGACGAACACAGAGCCAATGTCCACTGAGAGGATTGGACGGTGTGGACATGCCGCCGAGTGGGTGTTGGTGGCGAGAGTGATGACACCCGAAGAGAGCACAAATCCCAAAAATCCCTCCGTACACCACTCCTCCACGTCGACTTCCGGTTAGCAGAACGGTGGCCCTCCCGACTTGCATGGTCCCTCAGGGAGAGTTCTCCCGCAACGGGCATGCGGGTCGCGAGGTGCATTCTTTGTGATTGTTCGAGCAGACGCAACTACAAGCTCGGCGGCAGACATAGAAATTTTAGATGCACAGACGGCAAGTGATAGTGGCTGGAAATGGAGGCAGGGGTATGGGCTGGTATGGGGCAAGCTGCGTCGCGGCGGAGGGAAGGGACGACGCGTGGCCGAGTCACGACGCGTCTGTGGCTGAGAGATTGCGACCCGATCTGTGTGGCGCCCAGTACTTGTTCAGCGCTCAGCGCCGGCGGGTGTCCTCTCGACAACGACTTGGACGATGGCAAGCCCGCTAGGATGCCTCTACCTCCCACCTGTATGCGCTCTCTTTACTGAGTCTGGGTATCTAATGAAAGGGCGAGTACTAGTCCTGAATCCGGAGTTTGTTCCGCTGAGTGCTCACAACCTGCCACTGCCACCGTGACTGCAGCCTTCAAGGGCCCACATCCCGTCGCTCCGCCCTCGAGCTCCTCAGTCAAGCCGACTCCCTCTGCTGTCACGTCCTCCTGCATGCTGCACGCTAGTTGTCTCTGAGAGCAGCATGACACGGTGAAGTTGTCCGACTTGGGAATGCGCCTGCGCGACGGCACGGAGGGAGGGTTGGGCCAGGAGGGACGGTGAGTCGCCTAGAACGACCTGGAATGTGTATGGTGCGTCAATACGTCGCAGAATAACAAGACATTTGGACTGACTGGTACTAGATGCCGCGCTCGCGGCAGTCCCGACAGACCTCTCTGTCCCATGCACTCCCCTCGAACCAGCTCCTCGAAAAGAGGTTCTGCGTCATCTACACACGGCGCCCGCTCCCCTGCTCGAGCCTCTCAAGGATGCGCACGCCGTACGTCCTACTCAACCTGACTATGCTCACAATGTCTGCGTCCTGACGCCAGCATCAAGAGCCGCCTGAAGGTCGGTCGCGTAGTGATCTTGGAAGGTTCTCCGAATGCTGATCTCGATCGCCACCGCTCGGAGGCTAGCGGCTGGGGCGCAGACACGTCGATGGATGGTAAGTTACTTAGGCTGCAAATGATCCGCGCTCAGTCTGGCGCTCGGGGCTCGCATCTGGATCTTAGCTACGACGTGCGACCAGACAAGCCAGAATGGGACGGCAGTTATCGTCGGAGAGGTTGAAGGATGCCGTAGAGGACCTCGAGTGGCGGGGGAGAGGTACGGAAGGTGGCTCGAGCTCAGCACCGCGAAGGGCAGACATAACGAGGGTCCTGCGCACGGTCAGACATCTCGAGGCACTACCGACATCGACTACCAAGATATTAAGAGAGTGTCGCCCTGTCTCGCGGAACCTTCTCGGGGACTGTTCGCACTCGCAAAAGGCGTCGAACATGCTGCGAAGGCGCTACAAACATCCTGAAACGCGCGATGTTATCAAGATGTTCGCAGGATGTCCAGAGTTCAAACGTGCATAGAAGAGGTTCTCAGGGGATGTCGCTCTTAGACATCCTGCCAACATCCCGCTAGACCATCTTGGTGGCGGCCCATGCCGGCGTCGCGAAGAAACAAGCGCTATATATGTCGAGAGGTCCACTTTGAAATATGAGTGAAATATGTGTGTAGCACCCACAGTCCCTTCCCAACGTCGCGGCGCACTCTCGGCCCCGACAGCCTTGCCGACAGTATCTGACGGCGTCGCAATATCCCTCGCAAGGGTCACATCGCGCAGTCTTCCGGATCCTGTCGTACCGATTCGCCACCGGCTCCACTTAGTCTATGAATTCCACTGCGACGCGGTCACCCAAGGACCATGACATTGGCATGTGTAACGCGTCATGCAAGTCTGCAGAAGGACCGCGGAAAGCGCTTCACGTTGAACGAGCCGCAATCGCAACGATGCGAAGAACAACGATGCTTGTGGCTGGCGCGCTACAGCTGGGGGCGGGGACAGGCTTCAATTGATGCGACGCGACGTACGCGCTTGGGGCCTGTTGGAGGATGTCATGTAGGACCACCCATGGCCATGATAGGATATGGGCAAGACATATTTGCATCCGTCGGACAAAGTGTCACCGGTTCGTAATCATCACCGAGGCCTCGTTTTACTTCTTGCCACTTTATCTCCGGGATGATGTTGGCGCCTGGCACTTCATCGCGTCGAGCTATGAGCCATGGCCAACACTCGCGTGGATCCGGAGTCCCCGTCGGAGCTGAGCGCTGAGCGCTGAGCACCGGCACTGAGCCCCGAGTACTTAGTAGAGGACCTCGAGGTCTGCGGTAGTGAGAACGGTGGGCACAACTTGGGCACAACCGGAATTGTCCAAACTGACATCCAGTGCATTCTCGTCGGTCTATATTGACCCTGGACATGCTTTTCAAGTGCGAAACAGACGGACGTTATCCAGTAAAGTCTTCATTAACGCCACAGAAGCCTTCCGATTCGACGTGCGGGCCATTTCCCAAATCGAAACTGACAGCCTATATTGATGCGAGCATAAACAGCGTAATCTGCTCACGGAAGCTGAGGCATTGTGGTGCGTGCTATATATGCTGCTCTGGGCCAAACGGTACGGAGCTGCTCCCCTGTCTCCCCTGCGACGCACCATTCATCGCGTAGAACAATCCAGGTATCGTTACCTTTGTGGCTCTTGGGTCTACGGCAATGCTACAACCAAGGGATACTACATCGGCGACTAACGCCGTCGAGCCGTAAGAACAGTCATCATATTCCCCGATTCCTTGGCTGAAACACTATACAGGGATGGTGCCCGTCCCACCAGCAGATCGAACGACATGGGTGCTCGCGGCGCGGGCCAAGGCAGAGGTTCCGGCGGTGTGTAGCATTGCAACTGTTAAGATCACTTTATACTGACCCTTCGCTGATAGTTCTCCGCCGATTGTCCAAAGGTCGAGGGGTAGCCCGTCCTACTTCAGCAAAGACATTGGGCTGTCTTGAAAAGCGCCAGGCTGCAACTACCAACACACTAGGTCAGTGTTCATGCTCTCGCTACGCATTGCATATTCCACGTTTCTGACACTCACTCCAACAGGTGCTCGAGTCCGCGAGTACCAGGCGAATCACCCAATCGATTTGCAGGCATTCAAGAACGCAGGCCCGCAGGACCAACTCTGGGAGGTGTACAACGAAGAGGCCGAGGTGTTTGACTTGGACATGGTTCAGGGCTGGAAAGATACGATGGATGTCTTCCTGGTCTTCGTATGTTCACTCAATGACCGTGCCACCGCCAGACACTGACGCGCCCTCGACTAGGCCGGCTTATTCTCTGCCACAGTTACTGCATTCCTTCTCCAGTCCGCCTCGTCGTTGAGTGATCCCACAAAGATCAACAACTATCTCTTGGCCGAGCTCATTGCCGTGCAGCGCGCCGCCGCAAACGGCACGTCGATGGACAGTGTTGATCCCTCTCCTTATGCCCCAGGCGATACGACAGGCGAGCCAGTCGACGTCTGGGTGAACGCTCTGTGGATCCTGGTCCTGATGGCCGCGCTCATGACTGCACTCCTCGCGTTCCTCGTCAAGCAGTGGCTCCAACACTACCTCTCCGTCGTCCAGGGAACCCAACGCGACCGCGCACTTGTGCGGCAGTACCGTTTCACTGCACTGCATACGTGGAAAGTGTCCCTAATCATCGACGTCCTTCCGATCTTCCTGCATGTCGCGTTGTTCCTCTTCCTGTTGGGGCTCGCAGTCTTCTTTCACCGTCTACATACCCATCTGTCGTACCTGATCATCATTGGCACGGGAATAGCGGTCGTCGTCTACTTCTGCTTAAACTTCCTTCCTCTCATCTATCCCGATTGCACATTCAAGATCCCGTTCTGGCCCGCTGTGTATGCCGAAGTGCGTGGCTGGCTGGCTCCACTCAAAGAAAAAAATACAAGGAAGACCGAGCAGCAGCAACTTGAAGTGAATGCTGCCAACAACAAAAGAGGGTTGGTCTCTGACGCGCAGGAATGGCTCTCCGAGATCTCAGGGTATCAACCCACCCAGGGCGCGGAGGCCGCTGCCGTGTAACATGACGGGATACGGGCTGTAGGATGGGTAGTAGTCTGCCGAACGTATCGTCGTGTTGAGCGAGAGCAGGGTTGCATCCTCAAGGTAATGCGTAGTCTGTCAAGAGAATAGATAAGATGATACGGAAATACTAGTCCATGTAATTGACCAGTGTGACTAAGGGCGACTCTTGCGGGGAGCAACTTTGAAAGCGTGCCTCAACGTGCGTTCGACGAGCTTCTTGAATAGCTCGATGGTACTGCGTACGCGCAGTCGCACGCAGCGCACAGACGTTGTTCTCGAAACGTCACCTCGATCCTCATACCGTCTCTCTTTCCGTGTAACGAAGATGGCTGAAGCGCTTCGCGCTGTCTCTCGTAAGTAAGCTTCAGTTCCAAAAGCCTTTCTGATAATATGCGATATTCTGGCATGTAATATCGCAGAATGAGACGAGTTAGACATTGCAGGCTCATTTGTACACATCCTGGTGTATGCACAACACAGCCATGATATCCGCTGCTTGTTCCCCATATCTCACAATGCGTTGACACAATGGTTGATTTTCGACAGTGTATGTACATTGTCCTTCATGATGCTATCTACACTACCCCAATGACGCACGCATGACTAGGATTTGGTTAATGATGAGGCCCTTCTTCGGCCAGTGGTTCTCGAGGTCTGCCGCACTCCGCTGAGCCTCAGGCTGACCGGCTAGGTTGTATATTGTCTACGTATTCTGCGTCACATATTGGTCGACCCGAAGTCGCTCATCAGTCTCGTGGCGCCTTGCCACTTCTCAAGAGACGACGTAGAAGGCATATCATCGCAGTCAGTGATGACGTGCTTTGCGATGCCAGAGCCAGTGTCGCAGGAGAGGTCATTGAAGACGCGAGTCGTGAGATTGGAGCGTTGGCCCAGATCTGTAGCGTGGTGAGACTTCCAGAGAGGCTTAGGCAACGGAGACGCGAGAGCAGAGGGAGCACGAGTGGTGACGCCGGCCAGAGCGGCGAGACAGGCAGCCTGCAAGTAGGAGACGGCTGACGGAAGACAGTGCGGATGTCAGGGCGCAGCGACCTTGATGGGTTTTGAGCTTGAAAACCAGAGCGTGCCACTGGCGCGGCTGAGACTCAAAAGGGCCTCGGGTAGCGAGGGGGAGCTCGAGAGGGCGGGACACCAAGAACATGTTACTCAGCCCGCACCGATCTTGACGAGGTTCCGGCACAGCCGCGTATGGTCCGCATACGTGCTAATAGCCTGCGGCCAATAAGATGCACAATCTAGGGGGGAAATAGAGCCGCTGTGCCCTCCTTCAGAGGAGTGAATGGGGTGGACATGCCGCCGAGTGGGTGTCGGTGGCGGGATGATGGCACCCGAAGAGAGCACAGACCCCGGGATCTTTGCCATACACCAATCCGCCACGCCGTTTTCATACCCGCTTGAGAAAGTGGTCTCCTGACTTGCATGGTCCCTCAGGGTGAGTTCTTCTGCGACGGGCATGCGGGTCGCGAGGTGTATCTTTGCGATTGTTCGAGCAGGCGCAGCGTACGAGCTCGGCGGCAGATGTGACACTTTGAGATGCACAGACGGCGTGTGGTAGTGGCTGAAAATGGAGGCAAGGGTATGGACTGGGGGTAACTTCAAATGGGGTACTGAGCTGCGTCGCGGCGGAGGGAAGGGGCGATCGCGACGCGTGGACGACGCGTCTGTGGCTGAGAGATCGTGACCCGATCTGTGTGGCGCCCAGTGTCCAGCATGTCCTCTCTACTAGTACAACGACTTGGACGATGGCAAGCCCACTATGAACCCTTTACCTCACCTGTATGCGCTCTCTTTGGCTATTTTGAACGAATTCCCCACGAGTCTCGGCAGCGTGCCCCTGGTCCGAGTCCGGCTTCAGCCTGGGTAGCAACTTGAAGTGGAAGGGCGAGGCCTGAATGCGGAGTTTGTCCCGCTGAGTGCACCTTTCTCTGTCTCGATATGCCTTGCTTTCTGTGCCGCTCTGACGTTATGTGCTTACCAACCTGCCACTGGGCGCACGTCCATGCTTGGTGTATGTTGCATTGTCACCCGCCACTCCTTTTGTCTCTCGGGTGTGCGCACGTAGCCTCGCTGGGATATAAATACCCCTACTCTCCTCACCTTTCCGTCAAGACAACGCACCGTTCCTCTTGTCCCTCATAGAATGCCTCGACTACTTTCCTGCAGCCACTCTGCACGATCGCGTACTATCTCGCCGCCGCTCGCCTTGCTTCCTCTGCGCACGTCACCACTCCTCCTAACCGTCCTCCGAACGCCTTGTCAGCTTTCTGGGATGGTGAGCTGCTGCAAAAGCCACTCCAGAACCGAAGCGCACCACAGGTGTACATCGTGCGAGTATCAGAAGGTATTTGTGAACACTCCAACGCCGACGGGACATCCGCTGATACGCGCCGGCTCGATTTCAGCCACTATTCCTGGAAAACAAAGTCAACCAGAAAGGGGAGCAGTCCAGCCTGAAATCCCCGTTGCTGCGTGAAGGAACACACGGGCCATGTATGTCGCAGAGTAGTCGATGCCCAGATATCTCCTGCAGCGGCGACGAAGAGCTAGGACTCAGGACGATCAAAGACGGACAAGGTCATTTGCACCCGACGTGAGTCCTCACCATGCTTTGACCATGCGGCTTGGTTCACGGAGCGCAACAGCCTCGTGGACAACGGTACGCGCGATTTAATACCGAACATCGATGTTGGCGACTGGGCGACCAAAGCTGGTGGATTAAGGACCAGGCGCGAACCGCTGGATGAGTAAATGTGTCACCGCGTTATGCGGTTTTGCGCACATTCACAGGCAGTACGTCAGGCTCCTCCCCGATCGCTCTCCCGCTGCTGACGTACACTTGGTACAGACTGGAGCTCTCCCGCTTGCGCTTCTGAACCAGCGCGGGGAACTCAAATCGTTTCGGCACAGGCGAGCATCATACGTTCGGACGACTACAGTTCTTACGAAGGCGTCACTCGTATACGAGTTCATTGCCTAGTACGAACCCGAGTCATCTCAGTCGCCAGCCACCTCGAAGCAGAGTCGTGGAGAAACAGGAGCATCCGCGCCTTCGTCTTCGAAGACTTCCTCGAAGAAGAGGAAGAAGCCAACTCCACTGCCTGAAGACCCCCCGAAGGCGAGGCGGAGGAACGTCCGCAACACACTCCACCACTCCCGAACCGTTCTGGCCCTTGCCACACCACACCGAAGATGATGACACATAGAGAAGGCATGCATATGTACTACGCACGATATATGCGCACGAAGCTCATCGTGTTCCAGACGTGCGACTTCACGAGGTACACGCCTGTCGCTCGACTGGTACGCTCCGCCCGGGGGAATCCTCTCGCGCAGAGCATACTGGTCGTGCGATTTGACCGCGTTCGTGGACGTGGACCCCATTGTCGAGCGCACGTGCTTGGTGGATGTGTTTGCCTGCGACCACCGCGCCGAATGTGACGTCCGTATAGGCCTAGCTAGCGCTACAATTTACTCATATACCCGAGTGATCATTGCAACACAGGAACGGCCTCAGTGAAGCTAAGTATCGAAAACGCGGTCATACGCGGTATCGCTCCTTCGCTGACATCCGTCGTGTGCCAGCGCAGGCAATAGCTAAGAGTTGGTTCGGATCTGTGCCTCGCGACTCGCATGCCTATCAGAGGAGGAGTCCGCAGAATTTGGGAGTCTTGTCTTGCTTCGGAACATGATCAGCCGGGGACGGCTTCAGGACAGTGGACGTCCCCATGCTCCTCCTCCTCCCCAGAGCATCTATGCATGAGATTTAAACGCCCGATCTGGCAGCCACAGACGCGTGTCCCGATCAGCATGATATTCATCACCGTACTGCCCTCCTCCTCCTCCTCTGCTCTTCCCCATCGTCATCATCATCATCGTTATCATCCGTCCTTCCACCACCTCCATGTCAAGATGCACCTGAGTGCGAGGACGTGTCGTCCACGCTTCCCCATAGAAGTTTCAGAACACGTCCTTGACTTCGTCTGGCCCGATCGCACGACTCTCCTCTCCTGCACGCTCGTCTGCAGAGCATGGCTCCCACGCGCTCGCCTCAATCTGCTCTACGAAGTTCGTATTCGTGACACGGGACAAGACCGGAGCCTCCGCAGTTTCATTTCCCAGTATCCGTCGTACTGCGCGGTTATTCGACGCCTCGTCATCTCCCCCAAGAATTCCGCTGCTCAGTCTCTCCTAAGCTCCTTCCCGCTGGAACTCGCGCACGAACTCGCCCATATCGAGTACATTCGTGTCCTCAACAACCGGCGCCCGTTCACTTACTATGCGCAGTCGCAATCTTTAGCTGCGCTCACACGATGGACTTCCATACGGAAACTGGAGATCAGGGGTTATACGTTCTCAGCTCTGCAAGCGTTCAGCCGTCTTATCATCGCGGTGCCTAGCGTTACAAGTCTCGTTTTTGAGTCCCTGCGGTGGACTGAAGCGGAATGGACTCCACAAGAATATCTCCCCGTCCCTACGTGTTTTCTGCCAGAAAACATTGCCATGTCGGACATCCGATGGTCTGACGCAGTAGTCGACATGCTCATCGATCTCGCCAATCCGAGCTCTCTGCACACCCTGAACCTCCAAGCCGTCACAAAGCAAGAGCTACCATATGTAGACAGGCTGATACGCACCTTCGGTCCTGCTTTGCGTCACCTCGTCTTGGGCTCTGTCCCGACGTCTTGGCCTCCAGGCACCAGTACGTACACATCGCCTCTCTCGGAGTTGCCCGCGGATCTCGCTGAACTATTCGCATCGTAGCTTTATATCCACAACTCGCCGAGAACGTCAATCTACAGACCCTGCATTTGCACTTTCAGGCCCGAGGCGAATGGATAGTCCCGATGCTTTCTCAGCTCGCTCGCCACGTTCCACCGTCTTCGTCATTTAAGAAGGGTTAATTATAGTTCATTCGTGAACCTAATCAGGATTAAAATGAGTTCCTTAAGAACTATGATTAGGTATTCATTCTGTTAATCATGGGCTTAGGGTGGTATGATTACCTCCATTAATCCATGTTGGCATGAAACCATATTATGATCCCAAATGAAGGCACTAGCCCTGACACAAAGGGCTAATTCTCTGCAAATCCCAGTCAATTTACACTGAATCATGGCATAATCCCAGTCATGATCATGCTTAACCAATTCATGACTCTTAATCCTAAGATAATCCCATTATTTGGATATCATAATCATGGCATAACCTCAGTGTTGATCCTGCTGAAATGGGCATAATCATGACATATGTACAATCCTAAACATTCATTATCAAGCCCTAACCTCAGAGCTAATCTATGGCAGGCATCATGAATGTAATCATTAATTCAATGCTAATCCTGGCTGCTGATCCTGATATATGGATGTCAGATTAGTGCTGATTAGCCAGATAATCTGCAGAACAAATCACAGTGATCAGATCAATTAAAAAAATGTTGTGCAGAAGCCAGGACTGAACCAGCGACTTTTTGAAGCATTACATAATCACCTTATTGGGCAAAGAAGCATACACTATAACCACTGCACCATACTGTCTTGTTATGTCTTAGATGTTATTGATCTATGTCATGTTCTTCGATTGCTGGACTTAGACACATTTCTAGTGCCCTCCCATGATGCAGTCTAATCCTGATCAACCTGAGATTAGCAACCAATCAATCCTCACTAACCCATGAGGATTTGCAGAGATTAATCCTGAGGTAATGCTTCTTTGCCACATAAGACTGTGAACAGATCAAGTCCAGATTAGAGGTGGGATTAGATAGTCTTCAATCTGATTAACTTACTGCTAATCTGCAGTGTACAAACAGGATTAGGGTTCCACATTACTGAATCATGATTAAAAGTACCAAGTACAGCACATTGAAATCATCATTGAAACAGCAGATTATATTGGAAATAAATCTTTGCAAATCCTCATGGGTTAGTGAGGATTGATTGGTTGCTAATCTCAGGTTGATCAGGATTAGACTGCATCATGGGAGGGCACTAGAAATGTGTCTAAGTCCAGCAATCGAAGAACATGACATAGATCAATAACATCTAAGACATAACAAGACAGTATGGTGCAGTGGTTATAGTGTATGCTTCTTTGCCCAATAAGGTGATTATGTAATGCTTCAAAAAGTCGCTGGTTCAGTCCTGGCTTCTGCACAACATTTTTTTTAATTGATCTGATCACTGTGATTTGTTCTGCAGATTATCTGGCTAATCAGCACTAATCTGACATCCATATATCAGGATCAGCAGCCAGGATTAGCATTGAATTAATGATTACATTCATGATGCCTGCCATAGATTAGCTCTGAGGTTAGGGCTTGATAATGAATGTTTAGGATTGTACATATGTCATGATTATGCCCATTTCAGCAGGATCAACACTGAGGTTATGCCATGATTATGATATCCAAATAATGGGATTATCTTAGGATTAAGAGTCATGAATTGGTTAAGCATGATCATGACTGGGATTATGCCATGATTCAGTGTAAATTGACTGGGATTTGCAGAGAATTAGCCCTTTGTGTCAGGGCTAGTGCCTTCATTTGGGATCATAATATGGTTTCATGCCAACATGGATTAATGGAGGTAATCATACCACCCTAAGCCCATGATTAACAGAATGAATACCTAATCATAGTTCTTAAGGAACTCATTTTAATCCTGATTAGGTTCACTAATGAACTATAATTAACCCTTCTTAAATGACATCCCTGGTTCCACTCGCCCGGCTAGTGATCTCGCATAGAGGAAACTTGGATCGGGAGGACATACGTCTGCTACGGCTCGACCGCCTAGACGAGCTCGTCGCGCAGGATTGTGTCAACCTCACAGAACTCGTATTTTGCTATAGGCAGGGAATATCCGGTGCAGACGAGTACTGTGACCAGGTGCGACGGCGTCTGCCAAGCGCTGTCTCTCGCGGGATCCTGCGCACAGAACCTAGTGAGTATGGGTGCAGCGTCTCGTTGTGCCTGGTGTCGCCTTGCTGATATGCCGAATGTAGGAGACGCTCCCTGGTGCGAGATATAGTGATTAAGAACAAACTAGTCAATACGATGTTTTCTTATGTTCATCATATGTTCATGGCGTGCTTATGTGTCGTAATGCACATCCAGCGCCATCGGTGACATATCCTCACCCAGTTTCGCACCGGCTCTCCGTGGTCTCGCTGTCCTTGCTATGGCACTCGCACGTCCGACTCAACATTCACCGTTCATATATAACTGCAAATCCAATAGCTGGACATCTGATACGATCCATCACATGGGTTGTCACTCCTGGACAATGGCACGCTGCGCGAATGAGCAGGTAAGTAGTACACGGTCAGCAGTTGCGAGGATACAACGTTCGACTCCTGACTCAGTGACTCCGATGGCGCACCCATCTCACTCTGCCAGAGCTGCAACAGGATATGCCAGTTACTGTAGCACTGTTCTCGCGAGTCCAACCAGACATGCACGAGAAGGATGCACGAGTCTCCCCAATACGGAGTGGCGGTGGCTGAGTGGCAGCGTTGATGACACATCGCCTGTTCGTCATGTTCGTCCCTTCAAGCCTGAATATTCACGCTCATCTAACAAATACATCTTCGCTTCTACCGTGCTTCTTTGCAGCCAGGGGTTCCTATCGTCGTTCTGGACGCTTTCATGGAACACTAGCAGACGACAAGTTAAGTTGTCATACGCCACGCTAGCACTCTAGCAGTGTGGCCTCGCCCCTCGTCATGAATCAGGGTCCGAACCAGTTCCGTGCGCCACATCGCAGAAACAATACCCCTTGGCGTACTGTGTCCCATGTCCCAGATAGGAGACGACGCTTGGATGAACGGCATTGTCCTAACAAAGCACGTCTAGATCACCGGGCAGATGATCGGCCACTGTTGCGTGGCAGGCGCCATCGCCACACGCTTTGGCCACTTCCTTGTTCATCCAAATCTGGTATCTTGAATGTGTATAAATACCCCCCTCTTGTCGTCGTCTCCCAGCAGATGCCTCCCTCTGGGCTTACCACCATCACCACCACCATGCAATCTCCCTTCGGTGCATTCACGCTTTCCCACTTGAATCATGACGTGCAGGCACCGGTCAACGCTGCGAACCAACTGAGGATCTCGCCGTTACCATTCCTCCTAACCATCTCACGCGAGTGCGAGCAAACGCACAAGATACAGAAGCCGTCCGAGAGAAGAATCGCGGCTACTGCGTGGCCTCTCGATTCAGCTCCTCGCTGAGAGGGACAACGTCCACGTCGCAGAGGGAAACGCAGCGGTCGTCCTTACCGCAAAGGGGGATGCCACCGTTCCAGCCGGTGCTTCGGTACTTCACAGGCCAGCGACACTTGGTAGTGAGTGCCCCTGTAAACTGATTTAGTCGAGCGAGTTGCTCACCCGGCTGTCTCAGGCGTCACCGACGGCGGTAACAGGGCCGTCCGCGCTATTCGAAGAGGAGCGCATTGTCATCGAAGGCAAGAGGCTCGTGTCGTGTTCACCACCCCTTCCCCCGCGGTCGAACCGTCCATTGGCTTTGGACATATCCCGCATCGACAAGGCACAGAGTCTCGTGAGCCGCTACTAGGGCCGTCGGTCTTCCTCACAACACGCCGAGTTGGTAGCGAAGTATCGGCTATCCGGACCATTTATGGTAAGCCGACATGTATAATGTGATGTATCATTCCATTGACTCACCATGCCCATCGTCGACGTTCGTATAGGTCGAGGGATTTCCTTAAACCCACGCAGAGCGCGTTGCTCATGCATCCATGCGTGCCAATGAGTATGGCCGTCCAATCTGTAGGGTCTTGGCGGGAGAGTCCTCCCGCGAGACCGTGCGGATTGCATTACCATGTTCAGCTGGGATTGCTCCATCGAAGCGAAGCTCACGTCTTCGATTCGTCGTCGACGTTATATTATTGGTTCACCACATTTACAGTATAAAACTCGCCGCAGCAGTCGGTAGAACGAGACCGTCACTCATCCGCGTCAGGCCGACCCGCCACACTCAGCTCTGGCAGTACACTCTCATATACCATCCGAAGAACGGCAAGAAATAACCAGCCTAGCGCACCCGTTCTAGCTGCACGAGCGACGTCCGGTGCATGGGCTTCACCCCACTCTCGACGAGACGCCTCGACGAGTGCTGTACCGATCGCCCCGGACGCTGCGCCGTAACAAACCAGTGAGAGGAGAATACAGGTCTGTGATAACAAATGGCCTCGCAATCGCATGTGGGCGTTTCCAAGCGGCAAGATCAACCTTCGCCTTGTGGATGTCGATCCATACAACGCGGAGAGATAGATTGCGTAGAGAGGAAAACTCAACACCGCAGCGCCGGCAGCTCCGAATCTCATCGCCTCATGAGCACCAAGTCCGTCGTCCGTGCTGCATGTAGACCTTCCGTCGAGGATGGCGTGACCGACGGACATCCCGACGAAGCCTACGAATGCAGCGCCACCAACGATCCTGACGAGTGTGCATACGGCGCGTAGGAGGCTATGGGCATGGGGCAGGCGCTCGTTTGACGCTGTAGGACGCTCGATGGCAAGTAGAGCAGGGTCGCTGATGGCGGAATCCAAGCTGTTCAAATCGGGGTCGTTGTGGCGAGATAAACGGGTTGCTGGTGAGATCATTGTAGAATCTGCCACCTTGAGAAACCGAGCAGCGTAATCTTGAGAGTCAACGGCGCCATATCCGGTATGTGGGATATCTCGCTCATGGAGCGGGTTTGAAGACTGCGAAGGATATGTGATGTCCTGCGTACGAAGGAGCCTCGGGGCCTCCGGCTGCATACGAGACAAGCCGCCACATGTGGGTGTGTGGACGGAGGGTGGCACGCACGCAGCCGACGTTGAGACGGTCTCGTGTATACGTCCGGGTGCGCCGGCGTCGACAACGTCTTCCTGGTTCCCGTCTTTCAGCTCTTTGAGGGTTCGGTCTGAACTGATTGCGTAGCTGGGCCTCCGAGTCGACGATGCGATGCGTTCAGATGAAGACATGGCCTGGGGGCGGCACATTCAGAGTTGGCTTGAGGCTGCGCAGTGACGGTGCGGTGGGTCTGAGAGCTCTGAAGAGATAGACGAAAGTCGACAGCGCGCAGAATGGTCGTGCGAGGCCATGCGCAGAGCAGAATATTAGGGCATGGGTGAATAGAGTTCGGCGGCCGCCACGATCATATCCTGACGTCCACTCCAGACAACAACACCCTGCGTTATCTGTGATTTTGTCATCAGTTGCGCCGAGTAAAGAAGAACGTACGTGGAGTTCACTGCTGTTGAGGTACAGTATTGGGACAAACCCTGGTACGGCATGAGGAGCTACGTCACTGCATGTACTACATGCCTTGCGCAGCGCGTTGACTAAATGTCAGGTCGAATTAACGGTCAGGGATTCCGTCTGTTTGTCGCGGCGAGTCCAATCGATCCGCAGTCTTACGACGCTCATGGTAGATCCTAGAACACCAGAGTGAGTGCTATTCCAGTACATCTCGACATCCGCGGATGACTGTGTCTCGACTGTTCCTATTACCTTGTTGACTACTTTCTGTGCACACTGCAGCAGCACAGAACAGGCCATGAAGACGTTGATGAGCGTCGATGATAAGTGGTCTCGGTGCGAGACCGTTGTATGATACGTACTTAGCTGATGATCTACACGTGATTATGCCTCGCCTTCTCGACCCAATATCTCAGCCCGCTGCTGTTCCTCCTTTCCTCCTCTTCGCCTTCTGCTCAGGATGTCCTCGCAGCACCCCCCCTCATTGTGTCTATCTATCCACGGTCCGCCCTTCTGCCAAGAACAGCGTGGGGGAGCTCCGAGTACCTCACGGGGTGATCAGTGCACTGAAGTGTGGGCAAAAGCGGGCACCTGGAACGTCTATGAGAGCCTGCAAGCTGCGTAGTTTTCCTCCTCCCGGTACGCGCGCAGCTGTTCCTCGAAGCACTGGCTGGTCGGTAGGCTCATCGCCTCGCAGTGTCGTTTCGCGACGGCTACTACCTCTCGGTATGTACATACCGACACAAGCCCCAATCGTCATCGCGCGCACTATCGGCCGACGCGTCGTTGACTCACCGCCTCGCAAGGCTGTCCTGCGGCGTGGCGGTGCAGAGGGGCGACATTCCCGTTGCGGAAGGCGACCTGCCGTAGAGGGAAATATCACATGATGGGGGATGACTGTGGCGGGGCGGTGCGGGGTAGGCGAGCGCTCAAGTACCTGCGGCTCTGGACGGCGAAGACCGCTCAATCACCGACCACAACCATGCCACACCAGACACACTACGCCGTCGCGAATCCGAGCCCTGTCTTGTCCGAGGAACAAGTGCAGGATGCGTTCCACTCCTACCTCAAGTCCTCCCTCACCCAGGCAAAGGTCGAGGGCCTCCTCCCGGAGAACATTCTGTCCAGCGCGGAGGGGGATCTCATGATCACAGGTGCGTAGCCACACAGTCCATGTCGAGAGTCTCTCTGACCCTCCGCAGGACCTGCACTATGTCTGTACTTTGCCGCACTGCGCTCGACGACCGAGCCACCGTCCGTGCCTCTCCCCCGCCGCTCCAAGTCTTCCACCGCATCCTTCAATCTCTCCGACGAGAACTGCCCACCCACATTCCGTCCCTTCTGGCTCGTCTGGTCCCATGCCGTCCCCGAGATCCAGGCCCTCACCCCCGAGCACCAACACGACCTCGCGCGCATCATCTGCAACCTCCCGCCCATCGCCGTGCCCTCCAACCCTCGCCTCAGCGGGATAGCTGCGGACCTCCGCGCCGTAGCAATCGAGATCAGCATGCGGAGAACCTTCCAGGACCGCTACGCGACTGACCTCCAGGCGGCTCTTGACGCGGGCACGAACGGACACACCAGAATGAAGGCAAGCTTCGTTCCCCCGCCCTCCTACGACGCGCCCCCCGCCGTACCACCCAAGTCCTCTCCATCCCACTCTCCATCCCACTCGCACTCGCATTCCCACACCCACTCGCCATCCCGTCATACGTCCTTCAGCCCCCTCCCGCCCTCGCCAACCAGCCCCAAGCCGACCATCCTCGCGCCCGACGCCCCCGCGATCGAGTTCATCCGCGAGACCCTCTACGCCGCGCTCGCCGACGTCCTCGAACGCACGCCCTCCCTCCGGCGCGCCCTCCGCGCCGACCCGACCCGCGCCTACTTCGCCGCCGTCGCCTTCGCCATCCTCTCCGTCGCCACCTCCTCCGTCACCCACCCGCCGCAGCACAAGTCCCTCGCGGACATCCTCCCCGAGTCCGCCCCCGCAGAGCAGCAGGCGACCATCTACGGCGTCCTCGACAAGACGCTCGCCCTCCGCCAGTGCCCGCCCGACCTCCGCCCGTTCATGGCAGAGCTCTGCGCGATCGGCCAGGCCGCGCGCGAGATGGAGGAGCAGGACTCGCTCGCGACCGTGGAGGCACTGGGGCGCGGCGAGGACCCGCCCCTCCCCCGCATCGAGCGCGCGCGCGATGTCCTCGAGGGCGGCGTCGGCCATGCGTTCAGTGGCGCGGCGGCAGCGGACGTGCCCCGTGCGGCAGACCAGCGGAGGCGGACGACGAGCACGGAGAACAGGGCGGTCGCGTTTGCGAACAGGATCAATGCGCTTGCGCTGGGCATGACGAGGCTGCGGGCGTTCAGGGAGCGGCAGGATATGGTGTTCAAGGTGCTGGCGGGCGTTGGCGGATAGAGTCGGTGCGCTACGCTCCTTGTCTACCCTTGTACGCTATTCTCTCTGTTAGTTGTTTGTTATACTACCTCCTGTGGTAATGGCCTCACGTTGCTTTGCCTTGCTTCTAATTATGACCACAGTCGTATCCCATGTAGTGTATGCCAGACTTCGAATGTAATGTAGATACCATGTAGTACTATTGTCATGAAACCATTCCGTTCTGAGCAAGACAAAGTAGAGGGACTCAAGCGATCTGCGAAGATGATGGGCCATCGGCGCGTCGAGGAGGCCACCACGCGCCGTCACCGACCCTCGCACTTGCTCGCCCTTGGACCACACCCCCATGTCGCAGCCCACAAACCTGAAGCGGAAGCGTCCCACAAAGCCGCGCGACGTCTGGCTGAACGTCTCCGCCGTCGAAGCGAGCGGCCAGCACAAAGGCCTCTCCGCCCGCCAAGCCGCCGCCGCGGTCTACACCGAGCACCTCACCCTCACCGACGAGCAGAAGGCCTCCCTCGACCAGCTCTACGCCCCCGACGGCAAGCCCCCGCAGGACCGCGAGTTCGCGCTGGACAACGCCGCCGCGCAGACCGAGGCCGCCGCGTTCCTCGCCAGCCTCCGCCTCGACATCGTCCCCGAGTCCCATGGCCAGCTGGGCAGCCCCTGGAGCGTGAAGTGGGCCAGTCGGGACGGGCGCAGGCCTACGAAGTCGCAGAAGCAGACAAAGAGGGTCTTGTTCCAGTGGTGCGTCGCACAAACACTCGGTGCAGACCCGTCCTGACGCAGTCCCGGTATCCCCTCAGCGACTGCGGCTACGATCGCAAGGTCGTCGGTGTCAGGCGGCGACACACCACCTCCGAGACCTTTGACTTCACGGGCTGCCTCGCCCATGCCGAGGTCACCTATGCTACCGTGAGCGGTGCCGTCCTTCGCGTCCGTGGCATCTTCGAGCACAACGACGCATGCAAAACGATACAGGCATCTGTGGTCCACCAGCATGACTGGCGGCCATCGACTCCGCTGGCGACATCGTCGACAACCTCTTTCTTCAGGCTTTCCCAGCCACTCCCGCAGGACGCTCCCTCGCCTGCCTACGAACACAGTGGGCAGGCTGCTTCTGCCGCCCCCAATCCAGCTATATCCACCGCCAGCCTCGATAACAGCTGTGATATCCTCGGTGATGAGACCTGTGTAATATGCGGCACGGACATTGTCGAAACGTGGTGTGTCATCTCGCCGTCCGAGCGGAAGACGGTGCGTACCCGGCCAGCACCTTGATCGCTCCTTCTCATTGACTGTAGTGGGATGATCTACGGGAACGTGGCAATGTACCAGCCAACTCCACATCCGCAGCCCACGAACGTCGGAACACCATAACGCTCTGCCCGAACCACCACAAGCGACTCGCCACCTACCAAGCATTCATCCGCTTTTGCCCCGAGGTGCGTCACCCCCGTTCATCACTTCATCGGTCAACCCACTCATGCCTGCTAGCTGAACAAATACGTGTTCGTGAACCACAGCGGCGCCCCGGCCGAGGCACCCTTCCACGGCAAGGCCGTCGCACTCGAGAGCCACCACGCTAACGCGCCCTTTCCCTCCCTCTTCCTCGTCCATGAGTACCGCGTCCGGGGATTCTTCCCCTTTCGTGAGCCCGCGCTCGACGTCGCTCTGCCAGTACCCTGGCAGGATTGGCTCCTCGCTCGCGGCGTCATCGACGCGAAAGGGGACATCAGACGCGAGCGCCCTGCGGGGACGAATATGCCCACGCAGAGTGGGGCTTCGACACCGCTGCCTGCGTGCTCTTGGCTTGATCTAGCCCCCGGGTGTTCGCCTCCGGGCCTCTATACCATTGCACCTCCGACGTCGGATGTTGCAGCGCGCATCGTGGCTGCTACGCACAATCTGCCGACCTGGACCGCGTGCGAACTCGAGGGACGGGACTCGGAAGGGCTTGCAACGAGGTTTACAGGACACCAACAGACTATCACGAACGATGAGGCGCAGTGCCCGACGCCCGACAGTGTACTGTGAGCGCATACGTCTCTCCATTGGTGGGTGCGATAGGCCGATACCCGGAACAGCGAGTGACTGACCCGCTAATATGAGCAGTGAACTGGCATACCGGTGTGGAATGTCAGGCAACGCTCCGTTGGCCGCGCCTCGAGTTGTCGGCCTCCGTACGTCGTCTGCTCGCGTGCATGCCCTACCTTCGTCCACCACTCTCATACTCCGGGGAGTTACCGGAGCATGTACGCCGCCGTGGTGTGACGGGTGGTGTGCTGACACCCGTGTCTCTGCTCCTTAGCATAAGCAGCCCTTCAGTATCTCGGCATATCGACGGACGTATGTCAACATGGGAGCGCAGATGGTAGCTACCATCAAGTAGAGTGGTTGGACAGCATCGCCCGAGACGGAAGAAGGTTGCGCCGTGAAGAGCATGTTGCAGGCACGTACTGGTCCCAAGAGTGGAAGCTAGCGAAGCAATACATGTATGTACGTGTACTCACCGCAATCCCGACGTCCTGTGCCGCATTGCAGCCAGGCGTGCTCCATCTATTCTGCTCTGCTCCATCGGCCTGCGGATGGTGGGAAAGACCGAACGCGTGAGTGTGATAACGCTCAGTGTACACCAGGCAGAACACTTGCTACATCGCTGACGTGAAAGATGGGCCGGACCACGGAGTGATCCTGCCTCTGGGATCCGTACGGTTGTTCATCTCCTCATGAAGCCACGTACACTGCCATTCGGCCACTGCTGGACAAGAAACATACGTCTGTTCCACACGTATATGTGTCTTCTTACGGGATCACTGGCATGAGGTGCCGTGGATGACATCCCGCCTAAGCCGGTGAACTTGAAGAGTAAGGCGAGTTTGAGCATTGCTGTGAGGCGCCGCGACGTGCCTCTCTCCAGCTGAGACCAGCTCTCGAGTCTGGAGTCGACGTGCCCCATCGCACCAGTGTGGTGCGCGTCAAAGCTTCAGAGTAAAAACTGCACATCGACTCTCAACGTTCAACACTGTCGACGTTCAGTGGTTGGTCAAAACCGGGATGGCGCTTTTGGTAAGTCATATTCTACTACTTGTCATAATCACGCACTTGCATGACCGAGATGGCAGATCACGACTCGGAGCCTCAGAGTATACATGCTCCTACATACAATACATTCCTTCCGCTCGCTCGTAGATACCACTCAACCACCAACAGGCGGCGCATTGATGCCCGGAATAGTGACACGATGCAGGCCCCCGCTGTTCGGGACCTCGTCGTGGATTATGACGCCACACATGATCTTGTGCTCCTTCCAATCCCTGCAAATAACCGAATCATCGTCACCTCTCACATGCACACAAAACAGAGCGCGTAGTGCGCAATGCACAACCCGCCACGCACTTCTTCTGGCAGTCCTGCCCGCAATACTGTGCCTGCCCGCACTTGCTGCACCTTGCCGTCGCGCGCTCGTCGCACACGCGCCGCGCACACACACCGCCGGACTTGACGCGCTTCTCGAGCGCATGCCACATCTGCCAGCAGCTCTCGTCGAAGAAGTTCGAGCCGACCGCCGGGAGGCCCTTCGCGTCCCGCCGGACCTGCCCGGTACGCACGAACTCGCTCGGCGTGCGCAGGCTGCGCGTGCGCGGGTCTATGTATGCGTGGATGAGCAGTGCGTGGAAGGTGCGGGGACGCGGGAGTTGGCCCTTGAAGAGCGGGGAGGTAGAGGGGTCTTTGGAGAGGAGGCTGTCGAGGCAGAAGATGATGCGCGTGAGTTGTTCTGTGCAGTGATGAGTTGGATGCCTCAGTAAAGCACGCCCGGTGTGGCGGAGTGAGCAGACGTACGGGTGACACCCTCCGTAGCGACGACACGGGGGACGGTGGCATCGAGCGCATTGAAGAAGTCTGCCCGGATACACAGCTCCACAAACACCTTCAGCTGGTCGGGCGACTGGAAGAAGCAGCTATGCATCCAGTTAGCAGTCAACCCGATTACGTTCGCCGCCGCTCTCTTCGCCCGCGCGCCCGCCGCTTTGTCGCCCGGCTCAATCTTGCGCTCCGCCGCCCTCCGCATGAAGATGAACATGTTCGTCCAGAGCGAGGCCGACTGCCGGAGATCGTTCGCGAACTCGGGGCCCTGGTCGTTGACGAGCTGGAGGAGCGTGATGATAAAGTCCATAATCATCCGCGCGTCCTCCTCCTTTTTCATTGTCTGCGTGAGGTGGACCCCGCACCGGTCGAAGATCTTCCGCGGCGGCGTCGAGCCGCCCATCATCCGCGACAGCCATGTCTTCGGGAGGGGATGCAGTTTGCGATGCTTGATGAGGTCCTTGTCCACTATTGGCGTCGTGAGGCAGGTAATGCACTCCAAGAGATACAGAGTGTCGCGTTCCTCGGTGGCGTGGATGAAGTAACGCGTCAACAGAGGCAGAGTCATGTCGAAATCGGCGTCGATCATGCTGGAAACGCGTCAAACCAACGAATGTGCGCGACGATACCGAACTCACCTCATTACAGATGGGTCAGCATGTGTGAGTCGCGCGACGATCTTGGCGACGACGGCCCTTTCGATGGCATGAGAAGACTCCGGCCGAAGCGCGTTCTGCGGAGAGTCCCAGAGCTGCAAAGGAGTGAGGAACGCATGTCACTATGAGCTGGCTCGGTCACTCTACGTGTTTCATCATCTCTGGCCATCGCTGCTTGAGCGTGCGCAGGAACTTGCGCTCGGACTCGTTGGGCGTCTTGGAGACGGAACAGACGGCGTGGCAGATGGCATCGAGTGCCACAAAGTGGCCCGAGCGCACCTAGAGAAAGAGTTGGCTGTGTTGGTCACGTCGGCCAAGATCGTGTGGTTGGAGGACGGACCTGCCTCATTGCTTCCCGCTGCCTTTCCTCTGACATACCCGGGAGAGGCGGTACATAGACCCTCGCTTGCAAGACGCCGTCGCAAAGCTTTTCTGCGACACCAACATCCAGCAGCCGGTGCCATTCTGCAGTCCCCTCCCTGGCTAGTTTCCCTGTCGCTTCGTAACACGGGTATACATCCTGGCGCAGCCGATGATCTACATGGACGGAGAGGAGGATCCGTGTGGCTCACCTGCGCCGAGTCTCCCCATCTGTTTGTCGTCTTCGTCTCAAAGCCCACGTCGAGCGTCTCGCAGACGCGCTCGGGGTCGGTGCGCGCAATGTCGTCCCATTTGGCTGCCTGCTCCGGGGTGTGGGTCAGGAAGTAGAACTGCTCCGACATGGCTAGACTCGAGCTCGCAAGACAGAGGGCGACGGGAAGGAGGAGACATTGAAGCGAGCAGCACAGTGCGCAGGCGGCACGAGGCGGAGGACGTAAATGGAAGGCCTTCTGTGGCCTCACGTAACCTCTCCGAGGGAACATCGATCGCCGTCGACCACATATACAGATGCAGGTACGTACTTCATCATATTAGACAACTAATCCAATATACCGTACACTCCGTACAGCGCGTCCATCCTCGCCACACACGCGATCAGCGCCCTGCCACTGTGGCCCGAGCTTGTGGCTGAGCGACGAGCTTCACGTTGCTGACTCCGGCTTGCAATCTCTGCAGACCTGCGGGAACTCCTTCCAGGCCACCCGGTAGTACCTCGACGCGATTCGGCTGCACGTCGTCAGCAAGGTAAGCAGGCATCGAACGGTGCAGTGCTCGTCGAAACACGGACCTGGATCTCCCCGTTCTCCAGTAAGTCACTCAGCGCCGCGTACAAACTAACACCCATCGCGCGGCTAGGCGCATAGTGGATCCTCCCATCCACGGTGACGACGCGCCTGTCCGCGCTCTTCCTCTTCTCCTCGATGATGTCTTGCAGCACCAGGACGAGAGATCCACCCGGTGCGAGCAGGTCGTACGCGAGGTTCTGTGTCTCCGATATCGACACTGCGTCGAAGATCGTCTCGATTGCTTCGCTGGTGATGTTGCCGATCTGTGCACGCAACGTTTCCGGCGCGAGGTGGCGGTCCAGCACGTGTGTCGCGCCGAGGGCGAGGAGAGACGGGGCGTTGTAAAGCGACGCGGTGGTGATGATGGGCGAGAACCCGGAGAGCTTGGCCAGTTGGATGACTAGTGAGTTCTCTCCTGTGAGCGTGTTTCGCGTATATCTGGAGGTGGGCAGTCTCTCACCATAATGCCCGACTGAGGACGATCCGCCGAGGGCGACGAAGGGCTTGCCCGAGTAGCGGCCCCGACCTGTAGGCTCCCATGGGGGGAGTAGCCCCGCACTTGTATGTGGGTTGTATGCGTTGTACAAGCCTAGCGAGGCTGTTGCTAGGCCAAGAGGCATCGTAGCAGCCTCCTCGAAAGCCATCCAATCCGGTATCTGCGACACAGCCAGCTTAGCTCAGGTGCGCTCGACATACGCCTAAGGCACGACTGCACCTGCGCAGTGAGCTCATCATACCCAAGCGAGTACTGCTGGAACCCCGAATGCTCATTGACACCCAGAACGCCCTGCGTTATCCTGCCTTCCGCTTCAGCCAACCACAACCCATGCCAGGCTATCCATACGCACACTCGATCCCCGGGCCCGAACGCCGTGACGTTCAAGCCCACCTGCTCGACGACCCCAGCGATATCGCTCCCCAGCACGGCGGGATACGTCTTCACGACCATGCCGTACGCCTGGATCTTCCAGTCGATCGGGTTCAATGCCACCGCCTCGACGCGGATAAGCACCTCGTTTGGGCCGGGCACGGGCACCGCGACCGTGCCGACGCTGAACGACCCCTGTCGGCTGTTCAGCAGCAGCGCGCTCTGCTGCTGCAGGAAGGAGAAGATGACGGGCCACTGGATCCGCATGGCGGATAGTGCTGGGACCTGCGCACAGGTCAGGCGCGGCGACGGGGCGACGGCGACGGCTTTATACGCGTTCCGCCCGCCTAAGAAGCCGGCGAAGCGTGCAACTGTGCTTCAGCATGCCCAGAAGACCGTCGCGGTATGGAAGAGCCATGCACTTTCGGAGGAAGCGAGCGTCCCGAGATAAGCAGTCCGCATCGCAAGGGCAGGCTCTTCGCACCGCTCGTTGCACTACGGTACCTGCCGTGCTTGGCAGACGAGGTCATGCCACAGATACACTGAGGACACTGAATAGTCGGGCTTGGGACGTATTGAATTGCGAAGACGTTGGGGTTGCTCGAGTTGACCAACTCCACGAACGTCGCAGGTCGCGTAGACGCCCGAGCGGTCAGACGATAGGATTCTCAGCGGATTGTGCCTGCGGGCGCACCGGTTCGGACAAGTGGATGTACACGGAGAGTATCTTCGGTTATTGACGATGAGGCCTGAATGACAGCACCTTGACGGAGATTTATCATGGACAACTGCGGAACGAGGTCCTGTGGTGAGCATAGGAAGGAAGGCAGCTACCGATAGTGGTACGCACCGGCGTTCGCGCATAACGAATGCAACTCGAGAGAGCATCGCTATCTCTGAAGAATCAGGGACATGGTGGACAGGGGACCGTATACGGTTGTGTTATCCCGTGGCTCGTATCCACGCTCGGTGGTCTAGGTAGCGATAAGCTGAACGACACATACGAGGTTGCCCGGAAGATGCGCATATACAGACGCATACATCCAGTTCCTATTCGCGTTGAAGCAAGCGGTAGTAGACAGGTCGAAAAGACGAGGAAGACTCAATATGTCCTTCAAGAGATCATCCACCGCGCCTACAGGCATATCCCCGTGCGGCACACGTCCCACAGATGTCAACACCGCTGACCAACCTGCCGTGTTCCTGAAGATGGCCCTGTGAGGATGTCGAGGACGCAGGGGATCGTCGAGGACATCAAGTCCTGCGGCCGCGGCACACTGGCAAGCTGAAGGATCTCACCGGACCTCGGGTTCCTCAAGACGCCTGTGACAATGTCGCCGAGTCTACAAGTGTACGTCCAAGGTGGGTGTAGACGGTGAGCATGCCGGTCGTCCGCAGGAGGTCCAAGAGCTTTAGCGCCCACCGCTCACTCGCTCAGTCAACTTGCGACGACGCGCGGTGGTGTATAACTCTTTGTAGAATGCTTGCGTGCACGGTTCGAGTTCTGATGCCAGTAATGCAAGTGCGTATAACAATACAGAATGTCAGCTCTACACCCCCAGCACGCGCTTCCCCCACTGCCACACCGTAAAGCTCACCGCCGTCATCGGCACAATCTTCAAATAGCCAATGCTCAGCCCGACGTAGAACCCCTTCCACCCGCGCGTCGCCCACACGTTCCGCACCGTCTCGCTCCAGTGCATCCACCGCTCCGGGTGCGTCAGCCCCCCGACCTGCATCCGCCGCCGCACGACCTCAAACGGGTACGACACCGTCTGCGACACCGCCCCCGCCACCGCGCCGAACGTCAGGTCCGCGAGCGGGCTCGGCCGCCGCCGCGCGGACGGGCTCGTCGGGTCGGGCGGGGGCGCGAAGTAGGCCTGGAGGAAGCCCCAGGTGAGGAAGGACGTCCCTGCGTAGGGCACGATCCCCACGAGCGTGACGGAGAACCCGCGGTAGAACTTGACGACCGGCACACGGGTGAAGATGTTGTTCGCGGAGCCGGACGCGGAGTGCGGCGGGGCGCTCGCGCCTTCGTGGTAGATCTGGGACATGGCGGCGAGGAAGGACGGGCGGTGCGGGGGGGAGGACTGTGGAGGGTGGAAGGTGTGCGGGACTTGGACAGACTGTGCGCGGGTGCTGAACGCCATCCGGACGCGGATGAGCTCGAGGGGGTAGGTGAAGAATACAGAGACCATGCCTGGCGAGGGCGGGCGAGTTGTTCATAGGACGTGGTGTCGCGTGAGGATGTCAGTACGCACCAGAGATCGCGCCTGCTGCGAAGCGCCGTGCATTCGTCTGTGATTCTCGCGTCGGCATCAGGATCTGCGTGCCGCAGTCAGCAGACGCGTTCGGTGCAGAGAGCGGAGACGACGGACATGCTCGACCTGGTCATAGGCGATGAACTTGATGGCCGCGTACGGGAATATGCGGAGTAGGGTCGCAGAGTGTCCCTGCAGCAGCCCGCGGGCGCCGTTGTCCTGGTAGATCTGCGACGCGGCGCGGAATGCGCCGCTCCAGGTTCCTGGCATACCGCGTCCACAGATGTCTAAACGGCACACGACGAGGCACGCACCAGCATACTTCTGAAACTCGGGGCTGGATGCTTGGAAGAGGATCTTTACTCGGTCGAGCGGCGCGACTACCGTTTTCGCCTACGCAGCAGTCAGCAGGACACGGATGAAGCAAACCGAGAACCACGCACGATGCAGCCAGCGGTCCCGCCTGCAATGCCAGAGCGGATGATATAGTGGAAGCTCTGCTTGTCGTCCTTGGGGCGTGGTGTGTGGGGCGGGCGTGGACCAGCAGAACTCATCCGAGCCCCGAGCTAGTTCATGCGACGTGGGTGTCGCGTTCTCGTGGAGGTGATGTAGCGTAGATAGAGCGGCGGTACGCAGCGAGGAGGAGGAGGAGACCCCACGGGGCTGAGCCTGGCTGAGCTGAGCGACGGCTGTCGGATCTCCCGATCGGGCAGGTCGCGTGCACGTGCACCCATCACGTAACCGCGTCGCCTGGCGCGCTTCGATCGTCTTCGCGTTCGTCCACCAGCTGCTCACTCTCCGTCCGCTGCAGCAGAGATGGCCTCGAAACCGAAAGCCGCGGAAGCAAAGGTGCCTGTCCTCAAGGGCCAAGAAGGTACTCTCCGCCTGGCCGCACACGCGCCCGTCCTCACCGTCTGCACCCACAGCCGAGGACAAGGTGCTCGAGTACATCAAACGCGTGAGCACGCCCGCTTCCTGCCCGCCGACGCGCATATACCCAGGTCGCTGCGCAGATGAACCGTCCCTTCGGAGCGGTCGACGTTGCCGCGAACTTGAAGGGCGCCGTCCCAAAGACCGCGACGCAGAAGATCCTCGTCGCCCTCGCGGACAAGGGCGAGCTCGTGCAGAAGACATACGGTGAGTGAATGCGCGGTGTACGCGTCCGGAGCGGCGTGGACGTTGACTTTACGCATATATGCGCGCATGTATCCCTCGAAATGCATAGGGAAGACCACCTTCTTTGTCGCAAACCAGGACAAACTCGGGGACGTATCCTCGGAGAAGCTCGCGGACCAAGAAAAGGAATACAAGAGCATCGAGGAAGAGAACAAGGCTCTCGCCGCCGACGTCCGTGCACTCTCAACAGGCACGTCGATCACTCGCTTCGTCTCATTACACGACCTAACCTCATGCAGAGCTCGCAAAGCTGCGAGCCGCCCCTACCGACGCAGCGCTGGCTGTCTCCCTGGAGGGGGCCATTTCCGCGGTAAGCCTTCGAGGCATCGTACTCCCACCGTCATGCTTCGAGCATGTGGCTGCGACACTGACCCCGGCGACGGCGCTGACGATCGACGCTGCAGACCGAGAAGGCTAGACAGCGGCTCGCGCCGCTGCAGGCGGGCACGCCGCTGGTGTCTGCGGCCGAGCTGGGGGAGCTGGACGCCGAGTGGACGCGGTGGCGGGGCGAGTGGGTGCGGCGGAAGAAGATCTTCACAACGTGAGTGTACGTACGCTGCCGCGGCGTCCCTTATCGTCGTTGGGACGGCGCGCTCGGTTCCGGGCATCAGAAGCGGCCATTAACGCGTCCTATTTTTGGCTCAGCTTCTGGCAGCTCGCGACGGACCCCCTCCCGCCACAGGACGCGAACGACCTCGCAGACGACCTCGGCGTCGACCTCGACACCCCAGAGCATGCCGCGCTCGAGCGGGGGCCCGTCTGCGCGAGCACGGGTGGCGCCGGCGTGTTGGGCAAGCGGCGGCGGTAACGGCGCGCCACTCGTCCATGTGGGTCCCTGTGCCTCGGTGTCTGGTCGGATTTGGTGCGGTCCTCGTCGTGTTGTGTTGCGTGCGCGCTGTCTGTTTTCGTGAACTCTGTGTGCAGTATGTGTGTATGAGAGCGTATACCATGTGGAATGCTAGTGTGAATGCGGTGGCATCGCGACCGCGTAGGCGGGCAAATGGTGTTGCCAAGCCCGTGAGCCCAGAAGGGGCGCTCAGCCAATGGCGGGGCGGCCAAGCGCATCCGACAGGCGGTGATGCGGAGTGCGAAAAGATCACATGGCGGGTATATCAGGGCGGGCAGCGACGACGGCCCTCATCCTTCTCGTCCCTCTCCCTCTCGGGCTCCGTTGCTTTCCCTCCCATACCTATATCCCACCCATAAGTCAGGAAATGTCTTCCACCGTCGCTCTTTCTGCCCTCCTCGCCGCCGCCGCGGCCCTCTCTGGTGCTAACGCCCAGTCTTCCTCCACCTCCGTCGCGCCCCTCGCCGCGCAGACCTACGCCTACGCCGACCTCGTCAGTCCCTCTGTCCGTCCTCTCGTCCGCGTGCTGACCCGTCTGTAGCCCTACCAAGTCGAGCCGTACGGCGGCGAGCGTGGCAACCAAGTCGGCTACAACAAGTGCAACTCCACCACCGAGAACCAGGACTCCCTGTGCCAGACGCTCATTGCGAACGCTATTGATGGTCCGTGGCCACGTAGTTCTGCTGTGCCGCGCGCTCACCGTGCCTCTAGATTTCTGCCTGTGGTCCTCCCCGAAGGAGAACGAAACGATCGGTGACACCGAGGCGTACGAGGTTGCTTGGTGTTCCAAGAAGGGCCATGGCGCTCGTGCCATGCCCGACGGCACCCTCCAGGGTGTGTCCGTCATCAGGACCCCCGACTACGTCATGTACGCCGGTTTCCTCGACCAGGTCCAGGTCAACCTCGCTGCCGATGACTACGGAGGAGAGCTTGACCCCCACGGTGCCGACCTGGTGCGTGCATCCAACGTGTCCTCGCTAGTGCGTCACTAATACCCTGCGCAGATGGGTAACCCCATGGGCGGCATGGTCTACTCGAACCAGTACCCCAAGGGCAACACCGACAACAACACGCTCACCCAGGTCGTCGAGTGGAAGCAGTTCATCGGCGGCAACCAGTTCTGCCTCATGATCTGCGACCCCTCCAAGACCGACGCCAACAACGTCGGCCTGTGCGAGAACCGCTACGACGAGGTCGGCATCTCCTACAACTGCCCCAACAGCGCCCAGAAGGGCAAGTACGAGGTCTGCGACGGCGACTCCATGAGCCCCATCGGCCAGTACGTCTCCAACGGCGTCACGACCACCTGGACCCAGCCGTGGTCCGGTTCCTGGACGGTCCCTTACACGGCCACCGTCCCGTCGTCGTCCAACTGCCGCACGTTCGCGTCGACTGACCTCTACACCGCCGGCGTCAAGCCCACCGTGTCTGCGTCGGGCTCCGCTGCGGGTGCGACCGCCACTGGCACCGGCTCGAAGGGCAGCAAGGCCGGCTCGTCTGCTGGCGCGTCCGCGACTGGCTCGGGCAGCGACGCGTCGGGCGCGAGCCACGTCGTCGTGTCCGGCTTCGCGACCGTGCTTGGCCTCGCTGCGGCCCTTGCGTTCCTTGCATGAACATGCCTCTGATGTAGCTTGTTACGAACCATGACCGCGTCACTAGTACTGTACGGGGATGGGCGTCGCTATACCTACTCACTACCACTACCAACTATGTTGAAGTCTTGTCTGCACCGGCTGTTTGGACCCCGGGGTCGGGAGTACGGTACACCTTGCCTGCACACATCCGTAATGTTTCTGGACAGTAGAAATGGACTACTCTTTTCCGCCTGCAGTGCTGTCGCGAGCTGCATACCCTGCATAATCATACCACCTTTGTCTCCATCATGAGTTGCCGAGAGATGAGTGCGGGAACAGCCACTGCTGGCGCACGCGACGGGCGTCGGCGGCACCGCACCCGTCGCTGGCCAGAAAAGGCAAGTGTTAATTGTAGGCTGTTACAGCCACCCGCGCAGGTCGAGGGCAACACGGGCGGCCTGCCTCCTCTCCTCCTCCTCTCTCCATGGTCGCCGTCCCCAAGAAACGCACTCTCAAGATCGGCCGTGCCCTCAAGACCGCCGCCCGCCTCCCCGCCCGCGTCTCCGGCGGCAGGGGCAGCGGCAGGAACACCTTCTCGCCCCTCCCTGCCGAGCTCCCCGTCGCCCTCCTCCGCCTCCAGGTCATCGGCTGCAGAGACCTCGTCGCAAAGGACAAGAGCGGCCTCAGTGACCCGTGAGTGTCCGCACGCGACTCGTGGGCGGTGCTCATACGCTGGCTTGCTAGGTTCGTCGCCGTCTCGCTCCTCAGGGACAGACACCAGACAGGCGTCGTGAAGAAGACCATCAACCCCGTGTACGCCCCCGCCGATGCCACGTTCGACTTTCCCATCTACCTCTCCCTCGCGGACAGGCTCGGCGTCGTCGAGTTCGTCGTATGGGACAAGGACATGCTCCGCAAGGACTACCTCGGAGAGGCGAACATCCCCCTCGAGGATTGGTTTAGGGACGGAAACGCGTTCGCGTTCGACGATGCGGAGAACAAGGTACGCGCCTGGTCTGCTCTACTTCATCTATCCCGCCCCGCGTGTGCGGGTGCTGTAGGAAAGCCGTGTACCGCACGTCGGCGGTTTGCTGTACACCAGACCCACTGCGCTGGCCGTTCCCCGCTTGGCCGCTCCAGCGATTATATTTTCGTGCTACTGGCGCGAGTCGACGCGTATTCTGAGCAGCAGAGCCGGATAGAGGTAGTGCACAGTCACTCGCATACGGGCACGCAATGTGCATCTATAGTGAGCCTCGCACGGCGCCCTGGGCTGTGTCCGCGCGCCTCCCCGCGAGTGGCAGATGGTGACCATCGCAAGAGCCAGTGGACGACTGTCTCGCATATATCGTTGTCCCCACATGCACCCCGAGTAAACTGAATGCTTCCACCTCGTAGCCAATCTCTGCCCCCATTGTCTCCACGCGAGTATCAATCGCCGCTGCCGGTACCATCCAGTTCAAGCTTGGCTTCGTCTCGCCCGCCGATCGCCAGAGCGCACAGGACTTCAGCGAGCTCTTCTCAGAACTCGTCAAACGGTCAAGACCTAGCCTCGTGTCCGCCCCTCCCGTACGTCGCACGCTAGTCGCTGCGGCCCGCATTACTGACGACGCGTCTTGCACAGACCGAGGGCATTGGTACCATCCGCTCGAACCAGATCGGACCAGAGTTTCAGGATGACGGCCTCACTTCCGACGAAGGGGAGAGCAGCGACGACGACGAGGAAGAGGCCCCGCGACCGTACACCCCGCCCCTCGCGCACCTCTACGTCCCGCCGCCCCCGATCGACCTGACCCTCACGCTCCCGCCGTCCCCGTCCCTCGAGACACCCACAACGCCGACTGCGGCCGGCCCCTCAACCCCGTCAATCGTGAAGACGCCTACGCCAGCGCGCCCGGGTACGGCGGGTTTCAAGAGCATCCCAAGGATATTCCCTCGACGATCCAACTCCGCGAAACCACAGCTCGAGTCGCCGACTACGCCCGTTGCGAGCCCTTCACGTCCGTCACCGCCCCACTCGCCTGCCGTGTCGAGTCCCGGCCCTAGCTCTGGCCTGGGTACGCCCACCCCTGCGTCCCCGCGACCGGGAATGGCGTCGCGCGCGAAGTTCCGGAAGAGCTGGGGCGGCATCGGGAACAAGAAGACGGACTTCAACTTCTCGGCCGCTAACGACATTCTGGGCATCGTCATGCTTGAGATCCAGAGCGCCGCGGATCTGCCGCGCTTGAAGAACAGTAAGTGAGCTTCGCGTGGTACCGCGAGCACCGCTCATTGTGAGGCCTATTATTAGTGACTCGCACGGGCTGGGACATGGACCCCTTCGTGGTGATCTCCTTTGGGAAGAAGGTCTTCCGCACGCGTGTGATCCGGCATTCCCTGAACCCCACCTGGGACGAGAAGCTCCTCTTCCACGTCCGGCGATACGAGACAGCGTTCAAGATCCAGTTGACCGTCCTCGACTGGGATAAGCTCTCGTCGAATGACCACGTCGGCGACGCCAGCTTCAACGTCTCGGAGTTGCTCGCGAACGCGCCGCAGAAGGACGAGGCAACTGGTCTGTACCCCGAAGATGTCGATGGCAGCCACCCTATGCAGGAGTTCAAGCTTCAGCTCACGACGGCGAAGGAAATGCCATGGGAAGCGCGACACAAGCCCGTACTCACGATGCGCGCCAAATACCAGCCGTACGATGCGCTTCGGCAGCGCTTCTGGAGGCAATACCTGAAGCAGTACGACTCGGACGACACCGGCGCCATCTCGCACATCGAGCTGACGTCGATGCTCGACTCGCTCGGATCCACTCTCTCAAAAGACACCGTCAACTCGTTCTTTACCCGTTTCAACAAGCGTCCTCGCGAGGATACCTTGACCTACGACGAGGCGATTCAGTGTCTCGAGACGGAGCTGTGCCGGCCGCGCTCCGAGAAGAAGCTCATCGACCCGGAGGAGAATGTGTTCGACACGAGCGCACCCGTCACGCCCGCGGCTACAGGGAACGGATTCGAGCATCAGCTCAGCCTCAACCTGGACAAGCTCGACTTCTCCGGGCCAATGATGGACCAACTAGGTATGCCGAAGGAAGGTAGCTCGGACCCAGACCTGTTGCAGAAGCCAGCACCGCCTCCATCTTACCCAACGGAGCCGATGCAACAGTCCTTGTCTGCGGCAGCGTCTCTATCGACCTCGAGATCGAACTCGTCCGTCCAAGTCCCGCGTGTGACGTTCGCGCGACAAGGGTCAGGATCGTACTCAGACCCCGAAGAGACGTCGTCACCGAGTGGCGGGTCTTCTCCGTCGAGCTCGGAGGTATCGACGGGCAAGGCAGGCGAGGACCTGCATGAACGTGTCATCAACATCAAGGTCTGCCCGCTATGCCATCGGCCGCGATTGAACTCCAAGGGCGAGGTTGACATCGTTACCCATATCGCGACATGCGCGAGTCAAGATTGGAGTACCGTTGATAGGATCATGGTCGGCAACTTCGTCACTGCGAGCCAGGCGCAACGCAAGTGGTACACCAAGGTTATATCCAAAGTCTCGAGCGGGAATTACAAACTTGGGGCGGTACGATGATTCCGCTGTACCGCTTCGTGTTTAAATAACGTTTGACTAACTCGACTATTATTGTGGTGTTGTAGAACTCGGCGAACATCATTGTGCAGAACCGACTCACGGGCCAGCTTGAAGAAGAGAAGATGCAGGTTTATGTACGGCTTGGAATCAGACTCCTCTATAAGGTATTCCTCCGCACATCGTCTTACGCACACGCGTACTCATTATACCGTGGTTGCAGGGTTGGAAGAGTCGCATGGAAGGCGCGCGAGGTAACAATCTATCTTTGCTCCTTACGAGCCGACCTGAACACGGGTTACAGCGCGGCGGCTTCTAAAGTCAATGTCCATCAAGCAGGGGCTGAAGTACGACTCTCCCGAGTCGGCGCGAGACATCCCCTCGTTTATTGCCTTCCACAACCTGAAAGTCGACGAAATCCTCGATCCATTGGACTCCTTCAGTGCGTGCTTCTCTTGGTATGCGTACACTAATATTCTAACCTGCCGATATGCACACAGAGACGTTCAACCAGTTCTTCTACCGGTAAGGACATGGTTCGTGTGGCGTCACCTGCCCTAACATGCTTCTACAGCAAATTGAAACCTACTGCGCGCCCTGTAGAAGAACCTGACAACCCGTCACGTCTCGTCTCGGGTGCTGACTGTCGCCTCATGGTCTTCGAGACTGTTGCTGAGGCGACTCGTCTATGGATCAAGGGGCGGGAGTTCACCGTCGCGCGACTACTCGGCGAGCAATACCGTGCCGAGGCAGAACGATACCTGGGTGGGGCCTTGTGCATCTTTCGGCTCGCGCCCCAAGACTATCACCGTTTCCACTCGCCCGTGGATGGTACCGTGGGGCCCATGTCCGACATATCGGGCGAGTACTACACCGTCAACGTGAGTGCGCGGGTTCTTCATCGTGGTTGCCATGACTGATGGTGTCTGCAATAGCCACAAGCTATTCGAACAGCGCTCGACGTGTACGGCGAAAATGTGCGCAAGGTGATACCGATCGACAGCCCACACTTCGGCCGCGTCATGGCCGTCTGCATCGGTGCGATGATGGTGGGGAGTATCAAGACGACTGTCGCCGAAGGTCAGCAGGTGAAGCGGGGCCAGGAGCTTGGTTACTTCGCCTTCGGTACGCATGTCTAATTTACTGTCGCATGCGAATATTGACTGTGCCTGTCAACACTAGGCGGCTCCACACTCGTGGTCCTGTTCGAGAAGGGTGCTGTAGAATGGGACGAGGACCTCATCATCAATAGCCGGGCATGCCTAGAGACTCTCGTTCGTGTCGGGATGGGTATTGGTCGAAGGCGTCGAACGTAGTAAGGAACCTTCGAAACATATCTAGATCGTAGTGTCTTATTTCCGCTTTCGAACTGCTTGGCTCAGTACGTTACTCATAACACACCTAGTGGACTCTACAGTCGACCATCATGATCTATGTATCTACTACCAACATTCCCCTCAATTCTGTGCAAGGTCGAACGCACAGTGGGCTAGAGTCAGTAACGAGCTGGACATAGGACGAGCCCCTACCTGAAAACGTCGAGTGCCGAGCCATTCGCTCCCCGGCGTTGACCTCGTTCCTCCACTCATCTCGCGCCCCTGCTTTCCAGCCCGCTGCTCGACACACAGCTAACGAAACGATCATAGCCCAGTCGTAGGCGGCGGCGCCAACGCGCTGATCACGTTCCACGGTGTGCCCTGAGAATATTGGTGCGCTTGCAGTCTGCGCTCGTTCGTCGACCACCACCTCTCGCAAGCAGACGACGAGCGGCCTTGTGCGCCCGCTACATCCGTCACTGTAAGATTTTCGTTCTTGACTTCCCTTGCGCTGCTCACGTGTCGGCTCGCAGGGCTCTCACAGGTGTGCTCGCGGCCTGACCGATATTGACCTCGATCTCCTCGCACGAGGTGCGCTTGCGCGGCCAACCTCTGTGTATACCTAGCGCGATGGGTGCCCCAGAGTTTCAGAACACGGAAGGTGTGCCCCTCTTACTATGCATACCTGGTATGGGCTCAACACTGTGGGAAAGATCTCCTGTACGACAATAACACTGGGCTGTATCGATGCCTGCGCTGTCCTGATGCTCCGAGGCCTCAAGCTCTGAGGTATGCGATGAATCACAAACTCATGATGAAGCATCGCCGCAATGTACAGCACCATGCTGTAGCCCTTTGCCAGGCAGATTTGGCCAGTCATCTAGCTGCTACTGCAGCATCTGAAGGTGTACAACCGCCAGCAGTTCACACCGACCCTTTCCTCGGGTGTTATGTCAATGTTTGTTTTTATCTATTGCGCTCAACCATTGTACTACCTTAGCATGGGCCCAACCCCATGATGCTATGCTTCCAGTCTTTGGACTCCTTTGCTGTTTGCTCTGGTCCAACCCGGGCAGTTCACGTGCTCTCTGACTCAGTATGACTTGTCGTGACTCGTCCCTTACTCATACATGACTCATCATTTATGACTCGGTCCCTGACTCATCGTGACTCACTCTCCTGCGCTCCTATTGGCTAGGCAGTTGTGACTCGTCCTGGACCTGCCCTGAACTCCCCATGTATATAAGACCTGTGTACAGTAGCAGTCAAACCTCAGTTTGACCTGGTTATCTATTGAAGCTTCACCAGCTCCTTATATCAGAAACTCCCCGCTTGACCTGCTAGACGGAGTTAGCAGCGTCTTCGACCATCCTCCCCATCCAAGGACAATTAGAACCTAAGGTCCCTATGTTTAGGGTTAGGTTGAGAGCTAGTGCTCTAGGTGTCAGCGGCAGTCACGCTTCACGTAACATAGGGGAACGTCAAAACCTGTGGCAATTGCAAAAGTGTTGTGGAAAGTTTCACTGAAACTTTTGTAACGAAACGTTCAAACGTTCAGAGGACAGGTTTTGAGGTTTTGAAGTGGTTTTGAAAAGAATGAAAGTTTCATGTTATCGCCTAAACATAATTATCAATCTATTGTGTTCTCAATCTATCACATTTTCAATCTATTGATTCTCAATCTATTGTGTTCTCCATGAATCTTTCAATCTATTGTTGCATGAGTGAGAACTGTGAAGGACGAACATGGTACGTTGTAAGTGGAACAGTATATAAAGAGGCAGGGTAGTCAGCGACGTCTCTGCATGCCCACTGGTGCTCTGGGTGATCCCCTGCTTGTGTGCCACTGTTGCACCCATCCCTTATCTGTTATGGTTCTGTTTTTTGTTTATAGACAGCTAGTTACCGAGTTTATTGTTGAGTCAATAGGAATAGTAACCTCAGTGATAGAGATTTGTATTGCCTATACAAAGCGGTAACAGACAGTAAAATCCTCGGTAATCTTCGGCAATGCAATTACCAAGACAGCACAAAGTTGAGCTGTAATAAGGATACCAGATCCACAACAAATACAAAAGAGGGTGGGACTTTAGTCAGTGCTGCTATACAAGTATGCAGTACTGCTCTTCAACTGGGAAGAGTAAGCTAAGAGTGGATTTAAGTCGGCAATGAATGGGGATTATTGCCAAGGTTTAGAGCTTTTTAGAATAGAGGATGAAGTCTGAATACAGAGGATTAGTATCCAGAGGTTGATTCCAAAGGAATGGGCCTTTTCGGTTTTGAAGTCACACAACAGAAGTTGAATGGAAGTCTCAACAGCTAGCTTTGACTGCACAGTGACGATGGCAGGTTACAAAACCCTAATGTAGCAGCACAAGGCTGTGCTTCAAGAGGGGCTCACTAAGGCAATTAATCCTCAACCAGCTAATGGCTATAAGGCTTGCTTTAGTGTCAAGTGAGTTGTGTTAGGCTAACCAGTTTAATTATAGTAATGCCACTGAGACGTGCTAGTATGGAACTAGTTGATACAGAGATCTATTGATGTTGGTAACAAGTTTACAGAAGTAGATGATGACTAAGCACCTTCTCTTACTGAACTCAACTTGTGAAGTCAGTCAATGGGTTACTTAAACCTTACTAGTAGCGTGAGGACTGTACTAAGTAAGGTTTCACTGTTGCAGGTCTTAGAGCGCGTTGTTAAGAACTCGGCGAGAGTGGTTGAGTGGCTAGTATGGCTAACTTAGCACTCGGGGCAAAGTAAGACTTTGAGTGGCACACAGGGTGTGTTTTGGTGAAGAGTAGATGGTGGATTGAAGATAGATGTCCTTGACCATGCTTGGGAATGGCCTTTTATGCCATTCCTGAGGACACAGCCAATGGAGCTACATGGAAGTATATAGAAAATCAAAGAGTGTTGTAGAAGTGTATAGTACATGTCCTTGACTCATTTACACCGCTTCAGAGGCCATTCTAGGAGAACAATAGGATCATAGCCTTACACTTCATTGTTTCCAATGAGGCAAGCTATGTTACCGAGTCATCCTAGTACAGCCACAGTACAGCCACTGTTTCAGGACTGTGATTCCCGAGGCATTACCGAGGCATGCAAGAGTCCACATTTTCAGTGTACAGCCTAAGGATAGCACAGCCATTCAACATGGATTTGGGAATGGCTTGGTAATTGTTGCACAGCCATTCCTGTCTATTCCAATACAAAACCATTATAACTCAGTAATTGATTGGTAATAACCATCATTTACCAAGCATACAATAGCTCTTGTATCAGTACTGAAAGCATCTGATCATAATGAGTAAGAACATACTAGAAACTCGGTAATAGTCTGTTTAGTAGATAAAGTTACAAGCACATCTAAAGCATCAAAATGTCGTTAATCAATACCTTGGTAATAAAACAATGAAAGCGCTACATTGATGTCCATTGAGTGGAATAAAGGAAAGATAAGGAGAGTAAGATAAGCACATAACAAACCTTCACCAATGCAGCCACTCAGTAAGTAAACACTTCTAACTAGTTTCTGTGTGCTCTGAGGCTATCAAGCCTCTATCCCTAACATTACTCACTGTCCTTACCGTAACTCTTGGGTCTGCTACACCTTCCAATCATGGCCACATTCAGTGCTGTGTATGTTGGTCTATCTCACTCATTGCAATTTGCTGCTGATGTAACACCACTGACAGTGTTTGACTCCGTCGTGTCCTGTTACCGTACTTTACACGCCTCCCCCTGTCTCATGTTGCTCAGCTTTTGTCAAAGCACAAGATATTGTCCATCACATCAATAGGGATCTTTACCTCCCCAATGGACCTCTTCTGCTTTGGTATTGCACCGACCCGGGCACGCACTCAGGCTGGGCAGGTGGAGGTGGAACTGCTGGGAAGGACGAGGCTTGGCTGAGAGGTGTGTGATCTACACATGATATCAATAATCTGAATAACACTTGTTTCTGACACACTCGATTCGTTCGAATGCAAAGACTGCACATGCCGCTTCCGGCCCCCCTGCTGCGTTGCAGTTGTCTTTGGGCACACAGGTTGCCCCATCTACATCCTCACAGCATGGTTCTTCCTCCTACCCAGGCACAGGTTCAGTGCCTTTGCAGGCCAGTGCTATGAACTTTCCAGTGTCCGTTCACTGTGCGCAGCCAGCCATTGCTTCACCCTCTTCGCAGCCTAATATGGCATCTTCATCCTCACAGGCCCAGACTCAGCTGGCAGGCTCAGCTCCTACTACATCACTTAGTACAACCACCAAACCATCACCTCTGATTCACTCAGGCCAGTATGCACAGCCTATGTGGCTGTGGAAGGACATGCCTTCCGATTGGCTGTCTGAGCACACACAGGTACACGACAAATGGCTGACTGAGGGAGTACAACAGAAGGAGAATCTCCAGGAGGCCCAGCAACAATGGCAGTGATCCATCTTGCCGATATGTTGGACAAGTGCCAGTGTACGTGCTTAGCTCTCACTGCCATCATTTGCATCACTAACTCCTGTGACAATGTTGAACCTGCCAATACAGCCAGATACTGAGGCTTTGGAGTTATCTCCAGTCATTGTGCCCATGTACCCTTCATTCCGAATCACCGACCACAACGACATCTTTCAGCTCGTATGTCCGTCGCGGCAAGATGCGACCAAGGCATACTATCAAGTTTACGACCCTTCAAAGAACAAGTGGCCCATCTCACCGGCCATGAGTTTCCACGATGTACAGAATGTGGCGACTCTGCTACTATGTACGACTCCTTTGCTCGCTGATTCAATGTTTGATGCTACATGCTATCCAGGCATGGTGGCAGCAATGCAGTTGCTCTGTAAAAAGTGCACTGTAGGGTCATTAGATGACTCCACAATACCATTCAATGCACCTGCCGCTAAGCAGCCTCGGCTCACAAATATGTCAGAGTTGTCAGACACGCTCTCCGTTCCCACTGTGCGGCCACACCGTCACACACTCATCGCCCGGGCCTGAGCCTGTTGCAAGGCACAATGAGCATATCTGGCCCCGTGTTGTGATGGCCAATTGGAGTGTTGAAGAAAGAGGTTTGAGGCTTAGTAAGCCAGTGGCAGTGAAGGACTAAAGAGTGAGTGAACAGACCAGTCCCAGAGGGAAGATCCTACGCTGGCAGGCAGAGGAGAGGACGAAGGATCGTTTTCATTACAGGGCAAACCAGCCCAGTATATATACACATTTGATACAGGTCACATGCTGTATCAGTGGTTCATCAGTAAGCACTAAGTCCGAGGTTTTGGGGATATGAGTAAGCTGGTAAGCAGCATGAGTAAGCCAAAACTCGGAGTTTGATGTGGAGAGATATATGAAATGTGATGGAACATCAGGAATAATATGAGACATGATGGAACATCAAAGAGTGATATAAGACGTGATGGGACATCAAGGAATGATATGGAACATCATGGAACATCAAGGAATATTGTGGAATATCATGGAATGATCTGGACTAAAGTCACATGACATAATCTAGGCAAAGTCCATCAAAGAACGTATGTAATCTGACAGCGCAGAACATAAGTCCATATCCATACATAACTGATAAGATAAGAACACTGAAAACTCAGAAGTTCAACACTCCCACTTGTTCAAGATGTCGAGTATCTCATCATGCCAACCAAAGACCTGAATTTCTTGATTCCGCTGAAGGGAACATTCTTGGTCAAGGCATCAGCAAGTTGGTCTTCACTTGCAACAAAATAGATGTCCATCTCCCCACATTCGTAGTAGTGATACCAGTAGTGTTGCCGCAGTCACGTGATTCACCAAAACTCAATAACCTCACCAATCCTCATCAAATCGGAGCAATTTGATCACGGATCATACGATGCACGGGGCTTATCTGACTATATCTCTGATTTTTTATGGAACAAAACTGAATCTGGCGATTTAATGACCTCGGTGATTGGCAACCAAGTTTGGTGATTATAATCAATCAAATTGGTCATCACCACCAAACCAACCACAGAAAATCCCTTAATTGGTGGTACATCTACGTGAAACAACATATACGTATGCCTACAAGTACACCCCACATTGTGTGACATCAAAGCTGCCAATTGAAGTTGGCTTTGAAAGGGTGTGATTCCAGTACATCCATAAAGAGGGACTTAATGAACTTATAGTCTGGGTCATCAGTAAGTCCAAGGGAGTTACAGTACTCAAGAAATAACGTAAATGCTAGAGGGAGGCCCTCACAAAGCTGATGTACAGGTGTAGACCTCTTTATCAAAGAAATCAACTCCGGCTTCTGGACATCATCAAAGCTAACTGTGTGCCAAGGGAGGCCACCTTGAGCGAGATGCACCAGAACGTATGCCAGGGATATCAGATCATCCCGTTGTGAGGGCCAAGTGCCATTGTGAACGTTGAGAGAGACATACTGGACAGTACCCAGCATGCTGCCAGTGTATTGCGTTGAGTGGAGCACCGGTGTTCATCGGCAACAAAGTCTTGATATCTTGTGGCCAAGCCAAAGTCAATGAGGTACAGCGTTTAATAGGGGTCAGTTAGGAATTAATTACAAAAGAGGGTACCGGAGTTTCGGGCTGAAAGTTGGTATATAGGACGTCTATATCATGTAGATGATGGGTGCAAAGTTTCAGGGAAATCGGCGGACCGGTTTTTGAGCAGTGGGCAATTCTTTTTGTTAATAGGTGCATTTTTGCTATGTGCAGAGCCACAACAACAGCACTTGGCAGGAAGCTTGTTTATAGCAAAAGGCTTCATTTGTGTGTGAACATTGGTGCCAAGCCGCTTGGCGATTGGAGGTCTGATGCCGGTGCTATGGGCGAAAAATGTGTACCATGGGCAGGAGGGCATATTCTAGGAGACCAAGGAAGGGGATTTGGGGGTAGCTTCTTTATAGCTCATATGATCCATTGGTATGTAGGACCATGGGTACGAAGTTTGGGAGCCATAGCTGCAGCCGTTCCTCCTTGGCTGGCAGGCATCCCAGCCAAGGGGGAGGCCACAACCACTAACATGTGAACCATTACGATTTCGGGGTGGGTTCTTTATAGCCCATACGGTCCATATATATGTCGGAGTATAGGTACGAAGTTTGGGAGCCATAGCTGCAGCCATTCTTGGTTAGGTTAAGGGACTAGGTAGGGTCGGGTAGGGTCGCAGTAGGCGCCCACCCTAGCCCGTAAGCGCTGGCCCTAGACACGCTGTGGGCATGGCCCACGGTCTATGCACGGAATCAACAACATATGAACGCGTCAGGGCGAGAAATGGGACGGCGGTACGGCGCAAGGCATCCCCGAGAAGTATGGACTTGGGGAACAGAACACGAACGGGCCGAATACATTCCAACTAAGCCAAGCACACGGTTACAGAAGGTGCTACGGACGACTACATGGGGTCAGTTGAGCGAAGGGCTTGCGTTACGAACGTTCCCTCCGTCCCCATTCCTTCCGGACCCTCCAGCCTCTCGGTCAGCAGCAGCATCGGCAACGCTACGGGTGAAGCCCATGGGGCGTGGATTGAGAGCCATCGAACCCCTAGACATGGTGAAGACTAAACGACGAGGAGTTCCGGAATAATCGTCCGGAAGGTACAGCCCGTGTGACAGCTGGTCTTGAATACCTTGGACCGCGGCGGAGAGCGTGGCTAGCCCACCATCGAGCTGGTCAAGGGCTTCGGTGGTCGAACCCTGAGCATCACTAAGAGCTTCCAGCTGGTCGGTGACGATGTCCCATCCGACGGAAGAAGCGGGCTGGTTCGATAAAGCGAGCGGACTGTTGCGATAGGAAATGTGTAACGGGCCATTACTCCGTACATACTGTATTACACGTCATGGACTATTTCTCGCCGGAAACATGTATTTATCTAGTTTGCGTGTGTTTGGCGCCGACCCCATAAAGGTCGACGCCACGCGAGTGGGAAGCAACTCTTCTCACTCGTCGTCCTCGGATACACCGCACTTCTCTAATAGAGATTGGGTGCACAGTATCTTTGGCAGCAAGTGTGAGATATTACACTTTTTTACTGTCCTTCGAACATATCGAACTTCTAAATCAAGAAGTGCGATATTCGAGGAACACGCCAGCTGTTGAACAAGGAGTGAAAAGGGAGTGGCTAGTGTGAAGGCAACACTTAACAGACTACAAGACCAGTTAAGGACAGCAGTCAATGGAGGGCTTGCAAGGTCTCAAGAGACTGAGAGGGAAGACTCAGCAGGCGTAAGACGAGAGGAGAGACCGATACATTACAGGGGCATCCAGCCCAGTATATATACACATGAGAGAGTCATCACATGATCGTACAGTAAGCATAAGTAAGCGTTATGTGTAAGCCTGTAGCAGGATGAGTAAGGCGTACACATGTCGTGTCATGATGATGCAATATAGTGCAATGAGCGAATACATCAGGATGATGCAATATGGCACTATAGATAGAACGTGCTGGAAGGCACTGGAAAGGACTGGACAGGCCTAGATCAATGATGTGATCAATGATGCGAAGTGATGTGATCAAGGAATGTGATGGAACATCAAGGAATGATCTGGAATATGATGGAACCATGTGGAATGTTCCATACAGGTCTAGAACAAGTCATGTGCTACAGGTCTGGATCAAGTCCATCAAGAATGTACGTAATATGTAGCAATGAAGAACATAAGTCCATAACGGGTAAGGATAAGCCCTATCCCGTGTGATAACACCTGAAATAGTCGAAGTTCAACACCAGCAAACTAGCTATCTGTTATCGTCATCATTCCACACCGTCGCTATCAGCAACCACGTAACGTGTGGGGCCAGTTCATTTCCAGACCCGTAATGTCTGGAGACGTGCCGGACTCGCCGTCCCCAAAAGGGTCACAAGGGGAACGGAATTCACTCCAATTGAGTGAATCACCGTTCCGTGGAGTCGGACCTTCTGCAATAGGAGGTCCCCAGGCCCCCGAAGAGTTTCCCCAAGGCAAGCTCATGGCGCCGGGGGCCACACAGCCAGGTTGGACGGGACCATCACGACCATCCAGCAGGCAGTCGCGCAGCAGCAGTGCCGGGACCCGCAAAGGGTCCCGTTGTGCTAAACTCGCGGGATTGAGAGCTCTGCTCCAATCAGAGATGAAGTCCTTGACCGAGCAAACAGCCAAGGAACTTACAGCTATGGAAAAACGGTTCGACACGCAATGTCAACTAGTTCAAGTCCAAATGTCGGATATGATCAATTTACTCGACGACTCGGATAGTGGAGAGGAGGAGCGACTCTCCGGTGAGGAGGAGGCGGCCCAGGATCAAGGCAAGGGCAAACAACCTGCTATACCACGACCACCGGTCGTGGTACAAGAGGTGGTCGACTCCGAGGACCACGCGAAACCCAAGCCAGTGTTGACACTGCCGCCGTTCTCTCAGGCCGAACTTGACGCGTTGAAGGCGGCCCGCCATGCGATGTCGATGCCTCGACAGCCGTTCGAGTCGGAAGATGACTTTGAACAGCGTAAGGTGGACGCACGCCGTCAGATATACCGGATTCGGTACCCTAACCGGGAGCCCACCCCCACAGAGGAGGTGGAACCGGTGTGGTACAACGACACCGCGGCCGTGGACAGCAACCAGAAACGGTCTCCGCCGCGAACCTCTGGACCAGGGTATACTCATATTGAATATACCGCCGACGACGCTAGGTCAAGGTATAACGGTGTGGAGAGGTCATCGGACATCCCCCAGGATGCACAACCAGCTCCGCCCAAGGATGCCCCGCCCCATATGTGCATTCCAAGGGATAACCGTCCAGCTATGACCCAACCAACAAGCACCACGGATGGTGCTCGTCGCAGTAGGCCTAATGGAGCTCCCAGCTCTCCCATAACGGGAGAACTGGAGCGTGAGGTACACTTCCAATACGGTACGGGCGAGTCCATCTCGTCCCGTTGGATGGAGCCGGAGTACGATATGTTCGGGACATACTCGTACCTCCAAGATGGCAACCCGAAGCATAATAAGGGACTCTCTGCCTACCTTACTAAGGTAGGCAAGGAGGACCCTATGGGACCTTCGCTCCGCAAGTGTCAGACCATGATGGACTCAATGGTCTCACACGAATCGAAGGGCGACATTCCAGCATACATCAGAGTGGCTAAGCCACTGATGCCGACACCCTGGGAGGGTGTTGACGACCTGTATGCATTCGAGGAGTGGTTGCAACGACTCTTGTCGTACTTCCAGACGTTGAAGATCACCGGTCCAAGCATGGATAGTGATCGACTCCGCCTTCTAGGGAGTGCGATCAAGGGAGACGCCTACACATGGTACTTCCGCCATTATACCCCCTTCACCTAAGTCCAGGGGGGGTCAGCGTGCCCTCAGCTTGCCTTATATGGTAATTCCTTTTTGGGCCATTACCATATAAGGCAAGTGCTGACTTCGGGCCGCACCTACATGTCTCAGGGGATCTCGCGCGGGCGCGCGAGATCCCCTGCGCACCTCTCAACACCAGTTATGTGGACTGCGTCAAGACCAACATCCAGTACTGAATGTCAGGGGTCTGTGCACTGGCGCGACATCCCCTGGGACATATGCCAGTCCCATGTGCCATGCACGCACCACGCACCATGTGTTAGGGGATCCTGCGCACCCGCGCAAGATCCCCTAGAAAGGGTACGCGCGCACGACACATCCATGTACTCAAACATTGTACACATACAGTCTCCCAGGGGATACTGCGCACCCGCGCAAGATCCCCTAGAAAGGGTATGCATGTATGATACCCCCATGTACCCACACAGCGTACACACATGGGCTCCCAGGGGATCCTGCGCACCTGCGCGAGATCCCCTGGAAAGGGTATGCATGTATGATACCTCCATGTACCCGCACAGCGTACGCACATGGGCTCCAAGGGGATCCTGCGCACCCGCGCGAGATCCCCTGGAAAGGGTACGCGCGCATGACACATCCATTTACTCAAACATAGTACACACAGTCCCCAGGGGTGCGCGAGATCCCCTACAAAGTATATGCATGTATGATACCTCCATGTACCCGCACAGCATACGCACATGGGGTCTCAGGGGATCCTGCGCACCCGCGCGAGATCCCCTAGAAAGGGTACGCGCGCACGACGCGTCCGTGTACTCAAACATAGTACACACAGTCTCCCAGGGGATCTCGCGCGCGTGCGCGAGATCCCCTCAAGCACATGTCAGCATCGCGAACCATGCCTTAGGTTCCTCAAAGTAACCTATTGTCTCCGGTACTGCGCGCACCATGTAACAGGGGATCCCACCCTCCCGCGCAAGATCCCCTTGGAGGAGTACTGCGTTTCGTAGTATGCGCACATACATTATTGGGATTCACGCGAGTGCGCAGCATCACCTCACTTCCCAATGCTTGAGAACATAATGCACGCACATGGTCTCAGTGTGCATGCACATTGCAGCCGCAGCATCTGAGACACGATAACAAGCTGTCAGATCAATCTGATCGATTGTGTGTGATGAAGTGATCGGTTCTGAGCGCTACAGATGTCCGTACATAGACACACACAAGGCTATCGCTAATCTGGGAATTGCCGATCACACCCCGATGTCCCATGTACAAACGACAGATCCGCTCAAAATTAGACAGAGATACAGATACTAAGATGCCTAGGACATGAAACGATTCCAGTCCGCGTTCAATTCAATCTCTAACATGTCCGCAAGGGCGATCGCTTCTGCCTCCCTTTTGTACAAGCCCATGTACTGGTCCATCACTGGCCATAACATATCCATGAGGTTCTGCTCACATACGATCGCGTCGAAGCGGGCACGCCGCTCATCCAAGTAACGCTCCAGAGCCTTAGGGTCCCAAACTTGATCCACGCGTATCACGAGTTGAGTGTCAGCCTCACAGGTATACGCCATGCGCTTGCCCATGAGCTCTAGTACCCTACCCGCGTACGGAGCCGCGAATTTGATGAATTTGGCCATGAACTCGGCCGACATGTACTCGTGCGGGTTATTGTCAAACGCGGCACTCATCCTGTGCGGCCACGATGACTGCCGGTGCAGGCACAGTTAGTCTGAGGGTTACCCAGATACCGACATGATGGACACTCACCGCTACCGTGCACATTATTCCCAATCCGCGTGTCAAGCACTGCTCGCATGTCTCCGAGTTTGGACGTACGTCGCAATTGGCACTGCGGTGGAAGATGCACATTGCACACCGGTCGGCACCATGCATCTGTAGGTAGCGAGTCAGCCCTGGACGCCACTGAGTACCTACAACTAGCAGGGGTCCGTACTGATTTTGGCTGTTCACGGCGCGGGCACGCTAAGTATTCACCGGCTTGAGAATGGTCAGTCCGCTACTTGGAATATAAATGCTCGGTACTCACCGCTGGCTTCGCACGTCGTTCCACTACCACCGGCAGACACACTTTGGGGAGTGTTGGAGCTGGACATGGCAGCGATTTGAGAAGAGAAGACGGCACCTGACATACCGAGTGCTATGTTTTGCGTCATGTGAGTTGTGTGGCGGCGGGCGCTTCCTGCGTTACGAACCTCCGTTCGGCCACAGTGAGCAGTATTGCATTCACACGGTAATATCAGTGGTTGCACCCCGGTATCCGCATTGATGTCGCGACGTTGTATTGCGCATGCGCAGAGTCCTGCGCCAATGCGCCTATTTATACAAGTGGCAATATGCGCAGTAGTATGTACTATGCGGTGCGCATCCTTGGATTGTTGTTCCGAGCCTGAGGAACATTGATTGATATGGCAGATCCATGAATGCATGGACGCGCAAGCTCACCATGAACGAGCAGGGATCATCACCGGCATGATCAGTGCAACGTGCGCAGATCACCTCATGTGCGCGCACCGCGCAGTAGGTTGCGTTTGACGCCTGACATTGTATACATCGTTCGCTCGCACGACGCTATGCTAACCGTGAGTTTGGACGCGTCTGTCATGGGACATCACCACGCACCACGACCGTCACTTCCCGTCGCATGTGACTCTCTGCTGCGCATGTGGCGTGTCAATGCAACCGGTCAATATCATAGCTGACATCAAGTTACCGGTGTGTTGCGGCAGGTTTATCGCAGTCATCGGAGTCGAACAATGAGTACAAGTGCCGCCGGCCACTGCAGCATATCTGATAGATCAGATGCGGGAACGTGCGCGGGGCGCCACGCATATCCATACATAGACGCACATGATCTTGATTTGGATTCCACAAGAAGAAGTATGTACTATACTAGTAAGACCATACGCGAAGTCTCGAACGTGCCTCCTGACGTGCGCGCTGCTCTCTGAGCCGTTGTAACAAGCGCCTGTAACTTCCATCGTATGCGTATAGCATGAGCGTCATTGTTTTGACCGCTCTCCAACTATAGTAAATCTCAAGATACTCCGTCTTATCGCTCTCGTAGAGCGGCGAGAGCGGATTGGAAAGACGCGGGTATACTGTGTGGTGAAAGTGTTCATAAGCGTGCGCATGGCGCGCGCGCTGGGCTTCCCATGCGTGTAAAACCAATTGCAGATTGGCCATGAAGTGGTGGCTGAGGTAGTAGGCTGGTTCACTCTTGACGCGCTGCCACATGCGTGCCCTCGATGGTTGCTGCCCAAGCACACCTGGTCGGTGCTATGTTCATTGAGAAATGCGATGCTCACCACGGTCACGGTACACAGTATCTGGACGCCCAAGTCAATGCATTGGGAGCAGCTCATAGAGCCCGGAAGCACATCACAGCGAGCATGCTGAAGACATGTGCAAACTGAGCATTTCTCGTGAGCCGTAATGTACTGCCACCAAACATATGTCAGTAGGCACAGCGGCGGAAACAGTTATGTAGAGAGGACGAGTTCGCACGCTGGAAATCGACACCGGTTCCGGTGCCTGTTTTGTATCTCCTTCTGAGCTTGGATGAGTGCGAGGCGCGGACGTTTGGGGAATGTCTTACCTCGGTTGCGTTGCAGTCCTGATTCGGCACTGCCCCACCCATATATGAACGGTGATGCATACATGGTGAAGTTGGTACAGTTGAAACCGACGATGACGCCCGGTATCATCTTGGAGCGCAAGGCAAACATGCGTAGCCCACACACGGTCATGTGAGACACACACGCGAGCGCGACACTTGGGCGGCCCCTGGGGACGCGATCATATGATCTGTTGACGCGTACAGCGGTAGGCGCTTGTTGGTCCACTTCGCGCTTCATCGTTCCGTTGTCGCTTCTTTCGGCATCTTTGCCTGCTCTCGCCGTGTTCATCAATCTTGGCAACACCGCATCACGCGCTTGTCCACGCCCGCGGGCCCATCGCATCTCTACACGCAACACCTACCATGGTCGGCACATGGACGGAGAAGCATACGCAGAAGTACTTTCGGGCCGCGGTGAAGAAACGTGTGGATTTCATCGGCACGCGCAAACATTTAGAGTTCACGGACCAGGTGCCGCCCACGCACGAGTGGACGGCTGAGCTGCTTGAGCAGTTCAACCGCAACCTGCGTGGTGTGTACAATGGGCCTTTTGACTGGGAGACGACGGAGGTCCTGTTGATGAAGTACATCATGGTGCGTCGCGTGCTCACAGTGTCTCGGATGATCTGAGTCAAACGTGCGTCAGACGGACGACCTCTTGAACTCGCTCAAGAATCTATCGAAAGACGTCGCGCTGCCTCACCTTGTGCGGCTCGTCCTGGACTGGGCCTGCTGGGACCCGCCGGAGGAGGGAGCGTGGCCGCCGGGCTTGAGCATGCGCCGCTACTTCATGAAATGGCGCCACTGCGAGCCGCTGAACTTCAAGTCGGACACGTCGACCGACGTCGACATGGAGCAGGCGGCCAACGCTCTGCTGGATATGTGGATCGGTGAGTGCATCACCGTGTTCGTGTGTGCGTGCGCTCACTGTGTCCCGCTGGTCAGCCAATGACCGTCTGTATGGTACGTTTGTTCCTCTTTGGTCGGTTGTGTGAGTATGACGATTGGCGCACATGTACAGCGGACACACCTGTGCAGTATCGCGAGGCGGAGGATGTCCCTGGGGTGACGCAGTACAAGTTGAGGATGCAAGATGTCACGGACGAACAGCGACGCGAGGCGGCGGAGGCGTTGGAGGCATACCTGAACCAGGAGTGGCGGTGCGGTGCGCCGTTGCAGATGAAGGCCTGGATCAAGGTCAGGTCGTACAAGAGGCCAGAGAACCTGCCTCCGGCTGAGAACGACACGGTGGTGAGTTTACAGGGTTGTGCTCTGCATTTGCTGTTGATGCGCTAGGTGACCAGATTCGCGGGCCATACATGTGCATACAATGCGTCAAGGCTTGCATCCTCGAATGCCGTGTTCCAAACGATACCGAATTACCCAAGTGCGTGTCGTGCCGTGTGCGCAAGATCAAGTGCGCCTATCAGGTTCGTGCGCACAGGATATCTCTGGCACAACAGACTCACGGGACAGATAGACCGAGCTGGTTGATCCGTGCGCGGACCCAGCCTTCTTCAACCCGCCCCGCGCGCTATCCAAGGCATCGGTCTCTCAAGGTTCCAGTGCAGGTCCGTCGTCGTCTGCTGGCGCGTCCGGCAGCGCGAAGCGCACAGCAGACACGTTGTCTGAGGAGGAGAGGGAGGTGAAGCATACCCGGTCTTGAAGGGCGTTTGTGCGTGACACTACTGTAGTATCGTGGTAGCACTCCGTTTAATGCGAGGAATTAGCAATCTGTTTCTTGCAAATACCCGGACTATTACATTGACATGGCGCCGCTGCCTGATGCCATGCGCGTGCATCCACACCTCCGGTCTCAACGTTTACCATGTCTCGAGTGCGCATCATCCTTACCATCCACCAGGTGCGCCCACAGTGGCTTCGGAACACGGCCCGCGGAACACGGTCATATGACGTTGCCAGCCATCTGTGCGACGCGCTCAGCGTCTAATTCGGACGGCCGGTGTGGCGTGCGCGCTTGACCTGGCTAGCATCCCGTCGGTCAGATTCTACCTCGCTCTTGACTGTTTCTTGCCTACGCGGCCTCGCTTCGATCTCACTCTCTCGCATTCCTCGTCGCAGCCCTTGTACCTACACTCGACCTCAACATCTGCCACGTCGGACAAGCCGCCCACCGCCCAGCATGGTTGGCCCATGGACTTATGAAGACACGGGGAAGTACTATCGCGAGGCCGTCAAGCGTCGGCCCAGTTTTAGCGGTAGACGGGATATGTTACAGTTCACCGACCGGCTGCCGTCCACGGACGACTGGACATTACCGGTGCTCTTACAGTTGAACCGCACGTTGCGCGTGCTGTATAATGGGCCGTTCAACTGGGACGCTTTCAAGAAGATCGT